TGTTGTTTGACAGGCGTGCACCACTCTGGGAACTTGCCACAGAGCACTCGCATTGAGGGCTGCACCAACCCTCCCTGCGTGCTGCAGCAGCTGCGCAACGCCGTCATCCACATGACTTTCAGAGCTCGTGAGTATATCTATAGTGACAGACATACAAAAAGTTTTCCATATCTGTTCTACGTTTACTTATTTGTAATGTGCTGTTTAGCCCGTAACGTGCAAACTATGCGTACTTTGGCGACTGCATACTTGGGCGCGGTGCCGGTACCCTACAACCTGGGCAACAACGCCAACACGTGCAACTTCCTCACCAACACCCGCTGCCCCGTCAGCTCCGGCACCAGCGTCAACTACACCCTGAGGATGTTCATTGAGTCCTGGTTCCCAGTGGTAACATACTATTTGTCAACTCTAAATACAACATTGGTGTACCAGTGCAATAACACGGTCAATTTTGTGACACAATATTCATAGGTTCAGAAGTTGAACAATCGTAGATCCAGCTTTAACATATTCGCACGAATTGTCCCGACTTGTCCGGTGCAATACCACGACCACACAGATGACAGCCGTGAATTCGAAGAAATCTTGTATTTCTTCTGATGCGTGTGGTACCAGAGGCCTAATTTTAGTCTCCTTTCTCTTTCCATCCTTTTTCATATGAGTAAAGGATAGGAAGTGGAAGTAGATTTTCCAGTTGAGGGGATGCATGGAAAAGAAAAACATTCTCTTCCCGTGAGTCCCCTCCTTCGTCAATTAAATTTAAGTAACACATCTGCAATTGTGTATGTCTATGGGCAAGGGTCACTTCGCTATTTTAGCGATTTCAGGTGGACGCTCACTCGTTTGCCATCTTAGGATATAAAAAAAATCCTTAAAATATAAAACTAGACCAACAACGCACGAACTTAATTGAAAGACAGATTAACAATTTCACAGTATTGACATATGTTGTAATATTTCAGGGCACTTCCGCAACAATTGAGTTCAGGATTGTAGACGAAAGGAACCAGCCCGTGGTGTGCGTGCGTGTTCCCATCCGCATCAGCCGCTCAGGCAGGTTCATTGAGGGCGAGAGCGAGCTGCCCCGCGGTATTGAAGCCCAGTAGACTGCACCCACAGCTATCACCCGACTGATGCTATCTACTACTTCCCAGATGCCATCTATTGACGACTCAAGACACAACTCACATCTGTGATTTAATTGTTAATTAATAATTCTGTATTTGTACTGTTTCTATCAATTATTTCTCATACATTTATTGAATTTGAATATTTAATAAGTGGTTCTAAATAAATTGTTCCTAAGATTAAAATTAACTTTTATTTAAATCGAGTTTGTTTACAATTTAGTTCACAATTTCAATAAACGCTGGAAATACCATGCAGTGACCGGCCGTCCATTTTAAAAATCAACAACCAAAAAATCCGTTACCGGGAACTTTTAATCTGGTAGCTGTCAAAAGTGTGAACATAGGATGTGTAGACTGATAGCTGGTGATTGTACGCTGTGTGACTGCTTCATTACATTCCCACTTACAATACTAAATAAAAAAGTTAACACAAAAATTAAGGGAAGGGAAAAATAAAGATTGACAACAAAATAAATTAAACACTTACACTGTATCTAACTGTACTCCAAAAAAATAGTTAGACGCTATTTAGTTAAGTACGTGTTTTAACCCTTTGAACGCCGGTAAAGGATATTATGGACTTCAAAGTGGTTAACATATGTTCCACTACAAATATGTATCAGCACACTACTTTCGGTATAAGTTTATGGGTTAAGAAGTCAATGTCAAGTCATGAATTGTCAAAAAGGTATAAAAAGGTTGACATATAATTTAGGTAGAATGTGTTTAAAACATTGTCCATTTTATGTTAACTAGCTCATAGCTTTTAATCAGTTTCTTCTTGTAGACTCTGTCCAGATCACAATCTACATTAATGGATAAACTTACAGAGCTTTAACAGTGGTAGAGCCCGGTTTAACATCCTCGCACGAATTGGCCCGGCTCTCCCGGTGAAATACCAAGACGACACACAAGACAGGCGTGTAGTGGAAGCCATTCCGCGTTTCGTCTGATGAGTGTGCGTCCCGGAGGCCTAAATTAGTCCTCCATCCCTTCCCACCCTTATTCTTATAAGGAAAGGATGGGAAGTGAAAGTGGACTTTCCGGATGAGATGAATGGGAAGGGAAATTATTTTCTTTCTGTGCATCCTCTCCTCCTTCGATTAAAGGTAGGCAACGCATATGCAATTGCGTATGTCTATGGACAACGGTCACTTCGCTATTTCAGCGATTTCAATTGGCCGCTCGCTTGTTTGTCACCTTATGATATAAAAAAAACCATACAACAATAATGTGTCTTTAATTGTTTGCTTTTAATATTCATATGTTTATTGTAAGTGTGACATTTCTTCGAACTCTAAATATTAGCTAGGACTTTCTGAAACATTTTTCTTATTAAGTATCATTCGTTCAGTAAAGGCGGTTTTAAAAAGCATTCCAGTAAAGCGGACATCATTGTCGTATTGTGTTCATTCGACAATAATTAATGGAGAGCTTTATGCAACATAATAGCAGTGCTTTTCTGTTGACGTTTGTCATTTATTTCATGAATTGACCATTGTGTTGTTTACAGTTTTGTTTGTTTTGTAAGAAATATCAGAAAACAGAAAACAACTTAGCTTGAAAAACACAGTGATAGCTACCAACAAAAACGTAGCATTGTTATTTGTAAATGCATTTTTAATCAATTAAAATGTTGAAGCTAAAAAATAAATTGAAAATTTTGAAGATACTATTTTTTAGTTAAAACGAAATGTTAATGGAAAGTATCATTGTGTTGATATACATTTCCTCGTTTGTTTTGTACATTAATAACGATGAAAAAAAGAAGAGTTTCCTTTCATACGATTTGTTTACAGAGCTCACATATCAATTTCCGTATTGAGGTTGTTTGCGATGTTTTTATTTTCCCCAGCTTTGAATATTAACTGATTTCATTTTTTATTTTTTGCATCTAATGAAAGAGTTTTTATCCTCCATAGTTGCACTTAAAAATATAATGAATTATCTTTTATACATCTGTACTTTTTATATTATAAGGTGGCAACCGAGCAAGCGGCCACCTAAATATAAAAGCATAAATATAGCGCCGAAATATCGAAGCGAAGAAGAAAGGGACGCACGAAAAGAGGATATCCCTTTCAATGCGCCTCCCTCTTTTCTGCCAAATCTACTTCACCTTCCCATAATTTTCTGATTAAAATTAGGCCTCCGGTACGCGCACTCATCAGACAACGTGGAATTACGTCCACTCGACGCCTGTCTACTGTTTGGTTATGATATTGCACGGACCGATCCAGCCAATTTGTGCACTCAAGAAATATTGTTGTTGCAGGCTCTACCACTGTTGTATTGTAGTCAATTTATTAATAAATGAATCGTGCAGATAAATCATCATCAGCCCGGAGCCTACCCAAAGTTAGGGGTGACAAGACCATCGTCAACCACGCTGACCCAGTGCGGGTTGACTTGACACATATCTTTGAATTTCTTCTTGCGAAGGAAAAGATCGTAATGCAGGTTGCATTACGATCTTTTCCTTCGCAATAAGAACGTCAGATAAATGTACAATTCATGTTTTTCATATCATATGAATTGCGATCGAATCCGGACCTGTAGATTCCAACACTACTGTTTAACCTCTGCGTCACCATCACCACGTAGCCGTTTATTTCTGGTCAGGATTTATTCGTTGCATATTTTGTCAGGTAATGTGGCGAACTGTAGCATTCAATAAATAAATCAAGTGCAATCGATCAGTGTCGAGCGTAAGAAGGATTCGCCGCTATTTGTATACAGACGGCTGTTAATTTGAAGCTGATAAATTATTAATGCAATTTTATAAACGTACCAAACGACATTCGATAAATCAGTATATTAGTTAAGTACAATAACATGTTGTCATCTCTGTTCTTTTCTAAAAGACTGACAAGGATCACAACAGGTTTTTGTATGACAAGTCGGTTTATTGGCAAAGTTTAGTACTTAATTTAAAATAGGTCAATACAATGTCAGTGACGCTTATTTAAATTTATTTCGATTTATAAATACATTGCAATTTCAACGTTTATTTAAGAAGGAGGTATCGCAAACTCCGCACAGCTGACATAATTAGTGCAAAGCTAACTCTAATGTAAACTTAATTTGTGAATCTGCTCCGCGACGCTAAATAACATCGGATGTGGACTTGTTGACACATATTATGCACACATAAACATGATTTAAACAAATTTTACTTAAGTATGACTAAATATGACTTATTAGTTTTGCCAGTTCTGAATTCCTTTCAAAATTTATATATCTTAATATATATAATTCTTCTGTGCGTGTGTATGTCACTGTCCTTTTCAAAACGACTGGACCGATTTTGATGAAATTTTTTGTGTGTTTTCAAGGGGATCTGGGAATGGTTTAGATTCACAATTTTGTCCGCTGGACAATGTTTTTTTAATTAATTTTTAATTTATTAGTAGTTGTTGATTTCAGTATTCGAATTAAAGACGTGTAGACAGGACAACGTCTGTCGGGTCCGCTAGTATTATTGTAAAAATATAAAAGTTAAGTAGCTTTTGTAAGCGAATGTAGTTTTTGTAAAAACATCATTGATTTAGTTAGTTTTATGAGCTCCATTTTAGCCTATAGGTATTTTGAGTGTGAACAAGACATGGGCTTACCTTTTGCCATCATAACTCTCTAAAGAATCTTAACAACCAAAATAAATTATTTATTCAAAAAAAAGTCTTAAAGACGTTAGATAACTTAGGAAATCGATTCTAAAACAACACTTCACTTCTTATTAAAAAAAAAACAAAGAATTTGATTGACTGTCAAATCCGGTGTTAAAATTAATCGCTAATTAACATCACCCAGTGAGATATTGTGCACGTGTTTGATAAGATTTCTGTATATAAACTCAAACTATCGCCAACAATATATCAAATCAAGTTGCTAAAGTTACTGGTAATTACAACCACAAACAGCAAAATGATGAAATTCCTGATCGCTCTGTGCCTCGCTCTGGCTGTTGCTGATGCCACCAACGTGCAAAGATGTAAGTATATCTTACCTTCTCATTAATCTGAACAGTTTAAGTTAAATTTCAGGATATTTTTGTTTGTTTGTTTTGGATGTTTACAATATACTTGTAGAAAATTCTGACTCATATTGCTGTTACCATGAGAGCTTCTACATCAAACTGACAACAAAAATAGAGTTCAGAAATTATGATGTGTTTTCGTCTCATTTTTTATAAATTGTTCATTACTCACTACAATGTGCTGGTATGTAAATACATGTAATGTTATTTGACAGGCGTACACCACTCTGGAGACTTGCCGCAGAGCACTCGCATTGAGGGCTGCACTAACCCGCCCTGCGTGCTGCAGCAGCTGCGTGATGCCGTCATACACATGACCTTCAGAACTCGTGAGTATATCTATATTGACAAAACTGACGAAAAGGTTTCCTTGTCCACACAACGATTACTTATTTGTAATGTGCTGTTTAGCCCGTAACGTGCAAACTATGCGTACTTTGGCGACTGCGTACCTGGGTGCGGTGCCGGTGCCCTACAACCTGGGCAACAACGCCAACACTTGCAACTTCCTCACCAACACCCGCTGCCCCGTCAGCTCCGGCACCAGCGTCAACTACACCCTCAGGATGTACATCGAATCCTGGTTCCCTGTGGTAACGCCCTTTTTCGTTTTATTATTTGTCAAATATCAAGAGAAAATTTGGAATGGAATGAACTATAAAGAAGTTTGATTGAAGAACATCAATTTCACTGTATTAACGTATGATTTGATTTTCAGGGCACTTCCGCAACAATTGAGTTCAGGATTGTAGACGAAAGGAACCAGCCCGTGGTGTGCGTGCGTGTACCCATCCGCATCAGCCGCTCTGGCAGGTTTATTGAGGGCGAGAGCGAGCTGCCCCGCGGTATTGAAGCCCTGTAGACTGCAAATATATCTTATGTGCCAGATGCCATCTATCGACGACTCAAGAAACAACTTACATTTGTGATTTATTCATTGTTTAATTTTTAATTGCACTTATCAAACCTTTCTCATACATTTATTGAATTTGAATATTTAATATGTGGTTCTAAATAAATTGTTCCTAAGATTAAAACTGACTGGCTTATTAAATATTAAAAATTAACCTTTATAATTTGCTGATATATAACTGCGTCCACTTTGCTAGAGAAATTAGTTGGCCACATGGTTCGCTAAGAATACTCATGGTGTATTGCACTTGTGAAAGAAGCAAAGTGTACCAAATTAGAAGTACCAGACAAGCCTCTAGATAACAGCGAGTCTCGTTTGTTTCCACAACACTACGTCACCTCAAGTGTCGGGCCGAGAAGACGCTGTCACGCTCACTAAGGCTTCAGTGAAATCTTTTTAAACATTACTAGATTTTTTATTTTTAACACAGTAGGCCAAATAAATGTTAAAATTAATTTACTATTAAAATAAGTAAATAGAATATTGTAAAGGTTGTCTATTTTTGTACTTATCTATCGATACATATATCTATTTTGGTAGAACTATTTTCTGCAATATTATTGAATAGTCACCCAAGTAAGCAGGCGGCCGGACATAAAAAAAATAATGCAAAACTTTAAGGTTTATAAAACCTAGTACGCGAACCACGTGGGTGGGACAAGGCTAGGGAAATTATGATTTTACTGGTTACATTGTAAAAATTGTTGCTGTGAACCAGAATTATTAGTTATTAGTAATTAATTATGTGTCCGCTTTATTATTTTTTTACACATAAAATAAATACATAAATATTTTACATTTATGAACACTTATCATTGCCGAGCATCAAGAATTAAGAGTTTATTTTTTTATTTCAATATAATGTGTCTTAATTTTAAATTAAGTTTTTTTTCAGGATACAAATAGTGATATTTTAAGCTATTTCCATAGCATAATTTTAATAAATTTGTCTGTCATATTAGTTTTAGTATATTTGTAATATATAATTTTAGTATGTGAAAGTCGTTTAAAGTACCAGGCAATCATAAATAACATGTAAGCGTTCTGTAACACAGGTCGCGTTATAAATCTCTATTCGTTTTCGAATATTGTGACATTAATTTGATTTATTGATCACACTTACGATACATATTCATGAAAATATTTCAATATCTTACTTCTTACTAGTATTATAAATGCGAATATTTAGATGGATGGATGTTTGTTTGTTTGTTCGAAGGTATTTCCAGAACGGCTGAAAAAATCTCTATGAAATTTGGTAAACATATAGAACATAGTCTGGAAGAACTAGGCTATTAAGTTTTTTTTTAGTTCCGCGGGAACGGAGTCGCGGGCGACAACTAGTATGTGTATAAAGTCTTAAAATATATGAACATATATTTTAAAAGAATAACGGCAACAGATCTTTATTGTGTATTCTGACGTCAGTTAATTCTATCATATAGTACCTACTTGTTCTTTAAAATTAATTTGGATGTTTTTCTATTCCTTACAAGAACTGTTACATTTGTATATTGAATAACATATATCAATGCAAAACTCATCGTGTTTGAAATATTTTGTACCTTTTTTTGTATTTAAATTTAAAAGATTCAGTTTAATTTAAATAGAGTTAAATGTTATTCATTCACAATATAACAATGATATTCAGATAATTTAAATAGTTTGTTATAAAAACATCGACAAACAATACAATTGAGTTTGCTTTACAAGTTTTACTTTTGAAGTAATACAACAAATACAACTCACACGTATTACTTTTGTTAATAATACGATAGTTATAATAGTAACATTTAAAATTAAATTGTGATCGCCTACTGGTCAAAATTAGACTTTATTTTTCATATTTTTATTTTATTAAAAACACACATTAAATATAGTAAATTTCACATATAATTTCCACGCTCAATTTCCCTTAAAAGGAGTAGAAAGATTTCACTTTATGTATTGTAACTAGCAGTCACCCGCGATTCCGTCCGCGCGGAATTAAAAAAACTTAATTAGCAGCCTAAGTCTTGTTCTAGACTATGTTCTACATGTATGCCAATTTTCGTCGAGATTTAGTAGGCGTTCTGGAGATACCTTCAAACAAACATCCATCCAAAATATCATATGTAATAATTACATTAGTTGAATTTCAAATAATGAATATGTCCTTAAATTATGTTTCAATGTATATAAGTCGTATTTTTTTATATTTGTGTATTTCTCACAACGTAGTTCTCTTGATCATGTTCACCGATATTGTCCAGACTAAGCTGAACCCTATTTTATATACTTGATCAAGCAAAGCTAAAGTCAAATTTCTATATTGTAAATCAACTTCAAAACCTATAGATTTCAATTGACTTCCTTTTTAATTTATTTTTAATGTACCATATATAAAACGCTCCTGAGTCAGTATAAATTATTTTGTTTTAAAAATATAAAGAATAACAATAGTATTTTAAAAAAACAAACAACATTAACTCCAGATCTACTCGCACTCTGCCTCGTGCATGAGTATGGCGCGTCTCACGTACCGGAAGTGATAGAAACTGAACACCACCACGAAAGAGAAGAAATACAACACTGAAAAGAAACACACTTTCATACAAATCTTAGCCATTAAATCATCATATCTTACATGTATAGAAAAGTACTCATGTATTAAATAATATTATACGTACAGTCAGCGGCATAGATATGTAAACATTTATAAAATTTATAAAGGACATTAGCACGTAATTATAGTCGGAAGAATACGGACTTTTAATTAATATTGATGCAGCTGACTGTACTGTTTCATAATGAAAAGATAAAATAAAAACCAAATAACAAAACTTTAATCTTTCTGAATATGTATCACAAAAAATCTTTACGTTTTACTAAAAGACGTTAAATAAATTTGCTTAATTTGAAATTCAGTTTACGTAATAATTTTGCTTTCAGGAGCTCCTGGATCATATTTTAAATATTAACGAGGTAATCATGCGAGAAAGGATTAAGGCGATATTTTGTTTTCACGGCAAATTTTAATTTGCTTAATGTAAACTTACATCACGATGAGCGTCATTTAATAAATGTTCTGCCTATTTTTGAAATAATTTAAATAATATTACCATGGTTAAAGTACTATTTATCTAGAACGCTAAACATGGGCTTCCGAGACCAAAATCCTCGTTTAAACATCAACGATAATGACGATATCTTTCGTACAGAGATTTTGGTCTCCGAAACCAACGGTAAGTTAGCCTTTAAAATTATGCCTTTAAAAATCATACATACATTCGTTTATGAATAAGAATGTTGATACAGCACATAATAAAAGCTAAAGCTGGGTTTTCATTGACGGGACAAACACACAATTTAATCTTATTTCTATCTTTTGCAAGGAGAATCAGAAGAAAATAATGTTTTTTGTAGGGGCACAAAAAATGTTGCACTCACCTGCTCCGAAAAATGTGAATAATCCGCTAACACAAGCTAGATTGACGAGCCTATGTTGTTCATCTTTTATTTTGGAGGCTGAAATATAAAACAAAGACTGAAGTTAACAAAACTGTATTGTCACGATACAGACTATCGTTTAATAAACCTTAATTTCTTATAATGTTTTGTTAACGTTATTTAAATGTAAGACACACATACCGTCTTTAAACCGTATACAGGAACGCCCAATCTTAGCCACCGCCAGAGACACAATCCCCATCAAGACAAACATCGCCACCAGTAAATAAATCTGAAAATGTTTATTCTGATAAGTTTCTGGCTGTATTTTATTAAATTATACTAAATGTTTAGCTTTAAATACCAGCATAGCTCTGCAATTCTCCGTAAGAGCGACTATGATGAGCAGGAATCCGGCGCCAGTCACACCGCTCAGCATGGCGCCGGTGCCCAAGCTCATGACTGCACAACAAAATTATTTTACTATTAATTAACTGCTAGTACCAAGCCAGGTCTAACGCCAGATGGACCGATAATCTAGTCAAGGTAACGGGAGTATCCTGGGTGCGGGAAGCACAGGACCAATAATAAGTAAATAGTTAGTTAGTTAGCAATAAGTTTATAGTATGCGAAGCGAGGATTTTGGGATTTTCTTGAGCATGTCAGTTAACAGTAAGTAGACTTTTCAGCGAATAATATTGATCGATTACTAGAGTTTAGTTTTTTATTCAACTCACAGATATCATAATGTGAAACTAACTTTGCGAGTCCGGTGTATTATGTATCTTGTCGTACTGCTTGCCATGAGTCAGGATGAGGGTGAGGAGTACGGAGCCGACCAGGACCTGGCAGAAGGCTATCAGCAGCACACCTGGGAACAGATTGCAAATGCCGCAGCAGCTCTCGAAGTGACACCCGGGCTTGTGCACCGTAAAGTGGAGGGGAACTCGCGGGCTGATCTCGCTGCCGCTTCTCGGTCTTCTATCTGAGGACTTTGTGAAGTCTTCTGTACCACTTTTAGTCATTGTAAATAATATAGGAAATAATTTTGACACATTTGTGACGTCAGTTTGACGTTTATTGTAAATATGTTATTGATTATTTTTATAAGAAAAACATATTAAATCGCAAGAAATGCAAAAAGGCATATATTTAAAACTATTATTATACATTATTCAAACTTTCGTGAGACATTATACTAAACGAGGGGCCGCGTTCGCGAAATAATACCAGTCCCATTCATCCTGATGATGGGCCCCCGATAGGCTCGAAACTAGTCGGTGCTGCCACCGGTCGAATATAAGTCAGTGTTTAGCCGTATTTATATATCTATTTTATCCTAGCTGTTGACCGCGACTCCGTCTGCTTGGAATTTGAAACAAAAACATAATTAATAGCCTACGTGTTCTTGCAACCTATGTTCTATCACATCCATCCATCCAAATTTAGCATATATAATATAACTTTTTTGTATTTATTTAAGTAGAATAATAACACGATAATAAATATATTAACTTGCATATAATTCTGCACAATTTTCATATATCTTAAGATAAATGTAATGTTGTTTGTAGCAACATGTAATTCAATCAAAATTCTCATATAACATACGAGTAGAGTGTTTGTGCGAGGCGATTGTGTTATGTTTTGATTAACAAAATACACAGGCGAATTACAGATCCATTAAAATACTGTCTGCAACACGCGCCTGGCATTAATCAAATTGACTGGGCCCACCAGCATACAGCCTACAATCACCTTGTTTATAAATAACAAAATTTCATCACGTAACAGACAAATTACCGGCATATTGTTCATTTATTTATACACTAGCTGTCGCCCGCGACTACACCATCGCGAAATTAAAGAAAAAAACTTAATTAGTAACCTAATCATTCTTCTAGAATAGTCTAGAACATAGGTTCTATTTCTACGTCTGTTTCGAATTTAAATTTTCATTTCTCAATTTGACGATTAACATCATCTCATCTTTGCCTCGTTTATCCGAGTCAGTGCTGCGACACATTATTTCTACGTTAAAATAATTATAATAATAGCGTCAGAGAAAATTTTAATCAAGTTAATGTAATACGAAGCACGAACCTGTCCCAGCGACCTCTGTCGGCTAACTAATTATGCTATTTTAAATTATGCCTTACCTAAATATGACCTGGACACTTTTATACCAAACTGAATATACAAAGATAAATATATTAGGTAAGTAATGCATTTAAAACTAGCTGTAGTCTGCGACTTCGTCTTCAGAATTAAAAATACTTAATTAGTAGCTTATGTGTCTTCCAGGATATGCTCTTCATCTATACCAAATTTCATCTAGATCCATTGTGCCGTTTTGGAAAAATACCTTCTAACAAACAGCCATCAAAATATGCGCATTTATAATGTTAGCAAGATTGAATTACAGTATGTTTAAATTAATTTATGACAATTTTCTATCGCCGGTTGGCACGTTAAAAAATGCTGACTGACGTTGACACCTAAATATTGCCGATGCCAGCACCCCCCCCCCGCACCCCCAGCACTCCCCGAACACCGCGTGTCCGCCCTCACTGCACAATTGCACACGAATATTGCTTTTTAAAATTATTTCTGCATTTTCCGACGTAAAATATAACTCTTCAAGTATTCCTTTCAAAATGAATAAATTAATATTTCATGAGCTTTCACTAGCTGCTTATTCATTTGAAGACTCGAAATGCAATAAAAAAAGCTGCCTTATAATATAATATTTTATGAGAAACAATTTTATTGTAAAAATATAGGATACTAGATGTAGTACTCCGTACGCGTGGTATTAAAAAAAATCTTAATTAGTAGCCTATGTTCCAGGCTATGTTCTACATCTATGCCAAATTTTAGCAAGATACATCCAGTTGTTCTGGAGATACCTTCTAACAAACATACATCCAAATATCCAAACATTTATCTTATATATAAAATTCTCGTGTCACAATTTTCGTTCCCATACTCCTCCGAAACGGCTTGTCCGATTCTCATGAAATTTTGTAAGCATATTGAGTAGGTCTGAGAATCGGCCAACATCTATTTTTAATCTCGCGCGGACGGAGTCGCGGGCGATAGCTAGTAATATCTAAAGATAGCTAAAGATTTCTTTGACTTGATAATTAAATGCACACAGAGTACATACGACATTTATTAAAATGTACTAAAAAACAAAATATATTTCACAAAAATGTTTTCATTCCTTTATCTACCTTTATCAATCGTCTTCGTCGCCCTGTGTACATATATAGTATCGTATCCATCTCTGCTGCAAACACAATTTGGCGTGTCACTTGTATTTGCATGAATATTGGATCACCGGAGAGGAGACGCGCCGGGAATGGAAATACGGAAGAGGGGAGACAATAAGTTCGTATCCTGAACGATCCCGGACACTTTCACATATTGTTTCACATAGAACACGAGTATTTCCCTTATAAAATATGATGATAATGTTTGTATGTACATACTCAGTTAATTTAACTACAAACAACATGTTTCAAACAGTTAAATATACTATATTAGTTTAACACAAAAGCAAAAAATATTTTGCACTCATTTTATATCTTTATATATATATATAATTCTTCTGTGAGTGTGTATGTCACTGAACTTCTCTCAAACGACTGGACCGATTTTGATGAAATTTTTTGTGTGTGTTCAAGGGGATCTGGGAATGGTTTAGATTCACAATTTTCATCAAATATTAACTTCATATTAATTTATTCAAATTGAAGACGTGTAGACAGGACAACGTCTGTCGGGTCCGCTAGTATATATATAAAAATGAATCACAAAATGTGTTGGTAGTCAAGTCAACAACGCCTGGACCAGTTTGGCCAATTCTTTTTTTAAATGTTCGTTGAAGTTCAAAGATGGTTTTTACGGCGAGAAAAATTCGAATAATTGCCGGGAACTAATATTTTTCTTTTGATTTCGCGCGGACGGAGTCGCGGGCGACAGCTAGTTTCGTTTTTAAAAAAAAACAGAACACTTTTAATATCCTTAATAAATAATGTAAATTATTGTTTTATAAAATGAAAATATATAACACAATAAATAACATTACAAAAGTTGCGTAAAATAAAGTGAGAAAAAACAAAATGGCGGACATTAATTGAGCGCAAGCGATTTATTAGCGGCTCATTTGCGAATGCCTAACGATTTATTTTAGTCGGAATTTAGTAAAACATACTTGTAACATGCGTTATAAAGTTTAGATTTGATTTAATACCGCTGAAATTTGAAAATTATCGTATACTAACGGTCGCCCGCAACTCTGTTTGAACGTTTACAAATTATTGCTTCCAGACTATTCTATACAACCATGCCACATTTTCTCGGGATAAGTATATAGTATGGAGTTACGATATCCATCCATCTATCCATCCATTCATTTAAACTTTCTCTTGATCAATTTTAACAGAGAATTTTGAACACAAATGATAAATTTTACGAAAATCTGTTTAACAATATGAGTTTTTATGGCTTACAGTTGGACAGATGGATACATTTTTTTATGAAATATATTAAAAAGCTATTGTCATTAAATAAAGTACCTATTTTTAAGTTTAATTAAGTGAGGGATACCATAGGGTCACATGAAGACGAGGCTTAACTTCAACTTAACTAAAGTAGTGGCTCAGTGGGGAAACATTTAAAGACAATCAGACGAAATAAGCGTCCGCGTAATGGGTCATATCAACTTGAACAAATGTAATCCGGGACACAGATGTTTTAGCCAAAGTTATAGTAAACATATGCAACAAAAAAATAATGAAGAAATGAAAACAAAACTTATTGACTGCGTTTTAAAAGCTCATGTACATACAAGACTTAAAACTAAGTAGCGAACTATTAAAAAGTTAGGTATCGATTATTAATTAGGAATAAATATAAAAGGCCAATTGTTGTTAATTAGCCGCAAAGTTACCGCTTAGTACAACGAAAACTCAAATAAGGGAAGATTAAGAAATATTGAGTGTGACAGTTAATAATATATTTTACTTATAAAGCTATTTATTTCAAATGAAAAATAAATATGTCATGGCAACGTTTATTTAGAAGTAGAAAATATAAAGCGTTTCGTGAAAGCTTTGAACACGAGTCGTGTACTTATATTTAAATGCCTATTATTTCTAAACGAAACGTTTTCGGCGAGAAAGCATAATAATGGAGATACTTATTGCCTTTTAGACTTACCTAAGCATAACAGGGAGGCCAATTTAAATCTTAAAGTGCTCTTTGTGTGTACATCCAAGCCATTCTTATTTATTTTATTTGTAAATAATAGCCAGTCTCAACTATCTTCTTATCATGGTCTTCAATTTAATCATCTCAATAGTAAAAAATAAAATAAAAAGTCACTTTTATTATTTTCTTGTTAGTTAAACAAAAAAAATATTCGTCCAGACGATTCAAATAAGCCCAAACTCGATGAAGCTGTTTCGCTTCGTTGCTATGACCATCACCTAGCTCCATCATCAGATCAGTACCATGTCGCGATATATGCAATTTCAGTGCAATCAGTAACCGGGAAGTGGATTTAATCAAATTTGCTGGTCAGGTGGAACAAAATAAAAGCTTGTAATAATTACACTTTGAAAGCATTTCATTTATCTCATTTATCATTTTTCATTTCATCATTTGCCTTTCTATACATCTTACTAATATTATAAATGTGATAGCTTAGTTTGATGGATGGATGCTTTCTTACGGGTATCTTCGGAATGGCTTAAAGGATATTGATGAAAGGCACAGATGTAGAACATAATCTGGAAGAACACGTAGGCTAGCCATTAGGTTGTTTTAAATTCTACGCAGACAAAGTTGCGGGCAACCGGGAGTTATATATAGATAGATTATTAAGACGTAAATCTTGAACATTCCTATAGTTAATCTCGGAGGTTGTCAAGCTTACGGTCCGCGATTACAACAACATTCAACTTGACACTTCAAAAGACCGACGACGCGACGTCCGCATCATGTAATTTATTTCCCGAGAACAATCTTATTACTATTACGAGACGTCAACTTCAGACTACTAATTGAAAATTTCTTAGCGATATTACAATGTTCAGTTTTGACATGATACTATTAATAAACTAGCTAGGGTCGTACTAGACGGACGTAAATCTGCCAGATTAGTGAAATACTTGACGTAATATACAGGGTGTTATTGCTAATTTAAATGAATAGTTTTTCATTTATGTCTCTATTTTCATGAAACATACCATTATAGGAAACGTATAAGTAGGTTTATAAATTAACTAGCATTTGCCTGCGACTCCTTCTATGTAGTATTAAAAAACATAGTAGCTTATGTGTTTTTTCAGTCTATGTTCTACATTTGTGCCAAATTTCATCAAGATTCGTTGAACAGTTCTAGACATATCTTCTAACAAATTTTCTAATTATTTACCACTAACAAACGGTATAGGATTTCTGCCTACCCGAATAAATTACATTAAAATTGCTCACATATCAATAACTTTAAAACTGACAAACTACCCGCATCGCGCCGAACAACCCGCAACTTACAACTTAAAACAATATATTTTGTCGGCTCCCTAACTTAACTTAATGCCTTGAGGACAAGTTGTCCTAAGTGTTACCAATACTTAAACATATGGTAATAGTTAAAACTTGTTCGTGAATTTGAATTGCGGACAAATAATTGTGTGTAGTGAATAATCACTAACCATAACTTATTATTTTTTATTTACTATTTTTTCATAGAAGTTTCATAAAACAAAGACTATTTTATTTTTCCAATTTTTTCGTAACACTGTTTCTTAGACCATATAGTATTATATACAATTATTGTCTTTTTATATATACAGGGTGTAAATGATGATTCCTCATGTTAACTATATAGAAAGAAATTAATTTAAAAGAATGCTGAAATATCCCACGTTTATTTCGTGTCTATTCACATGTTATTTTAGGTATTCAACGCATATGCAATTGTGTCTATGGGCAACGGTCACTTCGCTATTTCAGCGATTTCAGGTGACCGATCGCTCGTTTGCCACCTTATGATATAATAAAATAAATTGAGAACTGATGATGTAAATCACATATTTAAACCTTAGATTTTATCTTAAGAGCGAGTATAAATACGTTTTAATATTTTTGTACCATGTTAAAAACTTCCGAATCAGAAATAATAAATAGATATTAAATGCATTTTGATAATTTTAACATTAAAAATCATAGTAAATATTATGTACATTATAGTAAAAAATTAAATGATAAAGTTTTAAGTGGCTTGTGCCTTTTCATTTTTTTATGTTTAGGACAACCTATCCTAACCTAGACTACATCGTTGGTTTATTTGTGAAAGGTCAGCTTTCCGATCTCCTCCAGTAGATGGCGTTGTCCAGCGTAAAATGTATTGTCATCATGCCTTCATAAATATGCAAAATTTCAATTAAATTTAACAATTTTAAGTAAGTATTGTATTAACATAAATACATAGCAGTGAAGTTAAAATACGTCATTTATGTATATACGAGTAGTACTTGTTATAACGAAGTAACAATATTATATTAAATCTTATTTGAAATATTATTTTGGGTTGGCGAACCAATGGCACCGGACACAATATTTTGTGAACGCACATATCAAAAAAATCAGTATGAAAAAAACCGCGGGCAATTGCTAGTTTATTTAATAAAAAATGATTCGTCAACTTTGTAAGTTGTATAATGAAATTATTACTGTATGAAAATCACTAAAGTAATTAATAAAATTTAATAAAAATGACAAAAGTCCAAAGACAAGGTAAATAAGATCAGTAAAATCAATCTTCAAAATTAACAGGAAGCGGTAGTATAGAAATCTAATATATTGCAATATTCTAATTTATCAACATAACTAGATGTCGCCCGCGACTACTTCCGAGCGGAATAAAAAAACTGAATAAGTAGCCTATGTATTCTTCCAGACAATGTTCTATATCTATGACAAATTCCATCAAGATCCGTTCCGGTAATACATTTTAACAAACATCCATATAAACTTCGCATTTATAATATTAGTAAGCTAATAACGTTAGAAAATATTTGAACGGTATGTATGTATGTATGTATGCAAAGATATTAGGCTTTAGGGTAATGTAGGCGACCTGGGGGACGGAGTCACCGGACTCTATCGACGTTCCTCATTAACATACAATACTCCAAACATCATTGTTACAGTAAAATATTGAATATAGACAAAGTCGAGTGCGACCGTTACTTTAAATATATAATGATTTTTAAAGCAAAAGTGTATTTTCAAACGTTTGAGTAACGTAAGATTAACTTGAAACTTTTGTATGTTGTTTACTCTGAATACATGTTATTTCGTAATGTAAATAGAAAACAAACCCTTTTATTAAAACTTGGCCTACTTGACCCGTATTGGGATTTTGAAAACGTGACCGTGTAACCGCGGCAAGGGTTAACGAAAATTAAATTTCGATACCATTAATGACACGCTTTACCTTGCTTAGAATGTCATCATACTGAATGTTAGGACAGAGATCGGAGTTTAATTTAAATTTAGAGCTTGGAAAGGAAAATCAATGTATGGATATTACACTTATCTTTATAAATGTATGGATTATTGCAAACGAGTGAACGCCCACTTTAATTCTCCGAATTAGCAATCACTGTCCATAGACATCCGTAGTTACAGATGCGTTACCTACCTTTATTCAAGGAAGGACGGAACGCAGAGAAAGAAAATATTTCGTCTTCTTACATCCCCTCCTCTGTCAAATCCACTTCCCCTTTTCCACCTAAACAGAACTAAAATTAGGCGCACAATCATCAGACTGAACTTAGAATTGTATCCACTTGACGCCTGTCTACTGTATGGTCGTTATATTTCACCGGACGAGGCAACACAGTCGTGCAACAGATGTTCTGCTGGCGCTTCCACTGCTAAAGCTTTTCTTTCGTTTCGAATTAATCTGCATCTGCTAAGTTACAATTAATTCTATCTTTATTATTAGTTTGAACCTTTCAAAATGGCGAAAATCAAAGCACAAAATACGTGTCAATGTGTAGAGATCACTGGGATATACACATTCATTAATTCATAAATGTACACAATTAAACTTTATGTACAGATGTATTAAGTTCAAATTTACTTATCATAAGGTTTTTTAATCATGATTTTTTCAAAGCTGGCACTAAACACAGCTGTTGTATTCTAGACATAATATTTATTGTTTTAATCAAAGTAGAATATATTTGTTTTTAAACGGAAAATTTTCAAATGACAAGAAATTAATTTCCTACAGTCGTCAAAAGTTAATAAACTAAATTTATTGAAATGCACAATGGTTTCTTATTAAGGGCCACCGTACAAGGATGTTAAAGTAATTGTCAGCGACAACATTTTTTTACCGATGCAAAACTACCGGCAGCACGCCGATTACCTAAAGCTAACGCTGTCAACTGATTAAAACTGTCCGCATACGGCGACCCTTAATATCGCGTAACGTAACATCCTGTATATTTTTTTTTTATATCCATTTTATAAACAAGGTGCACGCTAACGCCGCTGCCACACGGACAGTGGACAGGTCGACGTCAACGCATCTCTTCACTAAAGTTTTCTTTTGAAATTTAATTTGAAATCACTCTGTGAAATAACAAGGTAAGTTTGGTGTTTTATTACTACTGTTTATACAATTTGTATCAAAGTAAAGAAATTATGAAAAATTAATCTCAATCAACGTAATCATCATCGTCAATTTACTGGATAGTTTACGCTGAATATTATACACATAATTTGAAGTGACATTGTTTCCCATTATAAAAAAAACTAGATAAACCGTAGCACTAGATTATAGACACGACATAATTTTTGCTAATATAAATGCGAAAGCTTAGATGTTAGTTTGTTTGTTAGAAGGTATATCTCCGGAACGGATCTACGGATCTTGATGAAATTTGGCATATATGTATAACATTGTCTTGATGAATACATAGGCTATTTAATAATAATTAGTAGTGACATTTTAATGGCTATATAGGGGTAGATGCAACCGACGAGCATGTAGGCGACATGAGAAATGAGAGACGTGCCTTCATATGTCAGGATCGCTCCAAATGTAAACCCGTAGTCTCTGCCTACCCGTTTTGATTATGAGTGTTACTGTAATATTATAACAAACTAAATTCATACTTCATAGCATGAGGTTAATATATTTATTTTTGGATTATAATATGTATAATGTATTTCACACAAACTTCAATTTTGTATAGTTTACTATAGATAAATAAGTTCATTAAAGGAATAAATGATAATAAATGCGAATATATAGATGAATGTTTGTTACGTGCATTAAAAACTGCTTAACGGATTTCGATGAAATAAAGAAAGAACATATAGGCTACATACTAAGTTTTTTCATATAATTAGATCAAGGGACAAAAGCTAGTATTAAGAATAAAATCTAATAGTACCATGCAGCGTTGGCAGTCATATAATTTAGAGTTGACTAGGCCATAGTCAACCAAGATGGCCTAATGCGGATTGATTTAACTTGACATAAAATAACTAATGAAAATAGACGGAATTAAACTTCACGAGAAATACTACTGCGCCATAGACTAATGGTTAAGAATACGGACGTGCGATTACGTGGACGAGGATTCGAATCCCGCCATTCCGATATTATTATCGTAAACCATATCGTAGAGCTGTATTGCAATGGTTAGATGGAATATTAGTAAATAAACAAAAATCTAACCGATTTATATTTTATATTTAAAACAAAAAATAAACAAAATTGTCAAATGCACATGCCTGCCGTGGTCCAAAACGTGAAGCATTAAGTTGCTTACAAATTAAAAAAAAGTTTACATTTTTATATACATTTTAAACCGTTTCATTTATTCTGTTGGCCTCCTTCTCGTTAACAGATTGATTTTATTTGATACACACTAGGTTCTGATTAAAATTTAGAATTTAGTGTATTCATAATCATTGTAAATCCAAAATGGCCGCCCCTACAAAATTACGGGTAATACACTAACAGCCCCTTAACGTGGACGTGAAATGATAAGTCTTGGAAGGTTTGTAAATAAACACAAATTTGATAATTACAATATATGTCCGCCAAAAATGTATATTCGTGGACAATTGTAATACAAAACTGTTATTTACATTAAACATACATTTAAAAAGTATTTTCAAAAAACAATTTTACAATTCATAAAGACTAAGGACAGGATTGAAAGGTAAAAAAAAATTATTTAATGAAACAAAATACAATTAAACAATGTATCGATTTAATTTATACGATTTTAAATTCCGTGAAAGGGCAACGAAGTGAACTCTGTGCGTCCATTTGCAAGGCAAAACTGATTATAAAGTGTAACAGTATCGCTCGAAAATGCAAAATTATAATTTATGAAGCGCTTAGTCACCTTTCACCTTCAAAAAGCACGTATCACCTCACTGTTAAAATCGATTTCATTATCGGAAGCAATACAGAATGCAAGGAGTTACGCTGAATTCCAGCCAACGTTTACGAAGTAGTTATGAACTTTAATTTACTTATCATCAATAATAGCCTTCTTTTCTAAAGTCGACAATAAACAAGAATATCGGGAACTAATGGGAAAAGTCAAACTATGCAGCTCACTAGCGCCGCTCTGCCGACTTCAAAAAATTTCACAAGATCCTCTTTGTACTGTAGCTGTCATGTCATTTTTTTCTTTTGTCCTTTTCTACGTCTACGTAGGTTTTATATATATTCTGACAGAACCAAACGCGATAGCAGCGCCTCTCACCGGTATGTTTGACTTACCGTGAGTTTCTGACACCAAAATCTCTGTATAAAACATATGGTAAACTCTGACATCTTTGACAAAAACAGGGCTAACAATATATTTTAAACGGGTATCTTGGCCTCAGAAACTCAAGGTATATTTTTGTATGGTTGACTTACATGCAAAATTAATATTCGATCTCGAAACAAGCATATTTTCTTATTCCTCGTTTTTCTACTTTACATTTCTAATATAATCGGTTCTTATGTAGAGTTAAATATCGAAAATAGCAATAAAAATATGATCTTTCTTAGAGGGGGATCGAATCATTTTGTACTTCGTTTCGTTCAAAATAATAAAAACAATTTTCCGCTATGTCTCAAGAACTAATCTTTTACGGCCTAAGTAAACACTAAGGCCGTAAATGTTATCTTTACAGTATTACGAATTTGATATAGGTAGGATTAGATTTATTATTTTAAGTAATAAATTTTAATTTAAAACACTGAATAAATATTTAATTGTGTATCATGGATTAAAACGCTGCATTTGGAATGCTGAATGGACAGACAGACACATTATAATTTAACAATAACAAAAATAGGTGAGGTCGTGAGGACAATCATGTGACCTCATATAATTTAGTAAATTAAAATTCACATCGACTATTTAATATTTTAATGTATGATTTAATATTTAGTAATAGACGTAATTAAATTTTAATATTATTTTAATTTACTAGTCTTCATCATCAGATATTTTTATCTAGCTGTAACATAACTAAACTCATAAACTCTATCCTTTTTTTAAATAATCACACATCTACGTAGTCATTGGTAATACCGAGACAAGTTACCACGTTTGACGAAGCTTGTCTTCAAAACCAACGTATAGGTTCGCATCATCTGATTCATTCAACAAATGTATATGTCGTCTGTGAGTTACTATTCTATGAGATAAGCCATCCAATCTGACGAGCTTTTTGAAGATTCTGCTGCCGACAGTATGGCGGTCACTAACTGCAATTTACGATGTTACAGATGCCGCCGACCACCGTGGCAGAAGACCGGCTAACGTCCGGTCACCGGCTTTCGCACCCCGCGCCCGGCGACGAGGTCCTCATCACGGGATGCTCCGGATACTTCCCGGACTCGGACTCTGTCATACATCTGCAGGAGAACCTTTTTAATAAGGTAATCACATCCAATTTATTTGATAAATTCTATATAAGTAATTGTTCTACTTAAAGAACAACATGGATTGAACATGGATATACTTTCTATCGACCTCAATTATATAATACCTTTTAGAAAGAGACTCGCGATTTACAAAACTTATGATCCTTTTTCGGCTAGTCTACTTAGTTAACCTTAAGTTTTCTAATGAATATCTGACCGGCAGGTGGACCTGATCTCTGGTGATGGGCGCCGCTGGAAGCTAGCCCACCCTGAGATTCCGCAGCGCACGGGAAAGATAAACAATGTCAACAAGTTTGACGCCTCCTTCTTCGGCGTGCACTTCAAGCAGGCGCACACCATGGACCCCATGTGCAGGATACTGCTCGAAAAGGCTTACGAAGCAGTTATTGACGCTGGTATGTTTTCTACACTATAATAAATTTCATGATGTTTATATTTTTCACCAAAGTCCAAAGCTACGGAACAAATTAGTATAATTATTTAAACTAATTCTGTATAAATTATCTGTATGGACAATTTTAAAGACTCTGAAAATCCGGTGAGTTGTCAAATGTGTACCCGCACAATACGACCACAATATAATATAACCAAATAAAAAACCTGTCTTCTTTGTATAGGAAATAACGAAACAAATTGTACCGCAGAATAAGGAAACCGAAAGCATCTGAATTACAACATCTAGTCCACCCTCCACCCCCGCCCTGGACCCCGCTCACCCCCTCCCTACATCGTAATGAGGCCAATTTATCTGAAGTAGAAAGTCGAAGGCTTTCGTAAGATTAAATTCATCGCGGTCATTCGCTAACATCGACTTGTGCTTTTCAAAATAAACGTATGAAAACAATACTGTCCATACTTGATTGGAATAATGTTAATGGCAAATTTTCGCAGTTTTTGGATAATATAATTGTCGTATTTAGGCTTGTTTGACGTGTTATCGTAGTCCATTGGAATAACAATGTGAGGGACGTCAAACAATATTGTCATCCTTTACGTTGTGTTTGATAACGACAGAGTCAACAATATGTATCAATACTAGTGTAACACATAACTTATTATTATTTAATTATCATTATAACACTTTTAATTAAATCAAAGAAAAAGATTTGGATTAGAGAAAACGCATAATTGTTACTTACATTGTTACGTTACGTTACATATTAATGTTACTTACTTAAATCGATCTATACGATTCTACTATTGGATTTAATATAATAAAATCTTAACTCAAGCCCCGTCAACAATAGTTGTACTGTATTTGAATACAACGATGAATAGAATCAATGTACGAGTAAGTTAGGAATCCATTTCATCATGAAACACAATTTAATCAACATCTAATTTCAAACAACGGACAACAATACTACAAAACCACTCGCCGGCTGCGAAGTGAGGACTCTTATCTACAAATCCATTAAAACTTTTACACTGACAGTAATTATAAGTAGATATTGTCACTGAGAACGTTGCAGAGAGCCGGTGGAATCCAAATTCCATCGTTTATGCCAATTTAATCTGTATTCGGTAGAGTAGTCGTATTTTAATAGACGAATCCCTCTTCAAAATGTTCTTGGTTAGCCAGAGATTTTCAAACTTTTTTCTTCTAGACCTCAAAACAAAATGAGACTGGCTTGTATGACCACCAGATGCTACATTTTTTTCTTTCATAATGAAACCTTACCTTTTTTCCCGCCATTGTATACTGAGTCGTTCCCTGTCCCCATGGGATCCTGGAATACTTTGAGAATCTCTGGTATAGACAATTTTGTGTTTTACGATTGTTCGAAGAAAGTTGAAAGTAATGAATTCATCCACAATTTTAGATCAAAAAGTAACAAATTTTAGTATAGATAGATAAAGTTAGTAAAACTAAGAGCTTTTTGAAAAGATATCAGCGGAACAAAAGTTCAAGTTAACATTATTATACAGATTAGTTTTGAATGTTGTTATTTATGTTGTTTCAGGTTTCAATCCAAAAGAACTTCGTAATACAAAGACTGGTGTGTTTATCGGTGCTTGCTTTTCTGAATCTGAGAAAACTTGGTTTTATGAGAAAATGCAGGTCAACGGTTTTGGTGTTACTGGGTGAGACATTTCACATATTTCAGTGTTTACTACGAATTAATTTAATATTGTTTTAATATCTCTTATGTAACAATAATGTTTAGTTTAAGGAACTGATGAACTAAAAAATATATTACTAATTCCCGTTATTTTTAACTTAAAACTAAGCTTAGTTAAAAGTTTTGAGTGTAACAAAGTCCAGGTGAGGAAGGCAACGCTAATCTGAATAATGGAAGTTGAAACGACTTTCCTATTAGCTTTGGTTATAAAGTAAAATATTATCCAGAGTTGTAAAAGTTACATTTGAAAAAGTGAATGATTGAATTGGATGAAATTCGGAACAGTGACACTCCGAAATAGCACATTAAATACTACCTTAGTTCCTGACAGATATATTCATTTTTTTTCTTTTTACGTTCTAACTTAGTAATGAAATATATTCGATGTTGTGAGTTGTGTTATATACATTTTCAAAACGCGAGACATTTGAATTCGATTGTATCACCAACAGATGTTCCCGCGCCATGTTAGCTAATCGTATCTCCTACTGGCTGGGAGTAACCGGTCCCTCGTACACGGTTGATTCAGCGTGCTCCAGCTCGCTGTACGCCCTTGAGCACGCCTTCAGAGCCATTCGCGATGGCCACTGTGACGCCGCTATTGTCGGTGGTTCCAACCTCTGTCTACACCCTTATGTCTCTTTGCAGTTCTCCAGGTAACGTGTGGAAATACCTTTAAGTTTTTAATATTACGTTTAACAAAAAGATTAATTTCTGTGCTTTGTTCTTTGGTAAGTTTTATCGTATTGTTTTCTTTACCAGATTGGGAGTGTTGTCACCTGATGGCCGTTGTAAAAGTTTTGATAACAGTGCAAACGGCTACGCGCGTTCTGAAGCGATCGTCGTATGTTTCCTACAAAAAGCCAAAGATTCCCGAAGGTAAATAATACAAAAACACATAGAGATGATTACTCGTGTATTGTATAGTATTTACTCACATAATTTCTCGTTAGATTTTTCTTGTGAGAAAATAGATAAGTTGTATATGTAAAAACAAACAGGTTTAAAATGAATAATCTAATTGACTATTGTTATTTTTGTCAATTAAATGCTGCTATTAATTTTATTTTAGAAAAATATCGTTGTTTGGCGCAGTAACCAACTTCAATTAAAACGTTTTGTCTTTTAATGTTATTTCTGTAACAATATTTTAAAATTAATTATAATTAAAATGAATTTGTATAACAAAAGCGAATCTTACTTTCGTGTTATAATATTTAACTATAATTTTCCTTTCATATCCGCGTAACACCTTAATACACTTTTACCTATTTGTTTTTTAAAAGTTAAAAGTGGTGTTACCAACTTAAAAAACCGTCTAACCGTCTGAATACGTACTATGGTTTTAGATATCAAACCCAATTTTATTAATATTTAAGGCTTTCTCTGTAGACACGGTAAAATAGTTAAAGCCCTTGAACTTATAACTCTTACTCACTAATGCCCTCTGTAGCAATGCACACAATTTTATTTTACATTAAGCGTACCCTTGCAGAGTATACGCTCAGCTGCTCCACGCGAAGACGAACTGCGACGGGTACAAGGAGCAGGGCATCACGTATCCCGCTGGACAGATCCAGAAGCTGCTTCTCAACGAGTTCTACGAGGAGTGCTCCATACCACCATCTACATTGGAATTCGTCGAAGCTCACGGCACTGGTATGCAAAGCTAATCGGATCTAAAGACATTCAAATTTGTGATTCTAGAAGCTTTTCTTTCTTGCAGACCTCTCAGAATATTATTGGTTTTGAAAGAACCCCCCCTCTTCTAAGTTTCTATTTCGACTAATTAAGCCTGAACTTTATTCTTGCCATTTTACACTCCTGCCGGATCTTCTGTAGACCCTATGAGGACCTGGATCACTTTGGGAGTCACAATAAACAATAAATTACATGTTTGTTTAGTAGCCTATATTTGTGTTATACAGGTACTCGCGTAGGCGACCCCGAGGAACTGCTGGCGATCGACGAGGTGTTCTGCACAGGTCGCTCGGAGCCGCTCATGATTGGCTCGATCAAGTCCAACCTGGGCCACAGCGAGCCCGCCTCTGGACTTTGTTCTATCGCTAAAGTTAGTCCATAAATCATAGAGTAATATCACCTCGCATAATATTCCAACAATTCTTTCTGTCCTCATACTGTACTTCATAAATAAGTGATAAATGTGTATCGTCATCATCTTGCAGTGTCTGTCTATCGTAGGGCTTCCTCAATGTATTTCACAAGAGTCCTCAAGGTGGTCAATCTCTTATAACAATTAAGTAGTAAAATCTGTACTTAATTTTCAGCTCTGCATTGCGTATAGCACGGGATACATCCCACCCAACTTAAACTACAAAGTGCCGCGTGAGGGCGTGGCGGCGCTGTCAGAGGGTCGCATGCAGGTGGTAACTGACAAGCAGCCCTGGGGCCGCGGCCTCTCCGGCATCAACAGCTTCGGCTTCGGCGGTGCCAACGCGCACGTACTCCTCAAGAACGTCGGAAAACAAAAGGTCAGTATTATAGAGAGTATTATTATTTACTTATTTAAGTATTTAAAGTATTGAAAAGCGAGCAAACCTACTTAAATATATACAGAGAGGAACAATAGTGGTATTAGAAGTATTGGAAGTCAGGAAAAAGAAAAACTCATTACGCCGCGCTAATATTCTCTGATTGCTTTACATATATCAAGGTATTATTCAGATAAATGGAACAAAATGTTTTCAGGTAAACAAAGGTATGCCATCGGACGATCTACCGCGGCTGGTGTGTGTGTCAGGGCGCACGGAGGCCGCAGTCGCCCGCATACTGGATGACCTGGAGTCGCGCACAGTCGACGTTGAACTGGTTCGTCTGCTACATTCCATACACAACGAAGATATCGCCGGACACGTCGTGCGAGGATATACATTACTCGGTAAGTAGGAACAGTTGATGAAGAACACATAATTTATAAAGTCACAGCTGGAAATGTACAAGGTTCAATCTTGTAATTATTGCTAAATTAAAAATAATAATATATAGACGCTGTAATCGCACATTCATTGCCACAAAAAATGCTTATATCTTCTTATTTTGTAGGATCAACACCAACAAAGAGTGTGAGTTTATCCCGCGACATCCAATACTTCTCCGGCGTTCAGCGGCCTGTGTGGTTTGTGTACTCCGGCATGGGCTCGCAGTGGGCCGGCATGGCCACACAGCTCATGAGGATACCTGTCTTCGCTGCCGCTATACACAAGTCAGTAACACACCTCTTTACACACTTTCAATGCAAAACTAAAAGGTCCTTCATTATTTATTCTTACACAGTAAAAGATAAGTATAATTGTCGCTTTCAGAACCGTGTTGGTTGGTGGTTAGCAGTTGTTTAGTGTAGATTTCTCATGCTTAATCTTCACTAAGCGAACGTAGTTTGTACTTACTAAAATTATTCACAATTTGATAGACCTTGCAAAAGCCTAGTATAATAATTTATTTTGTCTTTCAAATAACATATTTGTCATACTCATTTTAATTTCTTTTGTTCTAGATGTCACAAAGTGTTAGAACCGAAAGGCATCAACCTGACAAAGATAGTGACGGACCCTGACCCGCGGATATACGACAATATACTTAACTCCTTCATCGGCATCGCGGCTGTGCAGATCGGTCTCACAGATGTGCTCAGAGCTGTCGGCATCCAGCCAGACTATATCATTGGTAAGTCTAAATTCCTCTTCAGTTTTCCCTACGAAAGGTCGACAAATTTGTAAACTATGTATTGGCAACCAGGTCACAGTGTCGGTGAACTGGGATGCGCGTATGCGGACGGTTGTTTCACTGCGGAAGAGATGATCCTGTCTGCGTATTCCCGCGGCCTCGCCTCCATCGAAACGCCCTTCATCAAGGGATCCATGGCTGCAGTCGGATTAGGATACAATCAGGTTAGTTTTATATGTTATGCTAAAATAAAGGAACATTACATTTTATTCATACATATTTTTATGGAAACTCTTTAGATTTTAAAAATAGATGAAATGGTAACGAAAAATCAAATGAGAGAGTGGGGTTCCAGTGTCGAAATATTTGTATAAAAACATATTAACAACAAGATCTTGAAGTAAACTTCTTAAATTTTCGTGAACAGATCAAATCAATATGCCCGCCGGAGATTGAGGTAGCGTGCCACAACGGACCAGACTCGAGCACCATCTCGGGCCCTGCCGACATCATGAAGCAGTTCGTAGCGCAGTTGAGCAAGCAAGGAGTGTTCGCCAAGGAGGTGCCCTGCTCCAACATTGCTTACCACTCCAGATACATCGCTGATGCTGGTAACTAACTAATAAACTAACTAATCGACCAAAATATTATTAAAAAAAAAAATATAAAGATCAAATGAATATGACTGTGTTTTTATTTATTTCATGAATAGGTCCCAAGCTACTGAAATATCTAAGAGAAGTGATCAAGGACCCTAAGCCCAGATCCGAGCGCTGGGTGTCGACTTCGGTGCCTCAAGCTTTATGGAAAGATCCTAGAGCTGAACTATCATCAGCTGAATACCACACCAACAACCTATTGGTAAGAACTTTTCATATTTTTTAACTCTCTTCTCTAACGTAGAGTCAAAACGATCGATAAAATGATGTTTAATGTTTAATTGAATTCCTCAGAGTCCAGTGCTATTCGAAGAGACGGCACGCCTCATCCATCCCAACGCAATCACCATAGAAATCGCCCCACACGGTCTGCTGCAGGCCATCCTGCGCCGTTCCCTCAAGGAAGAGGTTATGAACGTCGCCCTCACACAGAGGAAGCACGAAGACAATGTTCAAGTAGTGTTCAACGCATTAGGAAAGTAAGTAAAAACACATCAGAGAAAGATTGTTATGTTTGTAAACAAGCATTGTTGTTAGTCGATATCTAGCTAGGATAAGTTGAAACAACAAGAAAGAAACATTATTCAGCATTGAAAAATTGTCTTATTTGTGATTGAACGCTTACATATGTAAACATTTTTATTTGTAGGTTATACGAGACGGGTTTGAACCCGCAGCTGGCTAACCTGTACCCGCACGTGGAGTTCCCCGTGTCACAGGGAACGCCGATGTTATCGCACCTCGTCGAATGGGAACACAGTGAAGATTGGTGAGTAATATTCACAAGTGATAATCTTATTATTATTGAAAACGCTTTCATTTTACAAATCTAAAAATCTAGTTCTATGTGCATGCGTCTATTTATTTTTACTTTTCCCTTTTTTGTTTCAATATAATATGATTTGAAAAATATTATCTATTAATAACGTATTGGCTTAAGCATAAATGTCATCTTATGAATGTTTGATTATAATTTGATGTTATCTCGTAGGTACGTAACATCGTATAAGGCGCAAGAGAAAATGAAGTCTGGTGAAAGGACAGTCAGAATGTCGATCATTGATGAAGATAGCGAGTACATGGTTGGGCACGTTGTCGATGGTAAAGTATTCTGAATGCTTTTTTCCCTTTTATTTAATAATTCCAAGAAAATAAATCATATATGCATTTATGAATCACAGGTCGCAACCTCTACCCTGCCACCGGGTACCTGGTGCTAGTTTGGGAGACGCTGGGCATGATGATGGGTGAACTGTACACGGAAGTGTCTGTTGTGTTCGAGAACGTCCGCTTCCAGAGAGCCACCAACATACCCAAAGAGGGCAACTTGGAGTTCATTGTCATGATACAAAAAGGCAGCGGGAACTTTGAGGTTAGAATTGGTTGTTGATATTAATAACTTCATTAACAACCTTTGTCTTCTACACGTATTTAAGTACTTATGAGTGTCATTCGTTATAAAAATTACAGTTGAATCTTTTCCTGTATTGCAGATTGTAGAAAGTGGTGCGTCGATCGTAACAGGCCGTATTTACGCCAAGAAGAACGTTGGCCAAGAATACCGCGTGCTCCCCGCGCCACCCGAGGTGACGGGACCCGACGTCAGACACATGCTTACTAAAGACTTCTACAAGGAATTGCGTCTTAGAGGCTATCAATATAGGTATAAATGTACATTATTAAAACAAACATTTATAATTTAGTAATTTTACAATAATTACTTCATAAAATGATAACAGAATTTATCATAACGCTTCGGGGTCTGTATTCAATTTTGAAGCAAAATTACCAAACATCATTTGCACGTTAATCACTTTAACAATAACGCTCAAACAGCCGTGATAAATTAGTTCATCAACACATAAGACCGTAATACTTAGTTGTTTAATATCTGATATTTCCCTAATGGGAGAATCTAGTGAAGTTCAGAAATAGCTTCAAAAATATTAAACATGACATTTATTTCAGCGGCCTGTTCCGTGGTGTTGTCGGTTGCAACGTGGAAGGAACTCGCGGCCGCCTCGCGTGGGTCAACAACTGGGTCACCTTCATGGACTGCATGCTGCAGCTGAAGATCGTCGGACAGGACACGCGCGGTCTCTTCGTGCCAACCAGGATAGAAAAGCTCTGCATCGACGCCGCGATGCACTACAATGCTATCTCAAATATGAATCCGGACTCTAACAGACAATCATTTGAAATACGCGTCTATCCAGATGTCGACGTTATCAGGTAAATTCATAAACAAACATTTTTCACAATAAATTGACTGTATCATGACAGGTACAGGTTTAGGTTCCAGGCGTCTATTTATCTATTTATATTGCTTAATTATTAATTCTCGTTATAATGTTTAGAGCTGGTGGAGTTGAAATCAGAGGTCTTCACGCCACACCCATATCTAAGAAGATACCACTAGGTGTTCCTGTTCTTGAGAAAAATGAATTTGTTGCTAACTTTGGTAAAGATAAGATGAAGGTAAATTGCATAATAGCACAGTATGTTGTGATTTAAATATTTTTCATACATTATTGCTAATAATGAGTTTCTTATTACACAGATGGAAGATATTCTGCGTGCCAATATTCAAATAATTCTAGAAAACATACAGACATACAAAGTAAAGAGCATTGAAGTTGTCGATGAAGAATACAAAACAAATGAATTAAGTCCAGTCATTGAGACGGTAGCTGACGTGCTCGGAGATCTGCCTCTAGTGCAGGCTGAACTACTAGTTCTAACAGAGGAAACACTTGAAATGCCCTCACACATTACCGTGGAAAATAAAAAACTAACCGGAGAAAGCAATACTGTAATCTTCGTTGGAGCTAATCTTTTACAAAGACCAGGCGTATGTATATAATATTTTACTGCAAAAACACAAATTTATCGTATTTATACTTTAACTAACAAAATAATTTTCAGGTTCTCCAACAAGCCGTGTCAACATTAAGAGATAAATGCTTCATTATAAGTCGCGAAAAAAATCGTCCCAATCCCAAAGATTACTCGGATAAATACGACATAGTTACCATTTACGATACTGGAGTAGAATATGTCGTCATGTTCAGAAAAAGAATTGGAGCTAAACCTGCCAAATTCTTTAGAATCCTGGCAGCAGATCAAGAATTCTCTTGGATCGACAAAGTCAAGGAGGAACTCAAAGAGGGACAAAAAGTAGTACTTTACAGTCAAGACGAGCCTATTAATGGTCTTTTAGGTCTTGTTAACTGTCTAAGAAGGGAACCTGGTGGAGAAATTGTATACGGTCTGCTTATAGCCGACCCGTCCGCACCACCTTTTAACCCAGACTTGGAATTCTATGAGGAACAATTGGATAAGGATCTTGCTTTGAATGTTTATCAAGATGTAAGTTTATAGATTAACTATATATCGTCCGCGACTCCGTCCGCATGGAATAAAAAAACTTAATAAGTAGCCTGTGTGTTCTTCTAGAGTATGTTCTATATCAATGCCAAATTTCAGCGACATCCGTTCAGCCGTTCCGGAGGTACTCCAACAAACATCCAACCATCCATCTAAATAATTATAATATTAGTAAGATAAGAAACTGTGAAGTTTACCCCAACCGGTTACATCTAGATCTGACTTTTCAGGGTCAATGGGGAACATACCGGCACTTGCTACTTGGAGATTTGGAAACTATAAAGGCTGCACACGCTTTTGTTAACACGACAACTATCGGTGATTTGTCTTCATTGAAATGGTTACAAGGTAACCTTAAGGAGAATCATCAATTCAAAAATCCAAACAAGATTCTTATTCAAGTAAGTAAAAATTTCTTACGTTAAATTGAAAAATTAGAACTTAGTTATCGCCTTTCTTTCATATTATTTTCTTGTTCTAACTTTGAGTAATTCTATAATTATGTTTGTCAATTAGCAGTCGAAGTACTTACAATTAATTTTACATTTTATAATAAATTTTCAGGTTTACTGCGCGGCTCTGAACTTCCGTGACGTAATGACAGCAATGGGCCGCGTTACAGTGGACGCGGTGGCTCGCGGCAGGCTGAACCAGGAGTGCGTGCAGGGCTTCGAAGTTGTGGGCAGGACGCCTAAGTAAGTTACACTACCTTACATGCGTTTATTTTACGTTTAGGAATATGTTATATAAAAATTATTTTTTATGTTTCACTTATAATAATGACTTTGTTACTTAACAGCGGTTCCCGTGTCATGGCTATGGTCCGCAACAGTGGTATGGCCAACATGGTGGCTGGTGATAAGATTCTGATGTGGAACATTCCTGACGAATGGACCTTTGAAGAGGCTGCAAGCGTTCCCGTTGCTTACGGAACTGTCTACTACGCATTTGTAAGTAAATTCTAAAGGATTCGTGATACATAAATGTTAGCAACGTTATAGATATAGCGTGACGCTAAGTCCAATGCTTGGTGTTATTAACCATCATTATCTTGTATGGCAGGTGATGGTGGCGCGGCTGCAGCGCGGCGAGTCGGTGCTGATTCATGCTGGGTCTGGCGGTGTGGGTCAGGCCGCCATCAACGTGGCGCTGCACTACGGCTGTGAGGTCTTTACCACCGTCGGCACACCTGAGAAGAGGGCTTTCATCAAGAAACTCTTCCCGCAACTTAAAGGTTTGAGGAAATCTATACATACCAATGTACCTTGTTCGGCTTAGTATATATGTAGGAAAATAAATAAGTAAAGCTTTGTATTAATTCTTACTTTTTGTATTTAATAGACAGTCACATTGGCAATTCCCGTGACACATCATTCGAAGATATGATCCGACGTGAGACCAAAGGAAAGGGCGTAGATGTAGTACTGAATTCACTGTCCGATGAGAAATTGCAGGTAAATGCTACGATATTGTTTAGTATTATAGGATAAAGATAATACGTGGTAATACTTCGAGAATAACATCTAATTTTATATCTACATGTGAATTGATATATTCCTGTTTCCAGGCGTCAGTGCGTTGCTTAGGCTACCGAGGCCGATTCCTCGAGATCGGCAAGTTCGATATCAGCAACAACACACCAATCGGCATGTATTACTTCCTTAAGGAGACCTCCTTCCACGGCATCATGTTGGACTACATCTTCGACCAGAACATTGAGTTCAGAAAGGTCAGTCATGTTCGCTTCAATATATTTTATAGTATAAGACATATTGTGGCTGCTTGTCAACTATAGTAACCACTCTGTTGATTTATATTCCTAACTAGCTGTCGCCCGCTACTCCGTCCGCGTAGATATATAAAAAGAACTAAATATATATAATAGATAAGTTAAAAAAAGAAGCTCTTCAAGGCATACATTCGAAAAAAAAAAGAATAAATAGTATCCAATATCCGCCTCCTGTCTCTAAGCTACCTCCTCAAAAATTTTCAGCCATATCGGTAAAGCCGTTCTTGAGTTATAAATATTATTTTATATATAAATATATATATATATAATTGATTTGTAAAAGTTATTTTGAGGTTAAAACTGAGCGTGTTGTTTAGAAACTGCAAGATCTTTTGCTGACGGGTATCGAGAGCGGTGCCGTGCGACCACTCACTTACTGCATTTTCGAGAAGGACGAAATGGAACAGGCCTTCAGATACATGGCTGCCGGCAAACACATCGGCAAGGTAACCTTCCATTATAGGACCATCTGATACAAAACATTTAGCTACCAATCTAAATAATTAATAATAAACTAGACTCCTTGGCTAGCTAAATAAATTTCAATAAACTTAAGAAAGATTTATGGAGACTTGATTTGAGTTTATTCTTTATTAGGTTATTGTTAAAATTCGGGATGAGGAGCGCATTAATCGACCAGTCAAGCCCACGAGCGTGTTCATAGATGCCCTTCCAAGGTAATAATAAAAATTTCATAAGTCAAAAGTAAACGACTATTAGTTAACGGGCGAAATTAATTCGGTCTCGAACCATTTTGCATTTAATAATATTGGTTGCACTAATCACATATTAATAAAGTACTAATCCATTTAGTTCATTTTACTCATCAATAAATATTATCTTTTGTTTAGAGGACGATTGAATTATTTTTTTTATCGTAAAATGTATTTAAGTTTTGGATCGATCATTACATTCGGCAATACATTCGCCCCATATAGTCTTTTCTTGCTAGCTTTTTATATTTACGAAATAATTTCCATATCCCAGGTATACCTGTCAGGAAGAGCTGGTGTACGTTGTGGTGGGAGGTCTGGGCGGCTTCGGGCTGGAACTGGCAGACTGGCTCATCATGCGCGGTGCTAGAAAGGTGCTCCTTACCTCTCGCAAGGGAATCACCAACGGATACCAATCCAGCAGGATAAGGTTTGTTCTTTTTATACATTCTTCGTTCATTCTTAATCCTAGTCATCTATTAAAAAGAACATTGATCGTAATAACATTCTATTGTATTCTTAAAAATGTAAAGATTTCTTAAGTCACAGGACAGAACTTGGGGACGATTGAATAGGTCGGAGTATTACAACCAAATTAATGTTTATTTCAGGGCGTGGTCTTCATATGGCGCCGATGTTCGTATATCAACTCACGACGTGGTGACGGAATCCGGGTGCGAGGAAATGCTGAAGATGGCCAACTCCATGGGCCCCGTGGAGGCGATCTTCAACTTGGCAGTCATCCTCAAGGACTCCATATTCCAGAATCAGACACCGGAATCTTTCAAAATATCGTTCGGACCAAAAGCGATCGCCACAATGAATTTGGACAAATTATCGAGAAAACTTTGTCCAGAATTAAAGTGAGTAGGATTAATATATCAAAATATAATTTGACCAAATTAAATGGGGCAGTACATACATTATAAGGAAGGAATACAATACAAAATTTTAAATACAAAATTTAATATAAACGAAACGAGGAATTGAAAACGAAAGCAAAACCTTAATCTTAAATCGACTCTGAGTCTACAAGTTGTTGGAAAGCTAATAATTTTCATAGTTTTTCTAATAACACTTTTAACATGGTTTCTAAACTTTCATTAAATTTTTTCAGGGACTTTGTAATATTCTCTTCGGTGTCGTGTGGGCGCGGGAACGCCGGACAGACGAATTACGGACTCTCGAACTCCGTCATGGAGAGGATCTGCGAGTGGAGGAAGAAACTTGGTCTGCCCGCGCTCGCTGTGCAGTGGGGCGCCGTCGGAGATGTAAGCATCGTTGTAACCTGTAAAGTTTAGTATATGAATTTGACTGGAAATTTGATCTTTCACATGGTCTTGACATGGCGCAGGTGGGTCTGGTAGCAGACATGCAGGACGAGGACGTGCAGCTTGAGATTGGCGGCACTCTGCAGCAGAGGATCTCTTCATGCCTGTTGTCATTGGACAAATTCCTCAAGCAGGACGCGCCCATCGTCTCCTCCATCGTAGTCGCCGAGAAGAAGGCCGGCGGCTCCGGCTGCGGGAACATAGTCGACACCGTTGCACAAATTATGGGTAAAGAGAAAGAGAGCTCACTTTGCAACCTTTGACATCACATTGCCACACTCAAAATCGTTAACGTTTCATTTTGTTGGGGGAATCTACACTAAGCGACTTTTAGTAAAAATCGAATCAAAACATACTGAAAATTATGTGTCTTCTACGTTTATAATATCTAAAGTAAGAATAAACGTACAGGTATCAAGGATTTGAAGACGGTGTCGCAGCAAGTGTCGTTGGCTGAGCTGGGTATGGACAGTATGATGGCGGTCGAGATCAAACAGACGCTCGAGAGAGAGTTCGAGATCTTCCTCACAGCACAGGACATTAGGACGCTCACCTTCGCCAGGTATATTAACTTAAATAGTAATTACCTGGAAACTTTGATCAAATAACGTTTGTGGGATTTCTAAAGTGGTCCAGATGGATACCCTGGGGCCGAAAGAATTCCTTGAGGTATACGATGACTGGATGTACTTTTGATTTTGATCTTACAGGTCAAAGAAAATATGTAAAGCAGGAGGTTCAGCGAAAACAGTGAAATTTAAAAAAATGTCATATAACAAACAATTTTTTTATGATGACGTTGTTATTTACACTTAATTATTTTGTTATGTAATCGTTACAGATTAGTGGAATTGACGGCGCAGAGAGAGGCGGCAGCGTCAACGTCGGCAGCCCGACCTGTGCAAGCGGACGCGGCTGCCGGACTCCGCGTCTTCATCCGGAACTTCGGCGACGAGAAGGTCGCTTCCGAGCCCCTAATCTACATGTCTACGATGGTCTCAGATGGTGGAGATGTAAGTATACACCAAAGAATTAAGAATGCAACATCTCATCAGGAAAAAATCTGTCTGCATTTAATTTTGTATTTCGTCTTTCACCAGTAAAGTATGTCAGCAATGTATTTAGGAATAAATGAATAATACCGATTTAATTATTATAATGTGTATGTTGCAGAATGAAGTACCGATCGACGAGTCAGAGCCGGTGATGTTCATGGTGCCAGGGCTGGAGGGTTGCGCGGCTGTCATGGAGCCACTCTGCCGCAGGCTTAAGATCAAGATATGCGCGCTGCAGCTCGGCACCGAATACAGGAACGAAGATATCGAGTCAATGGTCAACAGGCTGCACCAGGTATGTTTGGTCCTAACTATATTTTCGTTTTAAAATCTTCTGCCAGTTTCTCATTTTATGTTTTAAGTAAAGTTGTACGACAATTGACGCACTCATGTTTTGTTTTAGACAATGAAGAGTCGGCTGGTCCCAGGAGCACCCTTCATTCTGCTCGGATACAGCTTCGGCACCTTGCCCGTCCTAAAGTTGGCGTCTGCACTTGAAAACGACGGTAAGTTTGTAACTTATATCTCATATTCTAAGTTTATAAAAGTAATAGATATAATATAACACTTAATTTATTTCAGGTCACAAGGGTAGCGTTTTCTGCATTGACGGAGCACCTGACTTCCTGTACAACTTGCTCACCATGACACTAGACACCAAAGATGACGTCTTGCTGCAGAACAGCTTAATCTGTCACATCATTGACACCGTGTCTCCTAACAATGAGGTGACCAGTACTCTCATGGCGAAACTCAACGAGATAGAGTCATACGAGGAAAGGATTAAGTTTGCAGGATCAACGTTGCCCGTGAACCAAAAGTATTCGGAGAACTTCGCAAGCGCGATGGCGGTGGCCAGTTTTGAAAGACTAAAGATGGTTTTGGACTTTAAGCCTCTGGAGAAGAAGCTATCAGCTCCAATATACCTTCTGAGACCAAAAGATCCCCCTCCGTTTGTAACTTGCGAGGAGAACTACGGCCTCGACAAATACACCGAAGGCCAAGTGACCGTACACAATTTGGAAGGCAACCACATTACGATTATTGAAAATAAGGATTGCGCCAATATTATTAACAGAATTTTATTGCAAAAAGATAAGAATAAGGATACAGGCAAAACTGCTCTTAATGTTGTAACCAGTATGGTTGAAAATCAAAGAACCGTGCAAATCTAGTATAACATTTATAAAACCGTAAAATTAACTACACTATTCTTGTTAATTTCACTGTTTATTATATTTATATAGTGTTTATTTATTGTTGTAACTTATTTAGTTGTTAATATTGTTTTAATTTGCAACACAAAGGCCAGTACCAAATAAAATATTCATTAGATAGTTTATATTTTGTAATTGCGTAGAATATTTTGTGACTGGGTCTTTCTTAGGTGAGTGTTAAGTTTGCATAGCTTTCTATTAACTAACTTGTGGTACTTCATTATTTAATTAACTTTTTTTTTATTTATGTGATGGGATTAGAAAATATAATATTAATGTTTTGTATTTTATTATTTTCCTTTCATCCCTTCTGTTTACTTCGCATTCAAATAAATTGAATATGTTACCTTTACAGTAAAAAGGAACCCAGAGCTAAAGAACTACTAAAACTATTAAAACTGCTAGCTCTCGCTCGTGTATACATCAGCGCGGAATTAAAAAAAATAATAATATTAGAGATAAAAACTCCCGAGTTGGGCCAAATTACATATACTTACAAAATTTGGTAAGAATTGGTTCAGTAGTTTCGGAGTTTATCGCGAACATATACTCGTATCCAGACACGAAATTTCTATACTAAAACTAGCTGTCGCCCGCGGCTGCGTCCGCGTAGATATATAAAAAAACTTAATTAGTGTAGCCTACGTGTTCTTTCAAACTATGTTCTATACGTATGCCAAATTTAATCGAGATCTTTCAGCCGTTCTAGAGATACCTTCATACATAATATTTGTTGCAAAATCATAGTTGAAAACATCTCTGGCAAACACAAAATGCCACAAAGTTTTATAAGTAAAACCAAGGTGTGGCTTGTTTTAATGTAATTACTGTTCCTGCGGGAGTTTCATTACGCGCCGGGAATAATTAGCGCCTACGAGCGCGTCTGCACTTTGTCGCTGTTACATCTGAGTAATTTGCAAAAAACCTACGCTTATACACCTTATGTAATAAATCGTCATACGTTTTTCTCCACATTTCATCATGAAATCATCCAAAGGGCAAAAGTACTGACAATGGCGACGTACGAATCAAAGTTTAAATATTACTAATATCATAAATGCGAAAATTTAAATGGATGGATGTTTGTTAGAAGTTATCTTCAGAAAGCTGATTTGGCATAGAAGAACACAGTCTGGCAAAACACATAGGCTACTAATTTCTTTTTATCCCGCGCGGACGGAGTTGCGGGCGAAAGCTAACATGTACCTGAAAAAATATATATAAAGAGCTGGTTATTTCTCACAATAATAGAATAGATTTGGTATTTATGTAGAATACTTAAAGAATTAGTCAATTAAGAACATGCAAATTTATATAAATTTAATATTAGGGATTTATTTGGGTAGGGCTTTATCAAGTGATTTATTTGTTCGGGATTAAATAATATGAACATTGAAGGTCTATTTCGTTTCTCTTGGTGGTTGAAATTATATTGTAACTATACGTTGTAATTTCATACGTATTTAGTAAAGGATAAGGCATAATTTTGTAAGAAATAATTCAAAGGGAATTAGCTTCGTGCTTATAAATGTTCAATGAAGTGATAATTTTGCAAAATTGAGAAAATTTATTTCACATTTTCATGAGACAAATTATTGTATCTGAATAAGATACATTCTTAATGTGATTTTACATTTTTCCAATACATTTTAAATCAACAAAACCTCCTTATTTACGATATTTTCCGATTTCCGACCAAAAGCCAAACTTTAAGAGTTCCAAACTTCTTACGCCCTCGGCTGTCCTTTTTTTGCTATACAATCAATTTCATTAAAAAAAGGTCCATGATTTCTTTACAAATCTTAACCTTGGAGTTGTCACATAAATTTCAACATAAAATTCGTATAAATCACAATAAGATTCTTCCAAAAATTTCTAACAAGTTTTAAAATTATTTCTGTCATAATTTTCTTTTGTATAATAACTGTAGTCCGCGTCTCCGTCCTCGCGAATTAAAAAAAAAATAATAGCCAATGTCTTCTTCCATATTATGTTCATCTATACCAAATTTCAGCGAAATCTGTCGAGTCGTTATAAAGATAACTTCTAACAAAAATACAACCAAACATTCACATTTATAATGTTGGTAAGATGTTACAAAACTTCTACCAACACGTAAAATATTTATTTATGACATCATAATATTTTTCATGCTGGCAATAAACCGTCTCCACACACATTCTTGAGGGAATTCCTTTAGCTTGGCTCTTTGGAAATTGATTAAAATCGCTGTTCCTTAGATGAGTTATATAACATTCTTTATATTCCATTATTTTTATTAATTTCGTACCCTTACTGTTAGGGAATACGTCTAAATATTTAAATTATCGAATATTAACTGCGTTTTAATCTTCCAACTATATTTTTATTAGTACTCACATGTAAGTAACATTGTAGATGCGTCTGCGTTCCGAAGAATTAATTTTAGTCTTCTTTCTTTTCCCACCATTATCTTATAAAGAAAGAATGTTGCATAGGAAGTTGAAATAATATATTTCTGTGCGTCCTCCGTTGTTTAAAGGAAGACAACACATCAGTCTTAGTTATGATATAAAGATCCTTAGAGCAAATTGCAAAATTACGTCGAAAAAAATTGAAAAAATACTTGAATGTAATTTGAGAGAAAATAAAGATAGTGTTAATTATTTTAAACCACTGCACTATCGTTCTAACATACGACGTTACAAAATGAGTTGTCCAAACAACATCGTTCAACTCGTCTGATGTCGGAGCAGCGCGCTGTTCAAATACCTAAGTGAATTAGACTCGCTTGATTTATTCCTTCACTGGAGCGTTTATTGCAAGATACTTTTGAAATTCTCTTTCAGCCAACCACTGATTTACACAATGTATAATAACTTACAATGTTTTAATCAAAGTATGATATGAACGTTTTTAATAATCAAGTATATCGACTTTCGACTACAATAACAAATTATTAATAATAAATACAAATTATAAATACGAATGTTTAGATGAATGTTTGTTTAAAGGTATCTAGTAAACGGCTAAACGAATCTGAATAAAAAAATTCATACATAAAGAACATAGTCTGGAAGAACACATAGGGTACTAAATGTTTTTTAATTCTACGCAGACGCAGTCGTCGTGGACAGCTAGTATATTATACAAAAATACCGCAAGCAAGTTCTTTTGAAGGAACATAGAAGTGAAAATTTCTTGATATGAAAATGCTTAATGCGGACCCCTAAGTTATCTGCACTCTTAGAATATTAAATGCTTCTCGTTCCTTTCTTAATAACGCCGTAAACCCATAAAATGTGAACAGTTGTCATATTAATACAAAATGTTTTCCATAAATATTATTCTTTAAGGGCAATAAAATCAAAGTCGTTTTTCAAAACATTTTTCACTCAGTATGTACGCGGCGATTCCTCGAAGGGCCGTAAATATTAATAAATTTGACATTAGAAAGATTTAGGGCAAGTTAGTGCCACGCAACAATACGTGCATTGAAAACTAAGTAACAATTTGTTAAGAGATGGAAATAGAAAACAAACATACGGAATATTAGCAGAATATTTGAAAACTTACTACTACGTCTTGTAACATGACAGTGGTCGATTGTCAGGATTCGAACCAACTACCAAATAATCCTATATCCACACCTTAACCATTACGTTACTGGCATTTTGAAAAAAAATTTGTTTCTTTCTATTTACGTTTTTATTTAAAAAAAAAAGCATAAAAGGCAAAGTATCATTAAATTGAAAACAAAAACTTAAATACGAACAACTTTACGCTTTACGTGACATTTTTTAATTGGCACTCATAGACTTGGCCTGCATTGACGAAACTCTCAGAATGGCACTTCATTAGTGTATAGAAACGTCTCATTAGGGGAGACGAATGCGCCTCACTCGCATTTCCCTAACTCAAATACTTCTTACACTGATATAGAACAAAATTCTTTAAATTGTATCAATACTGCGCTTATCTGACTTTAATATATTCCTGTTTGATAATCACCTTTACCCCAAAGAAGGTTAGGCTTTTATTACAAGGAAATATGGAATTAGTAGAGAAAACGGTGACAAGATACAAAAACTATTTTACTAAAGTAACTAGCAGTGTCATTAAAGAACTTACTAAATAAATTTTAGCGAAATCACATAATCCCAGAAAACCAGAGATACTAGGATGGCATAATATAAAAGCAAAAGAAAAAATAGTGTCTATGAATTTAACTGTGAGTTTCCGCCGTCTTTGTTTTTGACACAGAATAATAAAGATGACAACACATTTTGTCCACGTGTTAAATTAACATGTTACATTGCACGTAGTCCTCGTATTTAGTTGTACGAATTCTATTATACAAGTATTTCCCGCGTTTAAAGTTTTAATTATTTAGGGGCAGGGTCGGACCCGGCCTGCGGAGTAATTGTTTTAATTTGTCACAGGCGCGGTGCACACGGCGCTATACATTGCCACAAATATACAGCAGTGAAAACTTACTACAATAGTCACTTTTTCTTTACTTGGAACAGCAGATTTTCTACCCATAATAATAAAATTGGAGTGTCTGTATTTTTAGACATTATTATAATAGTTAGAATCCTTTGGCGCGAATGACGTGCTTTCGTTACAAAGTCCAGTGTCAGAATGAATGAACGTCGACATTTTCGTAAGTCTACTGTTGCGTCATTTTCGGATTTTCTTCCTACAAGTTTGTAATATGGAATCATATTTTGTACGTACGATGTATTTGCGTTGCTGATAATCAAAAACCATTTATTTTTTTGTATGTCTGAATGTCTGCCCGCAAGTATGCCTTTGTTCCGAGTAATCTGCAGAACGGCTGGATCGATTTTGAAGGGATGAGACAGGAAGGCACACATGCATATTATATGTTACTTTTTAATTCTTAGCTGACTAAGTCGCGGGCGACTGTTTGTACAAAATAAAACGAATGAAATATGCAATTTACATGTACTTAATGTCTTAATGAATAAGCTTCAATTTTCCACAACTCAAAACACGTTTTTCAAATTAATCCGCACAATGATCAACTTAATTTTAGCCTACAATCATTTCGTAGCAAATATTTAAAATAGATTCTATTGAAATTTAAATTTTATGACCAAGGCATTGGGATGTTTTTCCATTGTTACGTTACGTCCGGTAATTCTCCTCTCAGGTTAATATCGCCTAATTGACTTTTGATCTCCGTTGGATTTGCGTTCGTATAAATCAAACAAGAGATTAAGTTGGTAACTTAATTACTTAAGTTAGTAAAAATATGTTAAATAAATTAAAAAAAATAAGTATATCTTAATTGAAATAATATTAAATACTGGAACTAGCTTTCTAAGCTGGAAATAAAAAAAAACTTAATTAGTCTATGCGTTCTTCCAGGCTACGTTCTACATAATATTTGGCATATTATGCATAGCCGTGCTAGAGACACCTTTTAACAAACATCCATCCCTCCACACATACAAACATTTACATTTATAATGTATTTCCACGGTGTTATAGAAGTATTCGCAGATCTACATTCACCTATTTTTACCCTGAATGTGTTGTAGAAGACAGAAACAATTTAATTATTTAAACAGTTGCGGCGTATGTGTAAAATTTTAAAACACTTTGCACGTAATGCGTTTGACGGCCGGCCCAGCACGATTTATCATAAGTTTGGGATGAGGGTTAGACAGCGCAGCAAAATCTGCGCCTGCCTCTTACATATCGCAAACTTTATTTTACGAATATTAACTATAATTAAACAAAGAAATCATCCTTTTTTTTGTAACACAAAAAAATACTATCTTCTCATATTGAGGCTAAGTGAAATATGTTTTGTTAATCTTAGTAATATACGAATGAATGTTTGTTAGAAGGTATCGAGAACGGCTCAACGGATCTTGATAAAGACACAGATGTAGAATATAGTCTGGAAGAACATATAGGCTATCCACTAACAAGATATTTTTATTCAGCGAGGACGGACGGACAGGGTGACAACTAAAACTGAATAAAATAATGTAATAGCATGAAAATACATAAAAATTTTCATTCTGACACTTTCTACTATCAGATAAATTCAACTAGGCATTAGAAATGACTGCGTCAAAAGATTTCAAACCAAATGTAGGAGTAAATTTTCACTTTCAAAGTCGTTTCTAATTAACCCATTTCTCTACTCTAGTTAGTAATTATAATATAAGAATTTACGAAGCTAATAGCGTTATAATTTTATATAAACTTCGAGGTTATTTTTAAATAGCGTAAAAAATTAAGCTTTTAAAGAAATTATTAAGGTGATAGTTGTCCAGAAAATAAGTAAACCTAAAATATATTATGATATATAATTTAATAGATTAATTAGTAACAAAATAATACAAAAAATACTGAAACTTCAACAACAAAGAAACCATTAAAACCCAAACAGATATGTGAATATAAAAGTCTTGAAGACAAAAAGATCTTTTTAAATTGGAAAACTCGGTCGCCTTTGATCGGAATGAGGATGTGGTGTGTCAAAGGAATCTGTTTCCATGTGACCTGGTTCCCGGGGGAACTCCCCCCCCCACCACCACCACAGTCCCCACTGACACGAAACTGACACCAAGATTGCGACAACTCTAAAATGCAACGTAAAAATTTGGTTAGTCCAGAACAAATGAAAACAAATTTAAAGAAATTTTAACAATTGTTGCGATTTTGTTTTAATTTATTGTTTTTCAGCGTATGTTTTAAATTCTATCTCGACCTGACGTAGCCTTCACTATACTTCACTAATTTTGACGAGTCAAATTTCATTCGGTTCTCATTCCTTCCCCTAGTGACAAGCGAGTACCATCACATCAGTCCGATCATTGTATTTGTTTGTTTACCATATGTCTAAGCTTGGTTCATGACGTTTTGGATATGTCAAAATCGACCAGCTCTTAGCCATGCTAGAGGCATCTACTGACAGAGACTGAGAACTTAGTTGCGCACCTAATATATTTTTTAATTCTTTAAAAAATAGTTTTAATGCCTTGTATATTATATTAATAATGTATCAAATCATGGCTTATTTGTTTATATATGTAAAAAACGGGACTACGTATGCGATGAATCGATAAAAAGGGTCCAAAGAGAAAACATCGGGAAAGCCTCTTTAAATTGGCAAGTCGGAAATGTTAGATTACAGTGAAAAGTTAGATGTCAAGAGTCCCGTGAGGTTCGGTTAACGAAGATGAATGAAATACGTCGGAAAGATAAAGATGGAATTGATGTACAGGGCCGGCGTTAGGGCTGGCCGCAGTTGGGCACAGGGGGCTGGATTGCAAGTGACGCCACAGGTCTGTAAATTACACAATCTTATGTAACTATTAAGCCTACTCCCCCCCCCCCAGGCATGATAAAAATGGGGATAGTCGTAGAAATCTCGCCCAAGTTACTGGTAGCGCTGAAAAATTAATAAAAGATCTAACACGAGCTTCCTTTCTACTGGATTACTGGTATGTTTCTAAATGTATGTTATTCATTAGATGTAATATAAACTACATAGTTCATTGTTTCCGCTAATAAAGTATTTAGGCTGTCGGGAATCAATTTATAATTTCAATGTAATCCCGTCAGGATTTGGTAACTCTGTGGGCCGCGGGATGGCGCTGGCGTGCGGGAATCAAATGCACGTCAATTTAAACTACACTATAATATGGATTACAATAAATTATAGAGAATGCGGTCGATTTCCACAGAGGAAGGTTTTACTGAATTCACAACATATGAAATATGCATTTATTAGCTAACGTGTACTATGTTTTGACTAAATCACCAATTAACATTTGATTGAATCGTGGTTTAAGGATCAATTTATTTAGAAAATAAAACATTTTCATTTAATCATTATTTTTAAAAATAAATTAACTTGAGCGTATCCTACGAAAATAATTAGTCGATGAGATGATTTAGGTAAATAATTTAATGAAGATTTCGAACCCAGGACTTTTTTATTCTGTATTTTATGCCTTTAACATATTTCGTCTACTAACACGAAGGTCAGGTCAATTACGTTGAATAAAAAAGTCAGTAATTATTTACGTTTATTTCGTGTCTATATTCTAAGATTACATCGATGTAAAGACAATATGTTATTGCATTATGTTTGCCATCTTATATTATAATAGTAGTTCGGATAATCGCTGCCAACTTGTTTGCGCCCGAGCATAACCTCGCTACAAGACGAACAATCATATTTATATCTGTCTCACTCCCGTATAAACAAAGTTTTCTCACCTCTCTCTCGCACAATTATCTTAAACTTGAACTTTGTATAATTGTTATATCTTTTCTTTATTCTCAAAGATTCGCGCGCACGAGACGCCGCGACGCGCGTTTACATCTGCTTATTTATTTACGTGGAGTTTTTTTTTTTTTAAATTAATTATTTAACTAAATAATTATAACAAATCCAGCATTGTACAAAATGGTAAGAAATTAAACGTGTTTTATTTGATTGTGCAGTGTTTGTGTTAAACAGAAGTTTCCAGTTTTCTTGTGTACTTGTGTAAGATTAATTATAGTTAATAAAAAAAGGTAAAGCTGTAGGCGACCGGTTTTTGTTAGTACGAGGATATTCTTATTTTTGACATTTAAATTACATCGGATTGCAGAAGGTGACCAATTTTTTGGACGCTTCAACGCAATTTTAATAATGAACAATACGTTACAAAATATCAGTTTTCCTTAGCGCACTTCCGCTTAACTTTACCAAGGTTTTTGCTTCGAGATTCATTATTATAACTCTGTATATCTGTCGATCTGTTTATCGCACAATTATATAGAAACCACCTACATAGTTATCCATAAGAATTTATTTAAATTAATGACTTCTTAGTAACACAATGTAGGAAGTTCTACATTTTTAGTCTCCATGTATATATATAGAACGAAGCCTGCAAGAACACATAGGCTACTAAATAATATTTTTTTATATCTACTCGGACGATGTCGCGGGCGACAGCTAGATTTCAATATTAAAACGTCACTAGAGATTACGATTATTAACAACGCTCGATACCTCTTGATACTTACATATTGTAACAAGAGGAATTCTTTTCTCGTTCGCAAATTACAATAAATGTACGTAAAAACCAATATTATTAATTTTTCTATATAAAAACGTGTTTATATTCCAAACATTTATATAAATTACGTGACTATATCTGAGGTTTTTGAACACATTTAGACATTTCACTCGGCTGCTGATTGTGTTTTGTTTCAATTTTTGTATCTCACAGCGATTCTCCACTGTCGTAAAACCTGTAATGTGACAATATATCCATCCCTCTCATTCTGTTTGAGAAAGACAAAGATAGCAATCGTATTCACCATAACACGATAGTAAAAACATGTATTGCTTAGTTAAAACTATTTATAGAGTAACTCTATATACTAGATTCCCTCAGGAACCTTGAGTCGAACCGGTTCAGCTTTAAGGAATTTAATAGTTACTCTACCTGAAGGGTTGCCATGTCCAAAACTCTGAATAAGCTGCTTAAATATGAAGTATTGCCAGATATAATAATCAACACATCTTCAATTATCAGTTACTAGCTATCGCCCGTGACTGTCCGCACGGAACTAAATACTTGATTAGTAGGCTATGTCTTCTTCCAGATTATGTGCCAAATTTCATCGATACCTATTGATCCGTTCTGCAGATATCTAAACAAACATCCATCTATACATCAAAACATTTGCATTTATAATATTAGTAAGACGAACTTCATGTAACCTAAAACGAATATAAAATCTAAGTTGTTATTCTAATTAAAATTATTTCTAATATAATCATTGTTTTAATTGTATTATTTGTTTACATACAAGACTAAACTTTAAATATTTAAAACGATAAATTCATAATTAAACGTGACTCGTAGTTATTTGATTATAGTCCAGGAAGCAACGGCAAAGATTAATAGCTCAATCTATTATATGAATCTAGTAATTTTCCTACTATTTAACGTCAATTTACAAAACGTTTATTCAAACTTCACGCTTTACTGAATAAACGTACACACAATCACAATTTTATAATAATATTTTAATAAGGCACATAACATTTTGGTAAAATAAAACATAAATGCATTCCCTATGTATATTAAAGGATTACTTTAATTCTGATCTAGTGTTAGGTTACTCTTTAAATCAATTATAAAAACATTTACATGTGTTACCAGCTGTGCCCGCGACTTCGTCCTAGTGAAATGCTGTCTTTTTCGCATTAAAAATTTGCCTATTTCCCCTCTCAGGCTCTTGATTATTTGTTTACCAAACATTTCAGTAGAATCAGCAGTTTTTGCGTGAAAGGACAGACAGACAGAGTTACTTTCGCAATTATAATATTATTAGTAAGGATGCCGAAGGAAAATATTGCTTCAAAACGAGAACATTATTTTTAAAGGTATCCTACAGCTGGGAATCCCATAAAGGCGACACACTAAGAAAAAAAACCTTTAACGTATAAACGAGTTATTACAAAATTTTCCAAACGCAAAGCGCGCAAGCGATTGATAAATGTATAAATTCATACAAAAATACATGTTAACAGATTAACTTATAATTAATAAAACTTGCACAAAAAAACAAACTTTTTTATACTATGACATGGGTAAAGAACAAACGGTTATCTGGTTTTAAAAAAATAGCGAAATGACAACTGACCATAGACATTTGATGTTGTGATGCCTATTATTCATCGACAGAGGAAATAACGTACAGAAATATTTCCCCTTCCTATGCATACTTATACTGTAAATTACCGTTTTAATATCAAGTTTTTGTGAGCGAGTTTATTGTAAATTTACTCTACATAACTACTCTATGAGTCCGTTGCTTTCTTAATGCTACGATAACCCTCGCTGTTATAGAAAAACCAATGTGTCAAGATTACTGTTATAAATCACTTTGTTTACAATGATAATATTACTACGCTCTTAATGTACACTTATGTGACTAATTATTCTGTTTAATTTTAGTTATAACAGTACCTAAATTAAAGCTATACGATATTATTTGTGTATTTGAAGAGTAACCTCTTTCCTTCTCTTGCAAAAAACAAAGACGACAATTCGTTTATGTTTAAATATCCCCAGTGGGTACCCACGGTAAATAAGAACTGGGAAGGCTAAGGCTTAAAAATTAATTGACATAAATGTTTACATTCTCTTAGACTTTGTCAAAGTAGAACTCTCGCTTGTCCTTATTCATATTCTATGTCAACATACTTCAGTAATTGTCGTTTAAATGAACAAATTAATCTTCTTACAATTCAAAGTCGGTTTAGAAATGCCATTATTCTTGTTTACTATTATATTTCCTTGCAATTGATTTTCTATCGAGGTTTTCCTTCTCAAAGCACGTGGCTAATCGTAGCCATGTACATAGTAGTACATAGTAATTAGTTAACTAACGACAAATTAGTTACACATTGGGAGGGATGGGGTGTCAGGGTGGCAGGGTGCTAACAGCGCGCCATTACCCGCAAATTGCCTAATACAAGTTTCACACAAGGGACACAACAGTAAGGCAGTACGATATCGCAGCACGAACATTTAAAACATACGCCTTTGTAACGTTATCCATAAAATATGTCGAAATATGTTAAAATATGATATTTATTGGTGTTCTTTACGCCCGGTACGCTGTACAAGTTTTTTTGATAACGTTACGAATAATTTTTCGCTAAATTTCTTGCTAGGACCTCAGTGTTATGTGACCACATAATTCGACTGTAGTAAAACCTCTGTTAATAAATATTGTGGTCGTTTTTTTGTGAAAATTGTAAGATAAAGTGAAGAGATCATGTAATATATGCGTAACTAATGTTTGTCAAGTTGGATTAATAAGTTAAAAGTCGCTTTTTAGTGTAATATTTACTTTATATATGGTTTAATATTTTGATTGGAATGCGATACACTTTTCAACCCTCGTGTGAAACTAGAATAATCACTGAAGAACAAACTGTCCAACTAGAATCACATTTATGTCACCGCTAATGCGAATACAAACCTTACTAATGTTACAAACGATGTCACTGTAACTTTCTTAATACGTGTCACTAACTAGTAGCAGAAGCTAATCGTGGGTTTACGTGGTTTCACGCTAATGGTAGGTGGTCAAAAATTGCAGTAATGACGTTATGTTTATACAGAGACTAGCGGACCCGACAGACGTTGTCCTGTCTACACGTCTTTAATTCGAATATTATTTAAAATTTGACACTGCGATGGTAGCGGCGTCTGTCGGATCCAATGTAAAACATTCCAAAATCAACAACTACTAATAAATTAAAAATTAATTAAAAAAACATTGTCCAGCGGACAAAATTGTGAATATAAACCATTCCCAGATCCCCTTGAACACACACAAAAAATTTCATCAAAATCGGTCCAGTCGTTTGAGAGAAGTTCACTGACATACACACACACACAGAAGAATTATATATATAAAGATTATGTTCTAAAGAAGCAACGGTGAATCTGTAATGACAATGAGAATTAACGAAGCTTGTTTAAATCAAAATAGCGCCTGTATGTTACAATTTGCAATCATATTTTCTTTCTCTAAGAGCATACTCAAAGAGCATTCTTTCAAGGATCTCATAACCAAAAATCAAAAACAACGTAAAATTTTAAATCATATAAATGTTAAGAATAACTTATTTAATCTTTAGTTATTAAAGAATAACATAGGCAATAATATGTACAAAAAATATATAAGTAAAGTATATGTAGTGTACAAAACAATGACATTATATCAGGAAATACTGTTTTTATATCTTTATAAAATATTTAATTCTTGCTACAATTGTGAGTAATTAAATCCCAATTAGGTCCGACATTACATTCCCGACAACGTTCGCACTTCGTACACGTGCTTATTTTACTTATCAATATTTAGTACAACTTACTTATCCACTTTTATTTCATTTTTGTACGATAATTATATTTCATAATAAAACTGTTTGACGTTTTTCCCGTTGAATTCTTAAAACACTTTTTTTTAGTAGTTAACTATATGTATAAGGCTTTGACTTTGATTTTTTTAAAGCCTTTGAATCGAGATGTTTACATATTAAGCTTAACGCGTATTGTTCCAAGCCTAGCCCACCCGATACCGCTCGCCTCGCGATCGTCACGGCTTCCACTAGACGTCGCTTCAATGTCGCCAATTGAGCGAAAATAAAGATATAAGCCGTCAACTTGCAGATGTCGCGTTCACCGGTGCAAGCAAGAAAGACATGGTGGATAGCTAAGAAATTTATATCTTTATCTCGCTCAACCAGCGATGTCGAGGCGACGCCGAGGGTATGCCGTGACGATTTAATATGAGGCAGTGCGCGGTGGGCAAGGAATCAATGCGCGTTAACCTTTAATCAATCGTCTGCTAAACTAGCCGCGACCTTTACAATGAATTAATTCACAAAACGAGTGATAAAACGTCATTTGAAGACACAACCGGTCTAGCTTTTTGATTAAAAACCATTATAATATTACGTATACAAAGAACAAAGGTTAATTAATTTTATAACCGGCATGCGCAATTTTGAAAAGTTCCTGCTGTTCTTACGATTTCAAGACTTTGAGTTTTTCTTTGTTTTTTTAGTTAAATATGACTTGTATTTTTAATAGATTGGAGCGGTATCATGTCTAGTCGTAGTATTGGCGGCGTCGTGCAGCGCGCAGAGTACGTCGAGCTCGGGCAGCGCGCCTAGATCACCCTGCCCCAACGTGTTCCAGTACGAGCCCTCGGGCACAGAGCCGGGCAGGTGGTACGGTGTCGTCAACCTCTCCACTGACAATACACTACATTCCCTCTGGCTTAATGTCGTCCTTGATTCCAAGGCTGATATACTCGGAGTAAGTACAACGAAACTTCTTAGACTTCCATATATTAAAGGTAAAGTTTTGCCAGATATTGGTGAAAAACATACAAGTATGCTGCAATCTTTAACCAAGTTCAAGTAATACAAAGTCTATAGCTAACGGTAGAAGAATAAAGGCAAAAATGAACCAGTCTCTAACAAGAATCCTGCCTGATCTTTATCTTAAACTCTTGTGAGATGTTACACAGTTCAATGTTAGATTAACTCATTTTTTCCCTTTTAGAACTGGGTTGGAGATGTGTCAACTACGGACAATATCGACTTTAAGATAGAGAACACAAAGATGAAGATTCACCCGGGACCGGCGGTTGCCGTCCGCTTCTTTGTACAATACAACCCCTTGAAGACTCCCATCCCGCGTCTTCAAACCATACGGCTAAACGGCCGTGAGATATGCAACGCTAACACGCCAGTCCCAGCAGACAGTATACTGGACTCCACCTCCTCGGGACAGTCCAGACCGGAGTCCGGACGACCTGTATCGACCAGACCGGTAGAAAGGCCGGTTGAAAGACCTGTCGCGAGTAGGCCGGTCTCGTCGAGACCAGCCGATAGTAGACCCTCCATCAGGCCGGAGGATACACCAGTCACCAGACCAGTCCACGGTTCCCCATCCAGCTCTGGTCCAGTGTACGTACCAACAGCGAATCCACCGATAGACCAGATCAATGTCAACCCATTTGTTATGTGAGTCCAGTTCGATCACCTTGGTCTTCTTCATTTCTTCTTATCTTCTTGAAATAGTTACACGTTAATTTATCTTTATATACTTATTTCCAGATAAATTTATTGCATATTCTTATTAAAATTTCGTCTAACAGAGCTTTGCATGATTGCATTGTCTTCTATTTTCTTAAACTCATATTAAATACAGTAGTGTATGAATGTAGATGATATCTTTCTGTCTCGCTTCCTCGTAGTTTATTATCAGTTTCATGTAGTTGTATGGTATGTCACGGCGTGCAGCGGGGAAGGGGGCAAGGGGCAGTCCGGCTCCAGGCCGAACTCTGTCTACGGCCATACCACCTCCTCATATACTACCACCACAACTGAAAATCCGGATTTTGAAGACTTTGATACCGTAAAGTAAGTTTATAACATTCATCGCATTAATTAACTCCCTTTCTTAGTTTCTTTTACTCTTTCTTACACATTATTCTCATTATATGCATGTCTATGTTATCGTATAATCGTGAATTACTAGAAATACATGGATTGATGGGGATCACAATTTAATAACACAAAAAGCGATAAATCTGTAAAAACTATTGAAATATATTACGTGATTTGTTAATAAATCCGTTCGATATAGTACAATGGAAAGAAAAAGTGGAAGCTCTAAGTAGGTGGCGCTAGCATCAACAGTGATCTGTCATCTGTCAAATTTTGATACGACGTTCGGTTTTTCGTTTTTTCGAATTTCGTCGGTATTTAGATTCGGTTTGTAATATGTATTCGCAGGAAGCCAGACCCGAGTGAATACTTTGGCGGTGGTCTGCACACTATTGTAGTGCCCAGCAACACTAACGATGACTTCAATGACAATAACAACAACAACAACAACTATAGCCCAAAGGTAACTTTATTACTTTTCAACATGTGTCCAACGGTGTTTCCATTGTTGGAACACCTGTTGGCCGTACACTGACGGGAGCCTTCGTTTGGTCTTTGACAATTACGTCATATTTTGTATGAAATTTTAGTGAACTTTACGTCCGATGGGGGCGCTGCACACATTATAATACTTTTGTTGATGACGATATGATGGCGTTTGTCACGAATATTAAATAAATTAAAAATCTAACAAAAATGAAACCTTAAAATATAGAAAACTAGCAATTGGCCACGACTTCGTCAGCAAGGAGTTAAAAAATCAAGATAGTATAGCTTCTCAGTGAAAGAATTTTTCAAATTGGTTCAGTAATTTCAGAGAAGATTCTATGCAAACGAACAATCAAACTTTCTAACTTAATAATATTAGTATATATAACATATGACATTAACAATATGGACTTCATTTTCCTTTGAAACATTTTAATAAACAATGTATAAGATTAAAAAAAAACCACGTAAATAATCAATTCAAAACCGGGCCCTGGTAAAGCCCCGTCGTCTACACACAATGTTATGCTTATGTATGTTTTTATTTATTGAATCCGGTTTGCATTCCGAGAATTTGCTACGTCATTGCGAGACATTCTTTATGTGAATGTGGTTTTCTTTTTTAATTAAAACTCTATCTGGGTTTTATTAAGAAAAAAATATTCATTAATAATCCTACGTACGTCATCAGTCGGTATAGTGGCAATCGCAATGACATTGAATACGTTTAATAAGTATGTGTAAGGGAGAAGACAATGAGGTCAGATATCTTGGATGTTACTATGCCTTACCGTTAGTTTCTGAGACCAAGATTTCTGTATTATCGTCATCCCTATCATTATCTTTGGTAAAAACAGAGATAACAATATGGTTTTAACAGGGATTTTAGTCTCAGAAACCGAAGATTAGTCCATTACTTTTGAATTTTTTTGTAGGCGTCTTTCATTTGTTTTCAATTTCAAAATTAACACAAACATTTGTTATTACGCATTGGGCGTCACTTCTTTATTTACTTTATATACATAATAAACATTTTTTTAATAACCTTAGCGATGTACGTGTTAAAACAGAGTTTTTTCATGTAACAAATTTACTTTCTTCCAGAGTCGTTGCGGTAAAGTAACCTTGAACAAACCAAATCCTCTGGTGGTGAACGGCAAGCCGACCCTAGAGGGACAATGGCCCTGGCAGATTGCCCTCTATCAAACACAGGTAAGAATTAAATGTTAGTGTTTACTTTACAAATATCAGAACCCCTAAAAGCTTGTAAATGGTTACAAAATGTTATCGTGAATTTCCAACGAAATACCTTTACAAAAACATATTGTTATACAAAGATAATGTTTTTGTCCAAGTGTTTCAACAGTAGGCAAATAAAACACGCCTTATTTTACCATGATCTCACAGACAAACATCTGATGTCGTTTTGTGGGACGACACGTTTAGAATAAGATTTTTTTTGTAATAATAAGAAATAAATAAATAACAAAATATTCAAACATTAAAGACCACTAAAGGTCAACACTCTGCCTTCCAAACAAGCCTCAAATGTGCAATAATCCTACATCAAATCGTTTATGTCACCGCGATTTTTCCGTATGATATGGAACTCGCCAAGTGGCACTGAACGTGTTAACATTTAACCAGACAGTGGACAGCAAGTACATCTGCGGAGGCACGCTGGTGACCCATTTGCATGTGATCACGGCGGCACATTGCGTGACACGCAAGAGCTCCAGCCGCGTCGTCAACAAGAACACGCTTACCGTCTACCTTGGCAAGCATAACCTGAGGACCTCCGTGCGAGGCGTGCAGATACGACTGGTAACTACATTTGTATAGATTTAGGTGGTAAACGACCATGAATCTATGATTTCACTAAAATTGGTAACGTTTAAAGTCTGGAAATACATTACCTACTTTCAATGTCCGTTGCTAAATCCACTGCCTCCCTCACTCTTCCCATCCTCGTTTCTTATAAGAAAACAACGGGAAGAGGACGACACTCATCAGACGAAACGCGGTATTAATCCACCTTCTCTTCTGTGTTCTTTGTGGTCGTTGTATTTTACCGTTCGAGTCCATTCGTGCAGCGTAAGACTGTTATATTGTCTGTACTCCAGGTAGACGAGATAACAGTTCACCCTGAATACAACGCATCATCGTTCAGCCACGACCTGGCCATCCTGCGACTGATCGAACCCGTGCAGTACACCGACTACGTGAGGCCCGCCTGCCTCTGGGCCGACGACCAGACCGATCTCAACAGTGTCATCGGCAAAAAAGGCTCTGTGAGTATAAACTTTTATATTAAATCAACCAGAAACACTTAGTTTACTAATATTCACCAATTGATTAATAAAAAAACTAATACTTTTTACATCAAACATTTATTAAAACCAAATCATCCGGTTCAAAGGACCAATACAGAGTAAATACAGTTGGCATCACTGGTGAAACATTCCGACCATTTGTAAAAATATTGGCGGCAAATTGTTAGCAATCAATTAGAAGCTTAATTAATTGGGTGAGTGGATATTGCGGACGCTGTAAGTTTATTTTGCGGTCGACTGGAGAGGGCGCGCTGTTTACTTACGGAATTACACAAAAATTTCAACTTTTCCGTACGGACTTAAACACAAAAGGTTACTTAGTCCAATATAGAGAAGACAAATTCTACACAGAATTCAAACTCATCGACAGTTTTGTTTCTTGTTATTAAAGTATCGCCTCGTTGTGTTGTGTTTTTTCTCTTGACTTACGGATAAGATTTTACGTTTCTTTCTTATTTCTTCTAAATTAGGTTCCTTTCTATATTTATAACAATTTAAGTAATATAAGAGTGACTTTAACAGCTAACATTGTCTGTGGTTCAAGGTTGTCGGATGGGGCTTCGATGCGACGGGCGTGGCGACAGAAGAGCTGACGCTAGTGGAGATGCCGGTGGTGGACCAGGAGACCTGCATCAGGTCCTTTAGCGACTTCTTCGCGAGGTTCACTTCGAAGTACACATTCTGTGCTGGCTATAGAGACGGTGGGTAACCAATTCATATTTCCATACAAACTGTTGAATCCAGGCGCTCACTTAAGATTTATTGCCGCGTAATAAGTCAGCACCTGCTCTTCGATTATTTTACAATCTAACCATATTCTAGTTTTGGGACTTTTATAAGACTTTTTCGATCAATTACAAATACTTCGTTAATTCCAGGGGCCCTTGATAAGCGTACCGGATACAGGAAAAGTAGGTTTTATTCATTTAAGCTAAACCTTAAAACCTAACAATGTTATGTTTTCTAATTTGTCAAACCACGATATTATTACGTGGAAGCTTCCCTATGAAAAACTACATAATAGATAAAGCAGTTTATTTAACCGTAATATCACTAACAGTTAAGCTTTTTATTAAATTAAATAAATATATAATTTGATATGATATTAATAATCGTATTAGCAATGAATTCATTTATTCTATAAGTATAAATATAGCTTTGATTAATTTATTGATAGTTACGTAAAATAACGTCACATCGTAACAAAAATCAACAGCATGCAACTGTACAATTTAATGTTGGCTTAGTTCATCATCATCAACAGCTTTTATCTGCCCGCTGTGCGAACTTATTTGCAGTATCAAAAATCCAAATAACCGATACAATGGGGTCATAAAACCAATTCTTCATTTAATAAGCCTTTAAAATAATGCCAAACTTCATCATAATTTCTATTACGTAAAATAAAATATGTAGTTGTCAGAGGTACAGAAATAAAACACTTATTTGGGTTAAATTATATTACTTCCCAGGTACTTCAGTTTGCAACGGTGACAGCGGTGGTGGCATGGTCTTCCAGATGAACGATTCCTGGCACCTGAGGGGTCTGGTGTCACTCTCTGTTGCGCGACAGAACGAGTACAGATGTGACCCCACGCATTACGTCGTCTTTACTGACCTCGCCAAGTTCCTACCTTGGATACGTCAGCATATTAATAATTATTAATATTTTAATTATAATGTTGCCATGAATAAAAAGTATCTGTCAAGTGAAACTTTATGTCAACATAACGCCGTTTAAAAATATTGTTGCCATAAACATTTTTTAATTCATATGTCAAGAAACGTCATTACGTCAATGACGTACTGTCACTTTGACGTTATTATTTTGAATCTGCATTTGTATGCTCTCTATTCGATCAATTTAATTTAAAAAAGATTTAATTAAAAGTTGATATAATCAAAACTATTATATACTCGCTATATACAAATTTATATTATTTTTATAATTTTATTCGTGCAGGATATTTTTTTGGTCTGATCTCTGTTTCGTTTATATAAAAGTAATTTTTGTTTCTCAATATCAATGTACTTAAACTATTTAAAAGATTTTAATGTAAATAAATAAACTAGTGCGTTTTTAACGGTTATAAATTCAAAGGGTATGAAATTGTTAAGCATTTTACATAGACTATTATGTATTTACTCCAATGCTAGGATCTAGAAAAGATTTCTGATCTAGATTTAATTGGCTAGAGCTAGTAAAAGACGAAAACGGAAAATTTTAAAAACTACGTAAAAACAACAATTTATCAACAATGTTGAATCAAAAGATTCATTGTAAAATTGTTTTTATAGTGATTTTTAAATAATTCAACGAATAAAACGTTTTTCTAAAAAACCTGTTTATCATTTAAAAATGATTAAATTCGTTTTTTTCTTGTTCTAATAAATATCACAATAGAAAAAAAACAAACGATAGAGGAAATGAAAAACATAAAATTGCGTTCTTCTATGTAATTAACTTAAAATTACAAAAAAAAAAAACAATTTGCGAGTGTGTCCATAACTTTGTACATATATGTAGAAATAACTCGCAACAAATAAAATTAACTAAAACTCTTCATACACACAAAATATACAAACAAATGAAAAAGAAACTCATGTATATTAATTATGGCGGGAAACAGGACTTTATTTTACAAATAATAAGATTTATATCCGATAAAATAGTAAAATAAAGTTGCAAAAAAGAACGCATCAATAGCAATAAACTAATTCAAATATTTACAACTTAAAAAATAATACAATAATTGACTTCATACAACTTCATACAACTTCATACACGTCCCATACATTCCATACATATCAATACATTTATAACTCCAACCAATGATATAGTCGCACAATAACTCAGACAGAAGTCGTTTCCTGGATTCAATACTGTTAGTTTATATTTTATAAAAACTAGAATAAGAAATAGCATTTTATTCTTTGTATAAAAATTTTATCTCAAGATTCCTAAAACTTAAATAAAAGCTAGATAATTTTCTTTCATCTTCCGAATAAATTGAGTCAATCAAATTCATTCGATGCAAAAATAATTAAAAAAAAACAATTTTAACTAAATCAGAAAACACATTAAGAAAAAACCTAAACGATATTCAAATCAATCAATCCACATCTCAATAAAAAAACTTCATACAATAAAATCATACAACTCATAAAAGACGCAGATTTCCATACATCGTACACATTACAACATAGGTACTGAAAATAATTCATAGCCTATCCAAAATATAAAGCAACTTTACCCCAACACTGTACAACAAACATCACCAGTACGGCGCAGTACCATTTCTACATCTTTGACCTTTAAACCTATCTTCAGGGAAATTCGGTGCCCAGGGAAGATTCCTCACTTGCCTCGGAGTTCTGGGGGTGTTTTTATTCGGTGGATAATTTGGGTATACCCTGGTATTAGCACAGGCACCCGGTCTGCAACCATTTCTGGGTGTGTTGGGGTGACTTCCACCCAATGGTGGGTTCTGGAACGTCTCCCACGGTTCAGGTACCATACAATTGCCGCAGCTCCAGGAGAAGTCACCTGGATAATCAAAATACTCAGCTGAAATCTTACAGTGTAAGTTTACCTTAAAATATATGATGATACAAAAGAACGTGGAATTTACGTATGAATGAATGAAAAGAAAAAATAAGCTAACATCATAATTTACGTAGATTTTGACTATGTTAGTTATAATATTAACATAAAAACGTGTACAATCCTGAAAAAAAAAATGACTGACAATGTGCAAAATAAAAACAAACAATATTTAACGTATGACAACTCTATGATATATGAAAAAACATTCTAATTACATGAAGATATAAATAATAAAACAAACCTATTCACCATTTGATTGCATGAAAATAAAATCAATAAAGTAAACGACAACACACGAAATAAAATCAATATTATAATATTAATATTTAATAGACTACAGATTGGCCAACATTTGGAAGAATACATTTCGTTCATTCGATTCAACGCGTACAAATACAATTAAATAGAATTTCATATTGAATAACAAACGTCTATAAAGGTCACCGCTCATTAGACAGACGCGCGAGTTAATCGACGCGTTATCAACGCGTGGATGCATAAACCACGGCGAGACATCGTCATAATTGTGTAATGAACGATAACTTTAAAGCATAAAAACATTAATAAAAAAATTAAAACATTTCTTGCTTTTTAAAGGTCCTTACATACTGTTGCATAGATCTGACGTTCAAATGTATTTGAATAACAGGTTTTTAATAAAAATGAGATATAGACAAAGTAAAAATACAAATTTATGATAAATTTTCTGTTAAGTAATACATATCTTAATGCATACATTTTTACAAGCTTAAAATTAATGAGAAAATATACTATTAAAAATATTAAAAATCCTTCAGAACGTAAAATAGTTTTAAACTAAATTAACGTTTATCTAATCTTTATTTTGCAAGAGACAATTTAAAACATGTATATATTTACAGTTTTGTTCAAGATAAAATTATCATTTATTATTTTCATAGTTAACTTTAACCAATAAGTGAAAATAAATTTTGAGTTTAATATATTAAAGTTCACTTATTTCTAAAAAGAATAAATCGAACAATCCATTTCAGCTGCCCCTAAATACTAAAAAATAAAGTATAATCGCCTTATTTTTAGTACATAACTTGAAGACATACTTTGCACTATCTTAGACGACACATGAGCTGTGACCTTTAACAAATATTTAAGCTATGAAAATAGAGATAAAATTAATATATTTTCATACCTCTTAATACGCCATATCGGTTATAGCGACCAAAAGTGTAGAGACTGGTTTAACAACTTATAACCAAAATAATCGTCATATATTTTTTTTTCAACTAAATATTGCATGTAATTTTTCCTTTGACTGTTGCAATATTTATCATCAGCACCTTATCATTAGCAACGTATTTCAACTCAGAAATAACGATTAAAGCTTCACTTAAGAATACGTGCCTCTGAGAGCTGTTAACATATTAGGCACAATCTGTACATACAGTCTACAACTAGCATTCTAGGCCTACATTTCAAAGGGAAAATCCACTTCATTCACAAACAAATAGACATCAATATTATTCAGCAGATTTTCCCACTGAACAATATCTAAATATTTGAATTATATTTATATATAAGTCAATTTATTATAAACTTTTTAACTAACCTAGGAAGGGGGAGAGACGTTGGTATGGGTGTTAAGACGTGTCAATTTTAATATGAACCTTAAATTAATAAAACTGTAAATAAAGATTTGAATCAATGTCATATTTACATAAAAAAATCCATTAAACTTAAAGTCAAACACATTTTTTTTTAATATAAATGAAGAAAATATCAAACTAATATGTTAAATATAAATATATCATCCAAACACCCATCCAACGTACATACAACAGATGTAGGACCACATACATATAACAGGAACAACACTCGTAGACTCGGAAACATCGCAACAACGACCACTTACCATCACCACGCATATTGTCAATATAACGACATAACACGTAGCGGACACCATCACGTTATATTACCATAAATTACTATCAAACTGGAATCTATGGTAGCGTTTTAAAGTTCAAAAAACACTTCGGAATATGACTCGCTAAGGCTTCGATTTGTAAACATGGCGCCCGTGTCACTGCGGCAATTCCAAAGGTAGGTCTTATGACCACAAAGTTATAATTAAGTTACTTTTGAAATTTCCATAACATTAAGGATATTAAAAATAGAGTGTTATTAGTATCAAATTATGTTTTAACATGTGCTAAAAGTTAAAAAATGTTGTTTTAAATATTCACGTCAAAATGTCCGCTACATGTCAATCTCTTTCAATACGAAACTAACGTCAAAAGTACAATAAATTAAATTATTACTAAACATTTTAATATCAATTTAACTTTTGCAAAGTTTATAATTTTCTGACTACGACTATGACAGAATAGAATATGACTCTGTGACTTATTCAAATTAATTAATAATTTATAAACAATAAATTTATAATTATTCAAACTTTCGTGAGACATTATAATAAACTTATAAAAAAACGGCTTAACACTCACGTATATTTGTCCAAAACTTGAACAGCAACACCACCGACGCTTTGATATCAACATCTTTGACGACACCCCCTGCCCTCTAAAAACGCGCCCTTAGAGCGTAGGCGCGCAGTGAGCTAGTGGTCGCGTCCGCGAAATAATACCAGTACCCCTCACCCTGATGAAGGACCTCCGACGGGCTCGAAACTAGTCGGTGCTGCCACCGGAAGAATATACGTCAGTGTTTAGCCGTGTTTATATAAGTTTAATAAATTTATAATCTATCTATATATCTATAAAATTTATTACAAGTCGAGAATATTTAAAATATATGTAATAAATAAATATTTTTTATACAATCAGACAATGAAATTCTTTACAGACATTTTTATTCTAATGAGCATATAGTCACAAACATTATGGCCAACGTCGTCTACTCTTTGACAACAAAAATAATGGCGGGAAAAGTGACATTTATAATTGTCTATTCAACAACAACAAACATAATTGTAATCGATAATAAAAATTTAAAATCATGTCATTGGTATTGTAGGAAAGACTACAAATGACGTATTTCTTTCATATTTTCAGTATATTTTTTTAAATAGATTAAAAAGAAACTTTCATTACATCCGTTAATTTTCCAAACTGGCAACCCTATATAGATAAAATATTAACTATAACAATTACTTATTTATATATTAAAATATATTAAAAAGCAAGGACAGTAACAATGGACAAGGTGTCTAATGGCAAAGAAAATATGAAAACACTTTTGGTGTTGAAGGAGTATGTTTAGTTCAAATGTTGCCAGATAAAAGTCAATAGAAACTACTAATTATAAATGAAGATACTTAATACTAAATAAATCTTTCATCTACTCTATTTAATTCAAATTGTATCAGTTAAATATATTACAAAGTTAATTGACATACACATTTAGTCATTGGTAGAAAATAAAAACTAGTCCTGTCCACCGATTTACCGAAAATTGTTTTCAAAATTAGTAACATACAGTGTAAACTCCATATAACGACGCTCGATGTAACGTCGAACTCGTTATAACGTCGAAAGTGCTTGACTTTGATTTTTCTCAATTCTAATAAATTTATTCCTTTTATATAACGTCGCGGAAACTCTATTTAACGTCGAGTTGTCGAAATTTCCAAGAATTGCAGCTTAGTTGTTTTATTATAGGACATATGTTTTCTAGGACCGACGTACCGGGGTTTATGAGAAATATTGCGACGATCACTACTCTTATTGGCATATTGTCACAAGCGCAGTTCACACCTTACACACCTTTAAACTATTGACATGGCGAGCTTTGTTGTACGCACTCAATAGAACGAGAGAAAATATGAGTGACATCAAATCAGTATACAATAGAAAAAACATATTTTACGTCACTCGATATAACGTCCACTCCATATAACGGTCTCTTCAGCGACTTTACATAGAGTTTACACTGTTTTTTTAACGCTAACTCAAAATTCGCTGTTAAAATTTTCGAAAATCGTTAAACACGACTAATTTAAATGATTTAACCTAGAAACATACTATAACCGAGTATTACTACATCTATAGATCCAAATGCGCTGCAAATTATTACTATTAACATTAGACAATAATAATAACGTCTGTTAGTTGCCTTTCTTCGTACACTTGACGCTTTAAGTTTTAAAGTTCACAGAGATCCAAAAAACCTCAGAACCAGTTAATAGATAAACAAGCGCGTCGAGCACAAATAGAGCTATAGTTAACAACTAAATATCAGCAATCGCTACAAATTCCAATAGTTTGTATAAGCTAAATTATAAAGTCACTGCAAGAAGCTTGGCTAAAGGCGCGCGGGATACTACACCGACTAAAAACACATATTCATCACTAAAACAAAATCATTTCAACCCTAGTTAGATTTTGACATGTTACTTTTAATTTCTGTAAAGGAACACTAAAAAAATTACCTGTACCCGTTTGTTTTTTCAACTAAAAAGTATAAATTTATAAGCAAACCGTAGTAACAAAATCCCGCAACACCAAAAGCGCCTATCCCTTATAACTATCACTGTAAGTCCCCGCCTCATATCTTGGTATCAGAGAGGCGAAACTTCTTGCAGTAGAGCCCTTTTCAAAAGGGGCGGTGATGGTAGGCGGGCTGCGCGAGCTCGCGCCGGTAAGCACGCGGGTGCGGCGCGGCGTACGCGGCGTACTCGCGCGTGTGCAGCATGTCCAGCTGGTCCAGGCTGTGGTGACGCTGCGGCACGCTCACCGGCATCCCTGCAGCGTGCATGGCGCCGTGTGCAGCGTGCAGCGTGCAGCGTGCACATACATCCGTAGCGTAAATATAACAAATGGGCGGGGACTAAACGATTAAGGGGCGGAGCATATTCCTTCAAGTAATTTTGTACCCGCAGTTAGCCATTTTGCGTAAATACGCGCTTTTCAATCACGAGCTATCATAAAGTATGTTATAATAACCGGGCGGTTTCTTGAATAAATCAATAGAAAACGCTAAATACGCTTATGGCGATAGAGAAATCAGTAGGATCCTGGGTATAAAAATAATATAATATCGGTAGAAATAATCAAATTTTTAACAGTACAAAAATAGTGATAACGTAAGTGCTTTATCGAAAGTGATCGCTTTCAAATTGAAACCGAAACTACGTAAATATTTACTGGGATTGATGGCGTCGTATACGCCATTTTATAATTTATCGAGAATGAAGTTATTTAGTGGAATTTTAAAGTGTAAAAAGTGAAATGTGAGAAAAAGGAAAATCTCAGGATTTTTACCAATTAGTAAATAGCGATTTTACAAAAAAAATGGTGCTCGATGTGACATGTTCAGGAGACATACAATGGTGACAGGATTGTGTGACATATCTCATCATATGACATTTTTGTATAGGGCACAGGACCTCTAGGACATAGCATTTTGTGCTAATCTATAGGACTAAAGTGATAAATTAAATAATATGAGTTACCATCTGTCCAAACAAGCGTTAAAACATATGTCCTTTTTTATACTCTTAAAAAAAACAAAGATATGTTTTAAGACAATATCGGCAGTGGAATTCACAAATAAGGTACAGGAAGCATTATCATGAGGTATGCGTAGATAAATGTGTGCAAACCTTGTACGGAGCTGTATGGCTGACTAAGTCCCAATAATTTCTTTGACAGAGGCCTGTGCCCTGCAATTTATGTCACCTAATATTATCACAAATACTGTCAGTTAAATTTAATCCAAAAGAACAGATCGTCTGCATAAGAAACGATCGAACTTAAAACATATCCTCATAATCAGGTCGTCACCTTTCAAATCCGATATTACCAAACCTGGGTGTTTCCTGTTGGACTGTTCGGTTTACCGACTATATTACCGACGACGATTTATAGTACTTTGAAACTTTGTAGGATTACAAAAAAAATATTTCAACAGAAACATTTGATAAAATACAAAATTTTTGTAACATATAATTTTATATATAAATTAAAAGTATGTATTGAGAATAGGTAGATATATATGTGTGGCTGACCTCTATTGTGCTGGAACCCAGCCGCCCAGCCCGCGTAGAAAGCCGCCTTCTGCTTGCCGTGCTCCTCCGCCACCTGACAATGTCACACCTCTATCACACTACCTATAGCCCGACAAATTACCGCGCGGATTAAAAAAAATCTTACTAATATTATAAATGCGAGTTTAGATGGATGGATGGATGTTTGAAGGTATCTCCAGAACGGCTCAACGGATTTTGTCACACATGTCGGAACATAGTCTGGAAGAACACATATGCTACATTTCACCTATTTATAATTCCAACGGACGGAGTTGCCGGCGATAGCTAGTCTATATATAAAAAGGGAAAATATTCTCTTTCTGCGCGTGTCCTTGGCTATTTCGGCGTATTCAAATAGCGATTTGCTCGTTTGCCAGCTTATGATATAAAAATACGATATAATGAGGGTATTACCTTAACACTGAGAGGTTCTGTGCCACCTTCAGGTATGACGTTGTTGAGTGCCGCTATCGCCTCCTGCGCCTCCTCCCGCTTGTCGAACCTACGAGTCATTCATGCATTTCATACATACATTACTCTGAATTACTTAATCCATCACAATGTATGACTATCATCGCCATTCGTTCAGCAACCTTAACTAAACTTATCAGGCGTAGACTCGCGGAATCCAAACCGTTTTATCACTGACCATTATAAATGGACTGGCTATAAGACATAGTATTTTGTGCTAATTTGGTTTTTACTATATTGGCGGTGTTGGTAGCGTTTTGTAGCGGTTATGTGGATTGTCACGTAACATCAACAGGCGCATTTAAATCTGAACGAAACAAAAGCTATCATTTCCAAGCATTTACCTGTACATCTATATAGTTGGTACTCACAATGACATTCAATCCATTCATTCGTTCAACCTCAAATGATCTGTACTAACCTTACGAAAGCTACACCTCGCGGCGTGCCACTATTCTTATCGCGCAGGATATGTTTCTGCACGATGCGGCCATATTTGCCGAAGATCGTCTCCAACTGTTCATCAGTGACGGCGCGGGGAAGGTTGCTCACGTATAGATTGGTGTCTTTTATGTCTTCGCCGGAGGGACGCGCGTACGACACCTGACCCACCATACGACACAAACATAACCAACATACTACCAATGTTTGCCAATGCCTTTCCCTCAGTCTCCGTAATTATACTGGGCCATAAAATAAAAAAACTGCCAATGCCAATTGGCCCAACGAGGAACATCTGTTACACTTGTATTAATCATGTCGTCTCTCTCCTTCTTTTAAAATAAATAGAGACAACATTATATTCTACTGTACTAGAAGGATTTATTATGTACAAACTCCTAAAGTACTGGACCGATTTAAAAAAAAAATCTTTCACAAGTCAAAAGCTCCATTATCTCCGAGTGACTTAGGCTATATATTACCTTTAATCTTTTATTCCTGAGTCGGTATCCGTTGAATGTGTCAATAGCGCGCGCCGCGTCCTCCTCCCGCGTAAAGTTCACAAAGCCGAACCCGTAGCTGTAACCAGTCTGAAAACATGTTATGCTACATTATTCTTAACACCTACAATGCCACGCTTCCTGCGAGATAACATTAAGAGATCGTCATCATCATCAGCTCACTACACGTCCCCATCGAGGGGCTCGGAGCCTATTCTAAGTTAAGGGTGATTAGGCCATAGTCAACCACGCTGGCCAAGTACGGGTTGGTTGACTTCACACATATCTTTTGAATTTCTTCTCAGATATGTGCAGCATCAAGATGTTTTCCTTCACCGTAAGAACGTCGGATAAATGTACATATGTAAATCGGAAATCGAAAAACACATTGGTACATGGCGGGATTCGAACCCAGGACCTGCAGATTGCAAGTCAAGTGCTTGACCACTGAGCAACCGATGCTCCTAAAGAGATCGTATCGGTAGTTAAAATGTTAAATCATGATTAACATATATAAAGCGATTCTACATTAATTCAACGTTAAAACATCTATTAATTTGAAAATGTCCCCAAAAGTGAATGGCTGATTAAAATGTTATCAATGTGCTACAACGTCCAGAAATAACAATTCATTTGCAGCCTTATCTACCTACTGACATGTCGGCATTTAACACAAATGGTAATATTATATTCTAATTACATAAATAAAACTCAAGATATACTATGATACTATTATCTACCAAGGCGGTCGTAACGCAGAGCTACTATTTTCAAGGTATGCGAGTAAAAATAATAGCAATACTACAGTATCCTACTGCTCTACTTAACTATTCTGCCTTCGTGTGAAATATCAAAAACGTTAGTCGTTAAAGACAACAGCGTACATTCTTAAGAGCCGTCAACGCATTCTGTAACCAAAATCATACGTGTATCCTCACCTTAAAGTCCTTCATAACACGACAACTCTCAATAGGTCCGATTGTCATGAACATTGCATACAGGTCCTTCTCTGTCATTGTTTGCGGCAAGTAGTTGACGATGAGGTTGGTCCTACAGTCGGCCGCGGCCGCCACGCCGCCGCCCTCCGACATACTGCCCCAGCACCGCACCCCCGGACCCACACCACGACCTCGATATTGCTGCTGGATTTGCTGTAATACAACAGACAAACTAATTGTAACAAGAACGGCTAAGGTCTTTATTGGTCATCATCAAGTCACTATACGCCCCCACTAACTCGGAGCCTACCCTTAGTTAGGGTCGGATAGGCCACATAGGCTAGGCCACTTCACACATATCTTTGAACTTGTTGCAGGTTGTATCACGATGATTTCCTTCACCGTAAGAAGGTCGGATAAATGTACATAGCGGGATTAGAACACAGAACCTGCAGATTACAAGCCACCCCCCTTAGCCACCAACGCTCATTAATTGGTTATCCCATCAATCTCCTCTAAGACTTCATTAAGTCATTTAATGGTGTCAGAAACAGTCCCTTAGGGCAGATTTATCATGTTAACCTTTTTAATGTTTAACATTGTACTCAAAGACCTTATTTCAAACAAAGGGTTATTCCATGAGCTGTAGTAACAAAGCATAAAACTTCCCTGTTTAACTTTCCAACAAAACGATTGACATGTATAATATATATTTCGCTGCATTTTTTAAACTTGCATACCGGCTCGGCTACAAGCACGGCAAGTTAACATTTCAATTACTGGCCAGTACTCAGTATGACCCACATCGCAGTCGACCCATTTCATACTTATATATTTTGCGCACCAGAACATCTAATAAATACATACGCTATCTATCCTAATCAAGATAAGCCGATTTGACTTGAAAAATTTCTTATTCTAAACCGATTAAACCACAAGAATATCTTACACGTTTCTAAAGTCAACTTAAAAAAAAGTTATTATTGCGACTAAAAGATTGTGGCGCTCAAAAGGTTAAAAGGTTTTTATTATTGGTAAAATTATAATCTGGTGACAACGACCATCGCATCATCACCGACAAAATGTGTATTAAAGCACAGCGCCCTCTATCGGGCGTAGATACACCAAAAATACACTAATTTTGACAAAATTGACGATGACCATGATTGTCACAAATATTCGTGATAGCCACACTGGTCAAATTGTTTACCAGCACACTAGCGCCCTCTCAAACTTCACGGCCTCTCGATCTACTCGAGGCACTCTATGCCGGCCTCGGATGAAGCACTGCACGAATGTTCTTTGCCAGCTTCTAATTAGTAGCTTGTCGGTAGGCTTTTGGAACATCTCATGTTTATACTATGAACTAACGAAAGCTATGTCGATTAAACTTACTACTAAAGAACTAGGCTAAACAAAAAATACGTTCTTAGCTTTAGCTTAGTTCTTAGCTTCGTTCGCAATGATTATTATAAATGCGAATGTTTAAATGGATGTTTGTTCAGATCAGAACGGCTGCAATTTTGTTGAAATTTAGCTTAGATGTAAAACATACTTTGGAAGAACATATTGGCTTGCCAACAAACCGTCGCGGACGGAATCGCGGTCGACAGCTAGTATTAAATAAAAGATGAATCTATCGAAATGCCGGTGACATAAATTTCACAGATAATGCTTGTGAGTTATTAGTGAATAAAAAATATGTCACGAAGTACAGTCGCGCACAATCTGCACTCGACCCGTCTGAGATCGGTACACACTTACTGACGCGAATGTACTTGCATTTATTTATTTTTTAATTCAAAAAGTCGATATATTGTTTTGAAAATAATTTAATCGTTAATTTATCTCTGAACATCGAGGAATTCTAAATCATATAAGATAAAGTAGTCCATAACAAAACTGGCACGCGAACATTTTTATCACGAACGTGTGCCAAATTAATACAAAAGATTCGCTTTTTAAGGTAAAAATATGAAAGCTAGCCAACATTAAGATTTTAACAACCCAACTATTATAAAACAACTATACATCATGTTCAATGTTTCGATAATTTCAATTTCTTTCATGACGACTAAATAAATACAGTACGTAAATTAATTATTGTGAAGGCACAGGTTGACGAAACTAATATTGTTTTAAAACATATAAGAAATCCAAAAAACACATCATATTATGCGTTATTGTACTTGTAACCTATTTACTTTCTATATGAAACTTATAAACATGCCAACATTACCCGGAAACGAATTTCGATCGCGAAAAATATCGCCCGTTCGGTTTCAGGCATTCGGCCAAAAAAAGTTGAGCGAAATGACCTTGACCTGCGACATACGCTAATATTCTATCTCATTTGTCACATTATCACATAAATGAGGACAAGAAGAAACTATTTTAATTTATGCAACAACAACTAAAGCACTAAAAACTAAAGCACTAAAAACTAAAGCACTAAAGACAGAGAGGAAGAATACGAACCGACTAACATCTCACTCGTCAAAATCTGTCATTTAGGCGATCATAATACATGCAAACCTAAATAAAAAACATACTTTTTCAGACCTCCAGAGTAAGCTAAAATATTTATTTTTAAAATATGTTTACAATCCGTGGGCGTAAATCCACAGCACGAAAGCGCAAAGTATAAACATAGCAAAGAATCACTTAAGCAACGACACGCCCACAAAGATCTTGAGCCATCGGGAGTTGGCAGAGTTCCAACACAAATGGAACTCGCCACTTTACTCACCACCGACTCACCCGCCTTCATTAATAATGTATCAAGAGTGCGTCGTTAGCTTTGCTTTTAATATAATCACGTTTTCCCGCGCTTTTTTGCGCGCCATCTGTCATCAATGTCAAGGGTGGCCATTTCTTTATTATTCTTTTAATTATGTTACATACCTTATAGTTATAAAACCCCATACTATATTTTTATATAACTGTTAAACAAGGAATAATTGCGGATTTTAAACTTAAATACCATTGGTTCCCAATCCACTTTTACAACTGAAATCTTTTGCCATCATCCAAGAATCTCCCAGGTCGACTAAACAACTACAAATTTTATTTTTATGAATTTTTCTATACATAGACACATGGTACTTATTTAAATGCCTTACTTTTAAGATCTACTATCACAATCTATATAAATTACTGGCTATTGCCTGCTCCTCCATCCTTACAGTATTAAATTTAATAATAATTAGTAGCCTGTGTTCTTCCACACTATGTTCTATGTTTTTCTATGCCAAATTTCAGCAAGATCCATGGAGCTATTCTGGATATATCTTCAGACAAACATTCATCCATCCATACAAACATTAGCATTTATAATATTAGTAAGATATATTAAGCAACTACACAATTTTGAAAATTGTTATAAAAATTATAACACTTACATGTATTCTAAATGTCCAAGCACCAACAATACTAAACTAAAGTGTTACTTGAAAAGAAAAAATATTTCAAAGCAACAGAACAAAGTTAATAAAATTATTGAAAAAAATTGCATGAACACATTGAAACAAACAACAAAAAGTGAGCTCTTCTTTATCTACAACCAACTAGATTAATTCAAAATCTAGTTGGCTTATATTCTTAAATTAAATTCATATACTATTTTATTACTCTAAGTTCTAACTTCTAATATGGCAACACTTGTTTGCATTGGCAAATGGCAACTCTAAAAATAAAGAGCATAAATAACAGACTATATAACTCTCTAAAGATGTACTTAACTCACTGAACAAAACCCAACAAAAAACAATTTCTGTACGGCCCTCAATCCCATACAAAAAGAACTAGACCTATTCAACTAGATCATTAACACATTCAATGTAATTATGCTATTCTAGTCCTAGTTTAAACTAAAAATCAAAATAACAGTGAAGATGTTAGGAATAAAATATTAGATATTAAAAGGCAGGTATACACTTACATTTTCTAATGGATTGTACCCCCTGTCCCAGCCACTGACAGGAGTGCCAAACAGGTGTCCTGGATATCTCTCACACATTTATGAGATTTATTTACACTGTTTATATAATTATAACACCTAGACCGCTACTTTATATTGAGCAATCGTTTTATAACTTCATTATGTTACTTAAACAAATTATTTACACTTTATCACCTTACCTGAAAGGAAATAGAAATTATTATATTTGATACTTGTTTTAACATCTTATACAATTAACGAATAAGCTCAAAAAGTAGATAACTAGTAAGAAAAATACAAATAAGAAGCTCTTTTTGAAAGAAGGATTTATTTCTCAATTAAGGAAACTGTAGCAATAAATATAATCGTTTAAAAAATTATAATGAAATACAAATATTGCAATTAATTAAGAGAAAGAGAATATAAAATTTTCCGAATTTTATAAAGAATAAAAATGTTTGTGTGCTGTAATAAGAAAAACAAACATAAAATAAAAAAAAATGATTTTTATTACATTACTGCACGATACGTCAACGTTGTTATAAAATAAAATACTATGAATAAATGTATATTAAGAGAAGTTCAAAACATTTTTTGTTAATTCACTCCAAGGTACCAAATGGGAATCCTTAGGAAATCATATTAGAAATAAAGTAAACCCCTCATTATTTTCTAAATGAATGTTATATATTTTATGCTATGTCTTTTTGTTTTTATAAGGATTTCTAAGTGCTAAACCATACTGAATTTATAAAATTAATAAAAATAATGCCAGAAATATTTACGTGGAACTTTGACAGTATTTTAAGGGAAAAGAGTATGTGCCAAATATTAGTGATTTGATTTTATAGTAAAACTGGTAAATACTTACAACGTTGTTGTATAAAATCGTAGAGACTTATCTCTAAATACTATTCTACAATAATTTTAAAGAATCTAACAGAATAGAACATTAAATGACAACCGCTGACTTGATACAGTAGTTTTGTACCAAAGAGTAGGGCTGATAAAAATAAAAAAATGGTTTAGGACTGTTTGGACAGACACAGATAAGAAATAATATCAAAAACAAACACAAGATGTCAATGTCAAATTGTTTCAAAACTCTGGCCGACACAACTACTCTTTGATCGTCTCTATGGTCGATTAGCATTTCTTTTTCTTTTCTCGTACAAAGACGACCGCCATTTTGTGTTTTTGTCCGCCTTTTCTCGGTGTGATAATTAAATAGATGATTATTAGCCGTATGTGATGCTATATTCCATGTTTTAGTGTTTTTTTTGTGTTTGAATATGTTTTTAATCTTATATTTACGCGTTTGAAATTAAAATTGTAGAACAATATAGGTAAGTCGGTGAAACGTTATTTTATTCCGGAGCGCTAGGTTACATGGCGCACTGAAAAATCCTCATAACTTTATCTACCTTATGTTTTATATTCTCATCCATGAAGTTTTTAAATTTGTTGTACGATATTTTATATTGTACATTAGTGCCCATGCCTTGTTACAAAAACAAATACCTAATCTTCTTTATAAAGATGCAAATTACAAAGGCAATTAAAATTAGTTCCTATTTTAAGATCAGTACGCATCATTTATATAAACTATAATATTATGTGTAACGATTTTCTGTAGCCAGTTGTAAATGTGAGAAAAAAACACTCATTTCCAGCTGCGTTTATAAAAGCATCGATCAGCCATTATTCGCTGTGTATTGTGTCTAAGTTCGTATAGGTTGGTCTTCCTGTAATTAATAAACATAATTCTCTTTAAACCTTGTAAGTTGATAGATTTTTTGGATATTTTAGTTTGATGTAAGCACTTCTTTTCTATGAGATAGTTAAAAGTCATAAGTATTGCCTAAGTTATACCAGCCATAAAAATTTATTGTAAAATATTTTTTATTTATATTTTAGAATGTAAATTTTCATTTTTCATATGTTATGAATTTATGAACATATCTTAATGAGCATATTATCCACATGTATATTTTTGTCTGTTAAAACTGAAACAAATAGGTTTCTTCATATCTCACTTATTATGTCCAGAAGTATATCTACTTTATTAAACCTAATTTATTACACCAAAGTATAATAATTTGGTTGGGGAAATTGTATACAATAATTTAAAATGCTAATTATTAAGTATGAATAACACAAAACAAAAAATGGAAAGACACTTTCAATTTTTATAGGTAATCGCCTACAGCTGCAAAGATGAGTGTCATCATTAGACTACAGAATCTTCCTTGGTCAGCCAATGCTCTGGACATTAGGAACTTCTTTCGGGGGCTTTCCATTCCCGAGGGTGGTGTGCACATCGTAGGAGGCGAGCTTGGAGATGCTTTCATTGCGTTCAGGTAGCTATACGTACTCTTCTCAAATATAAAAAAAAATGGAAATATCGTAAACTAAATAAATGCAAGTAAGTGAAATAAATCTAAATAAAACTAATTAGGTAAAAGTTAGTATAAGGTTTTAATAAATGAATTATGACATAATACTGTCTTTATACAAAAATGGCACACTACAAATTTGACTGAATGAATCATGGCATATCTTATTTCAAATAAAAAATGATAAAACCTCTGGCCTGTAAATACTCTTCTGGGTTATGTGTTTAACAAGATTGTGAGGAATCATATGTGTAATGATTATTGTCTCTAAAATAATATGTTTCTAAGTAGGAGGTATAAAAAAATATAAAATAAGTATAATATAAAACCATTAACTGAGTTTATCAATATGATACTTTTGACAATGTCCTGGATAAAACAGTTTCTTGCCTAAGATAGATATTCTCCAGAGACAAGAGTGTATAAGTACTTTGGCAGCCTATGCATCTCACCTTTATAATGGTGCCTTGCATAAATTCTCTACATCACTGTGGTGAATCTAACATAGAAAAAATTACATACCATCCAACAAACTGCTAAAAACTTTTAATAGTTAGTTAAAAATGAAAAATAAACTGCAAGAGGTGACAATAGGTTTCCTGGACAACCTTGACATTATGATTTGACTTCATTGATAAATACTTGAAAGGATAAAAAAATAGATCAAAATAACCAAATCACACTGGACTGGCGTAGTAGACTATGGCCTAGTCACCCTAACATGGGTAGACTTGAGCCACTCGTTTGGGATTTGTATGACCCGATGACTACATTTAAATAAAATTTTCCTAATTTTATAGGTAATACTGTCTGCAACTCTTATATGACATGAATATTTTAGGGAACTTCTAATGAAATGTATAACATTGACTATTTGACCTGATTTCTTTAAGTACACTTAGATATATCCTATTAAAATATGTAATAGGTAATACTAAATCAGTATTTTGCTCTGCTATGTCAACTAGGTATAAAATAAAGTTTACGTGTATGACATTCTATTTCTAAACTGATTTGTGGTACAGTCGCCTTTGTTTGTGGTATTCCAGTTACTTAAAAATTGCCTGCACCTTCTAATTATGTTTAACTTCATTAGATCTTACAAATAAACAATTTAAATAACAACTGTGCATCTGCATTAGATTTCGTGGAATAGTCGAATACCGCCAACGTACGCGACTGTACTTACATATAGAAGATAAATATTATGCTTTGTCCATAGTAGTAAACCCAATGAAAAATTATAATAAGTAAGAAAAAATCTCCATTTCATAAAAGATGTAAATACTTTCACAACCGTAATACCATATTTACGTTAAAATGATAAAGATATGTTGTAGCTTATGTTGGTTCTTGGAGAATTAAGTTATTTCATAAAAATACAAAAGTTGGTCTTTGGTATATGCTCTTAGGGCAATAGTGATATTTTTTGCCATAGTGGTAAGTATGTCTTGTTGCTTTTAAAGTTAATTATAATACTATCATATAGGATAGAGTGGAAAACTGGGTAGATCTCGGATGTTAATTATTCCTTGAATCTCTCAAAACAAACTCCTAGTATAAGGTTTAAGCTTATAGCGCACTCGTCTACCCGGCAAGGCACCGCCCCACCTTTCGATCGGATGCGGCGCGGTCCAGTTGATGGCTAGTGGATGCCTCGGCAGCCCCGCGCTGTTGACCCGTGCAAGCGAGAATGACATATCGTTTTGATAACAATTTTTTCGCGGCGATCGCGAGGCGGGTCGGCGCAAAGTGAACTCCTCAATAGAAGGAGACTGTGAAAAAAAGTACTTGTCATTGTTTCTGGTCTGCAAGCAATTATTTTTAATGACTGTTACATTTTTGCCGTACCAATATAATTTTAATTACGTAAAATAGTTCCATATTATACATATCTTGATAACTAATGTTGTTGTTTGTAAAAGGCAAGCAATAAATTTAAATTATGTAGTCGACTACGATAATATATGTCTGAAATAGCCAAGCATAGACAGGTAATTATTCTATAACGCCCGCTGCATTGACGGGTAGGCATAGACTACGGATTCCGATTTGGCGCGTCCTAGCGTACTTCTCTCGTTTCTTCACCAATACGTCAATGCTCGTCGGTTACAGCTACCCCTTATATCGCCCTTCTCACGATGGTTGAATATAGGAAATCAATGTATGCTTAACTTTTTTTACAAATATTTATTCTATTGTAATTTTACGCACTAAACCTACCTGAACTGACTACACTAAACGTATAAGCTAAAAAAAATTGTAGCCTTTCTGATTGGTATAAAATTATACAAATAGCCATTCTATGAGCCGATCATTATGATTGACATCGTAGGCGTACATTCCTCGCTGACAATATTTCCAAACTATAATATCGGTATTCTCTAGTATTGTAGTTATTCATTGGACTGAGATAATTTCTTTCATCAGATAAAGTAATAAATTAAAGGAAAAGTTTTTAAACATTTAAATATTACGAAGCTTTATAATATATGGTAGTAAATAATATCACGTTACGACTGTTTGAGACCAAGCAAATGGAAAAGTTTCCCTATGCATGGAACAGATGGACTGCTCTATCGATATCGTCGGCGCAAAATAGCACGTATGTGCGATGCAAACCTATTTAAATTCACTACACGAGGTGAAAAAAATTGGAAAATATTTATCGCTTTAGACTTGCTACGACACTAAGGACCTGTCATCAATATGCCTGGAAACTGCGACGCTTCATATTACCATGTATGCCTCAACATTTCGCACTACCCTCAGTGCAAAATAATTACCTAAGTTTAGCATAGAACTTGGAGTAACGATGTTTCAAGCCTGCTGGACATAAATAAGACCTAATTCACAACACACCTCTGGGCTGATACGAGAAACTTTTACGGATATGCTCATAATTGTCTGCGTGAAACAGATTCTGTACTTGTTTATCCTATCTTGTCTGCTAAGTTTAAAATAGATATGGTGAGGTGTTTTTAACGTGTGAACTTTTATGTTATTTGTATTTACACTTCCTACATTTGGTAGGATGTGTTCATATCTTGAGGATATAGGACTAACGGAAACTAACTGCTATTGCTATCAACTTGCTATGGTATTTCAAATTTCAACGCGCTCATTCGATCCTGACGTACTGCTCCGGTAAAAATAAAGTCTCTATCTTAAAGCCGAGCCTTGCAGTTAAAACACATGCTAATGATAGATAAATGTCAAAATATTAAGGCGAAATCCCCCTGGGTTTTTTTTCTGCTGTTCTGCCACGATTTTCAGTGCACGGATTCGCGACAAGTCCGAAAGATGGTGACAGGGGCTTATATGGGCTATCCCAAACGACTTTGTTTCCACGGTCTATCTACATCCTTTCGTAGAAACGCACCGCTTCCGTGTCACAGCTAATAATATTATACATATTTGTCACCAATAAATGATAACACTTCCCGTAAGTATTTATTCACAGCGCTAAACTTCTGAATAACACGTCTACATTTGTAAGGTAGGTCAAGGTATATAGGCCATTTAGATATGCTAAATTTTATGTGAATTAGGATGATCGTGTTTTATCATTTCTTTGTGTGTATTTTGTTCGACATCTACGATTTTTATAGACCAATTTAAGACAATCAATTAAAATTGCTCCTGTGGTCTAAACAAATCAATATTGGTGTCGAAAATCCTTCACAATGGAGACGGAGCTGCCTACTTTGTTCGGAAAACAGTTTCATTCCCTAAAGCCTCGATGATGTACAGTCGCCATCTTTTACGGTATTCCAATTACAGAGAAATTGTTTGTCCCTAGCAACGATCTCAACCCTTTTACCCTGGCCTGAACTGAGCAGATATAGTCGAAAGGAACTTACTTTTTTTAATTTCCACCGGAAATTATACAGGAAATGATAGCTAATTTTTGAATAGCGTTAACTTTTACTATATGTTATCGTTACCGCCAAAAATTGTTTTTTGTTACTAGTGCACTGCGATCATATGTGACTGTACCTAAATTTGTTGCGGTGGTTGGAGCGGCAGAAACGCATATTGAACGACGATGAACGAAGACTTCACTATTTCATCTTTAGCTCTCACTCAAGCTTATTTGCCTTAGGATTTTGTTTTACAGGTTGCATATTGGGGACAGGAAGTGCATAAATTACTACGCTTATCTCTTGATTATTCTGGACTCTTATACATAAGTCTGTTCTCCATCATAATCCGAGCGTTGCGATTTGAATTTTCTCCCGGCGAAGGCTTGCCAGCGTGAGTGTTTTTGTCACAATATTTTGGAGACATTTTAATCTAAATCCAAACAAATCCCTAAACCACTAATAAACTACAATATACGGTAAAATAATTCTAAAAGCTATCTTTACATTTACTTCACAAAATACTTAAAAACGTCAAATAATCGATAAGACCGCCATGTATAGGACTTCACATGTCTTTTTTGTTTTTTTTATTAACTTTCAATCAAAACGCTTAAGTCCGCCGTTAGTGTCGTTATATATTTCAATTTTATGTATGTATATTTATGCTTTATTTATAAAGTAGGTCAGCTGATGTGAATTTATCATACCATTACTTGTAAATAATGTAATAATTGTGATTGAACTGAATAAATCAGGCTGACAAAACGAGCATAGGATAACTAGACTATTAAGACTCATTTTACACTACTTGCTAAGGCAAAGGCACCCAACCTTTTCATGGTCGGGGACTACTTTTTAGATTATTCTGGTTAGCCTGTATTTTTTAGTAATGTTCTAAGCTTACATCTTCACTACGACTGTCCTAGAATTAAGATTATAACACAAAGCTACGTGCAAATCATCACATACTTTCAGACGATTCCGTGCCCTGTTAATTAACAAAAAAAAGGGAAAGACTTGTTATTGACATAAATAAGTTCTCGAGAAAACCATAAAATAGATTTAATCTGAGATTTAAATAAGTCAATTCTAAAATTAAAATCAGTCGCGGACCATATTTGGCTTCTACAAACTACTGGTCGGGAGCTATAAGGTGGTGAGATAAAGTTTGAGGTATTTATTTGTTTTACTTCCCTTAGGTGTTCAATCAGATCCTGGGTCGTGTGTTGCCGGCGTTTCTCGCAACAGCTGCAGCTTTTTGATCTATCTACCAATGTTATAATTCGCAAACCACCAAAGCGTGAGTCTGGATAGTCCTGTTATGATGATGGATGTGAGAGATTTAAAAGTTTGTTCGGTTTCTATGTTCTAAATATCTTTTTGTTATGGACCACTTTTAGAGGCGTCCGACTGATTTTGTAAGTTACTTAATCTTTTTGTAAATTAAGAGCACGACGTTATTTAAACCTTGCGGCAATGTGATCGCACGGTAAGTTTTAACTTACAAAAAATGTATGTTTCGTATGCTTTAATTATGAAATATTTATACAAGTTAAATGCTCATCATCGATTGACGGAGGCTAGTGTAATAAGCATTAAGTAATTTTATACTTTTTATTAACTCAATCCGCTTGCAAATTGGAAAACAACGACAAGTATTTCTGTGAACCGAATATGTAAATAGTTTACTAATTTTAACGATTTTATTATAATCTGCCTTATTTATTTCTCGGGCATAAGGGTCACCGCACAATGACAGTTTCAAGCGGTCGGGCCTAGAGCTCATTCTCACGGGCGGTTTGTTAACGCCGCGTTGAAACTACGTTGGTGACTTTTAAAATCACTCTTGATCCGTTCGTTCACCGCTCAGAATGCAACACTGCACGAATAAATGTTAACAGATACATTGAAATACATTTGTTTCTATTTTAACATTCTTTTAAAGCCTCTAAAAAAGCACTCGTGCGATTGAGGACTTAAGGATTATTTTTTATTTTAAGTGGCGTCAGTAAACCGTGTATAGCGAACATCAATTGTTGAGAACTCAAATCCGACCCCTTGAACCTGGCGACATTTACTTGAAGCACTCTTTGTAGGCACTCCTAAGAGGATTCACATGAAAGTGAAATATTTATTAATATCCGTCTACTAATCATTTGAAATGCGCTAACACGACAAAATAGTGTATTTAGTTCAGGAACAAAAAATTTTTGGAGCTATCTATTTCAATACTAAGGAGAACCCAGTAATGAGAAAACTAATCTTAAGCTTTAAGCCAAGGTATTTTTAGCTGTAACGGAGGATACTAGTGCAAAACACATTTTTAAATAAGCTAAAAAGTGACAATTAAACTGGCAAAAGACTTCTGTGCCTTTAGCCTAACTAACCCACTAGGAAAATTGATCGATAAAGCACACATTTCTTTCCTATTTCTCTAATACATGTTATGTGAAGAGGTAATTCTAAACTATGTCACTGTAAAAGATATTTAATAGTTTGTCGGACATAAATAAATGTTATCGCTTATTCGGTCCGTAACCCATAGGCATTGCTAACCGTTGTGACTAAAACCGGGATCGGAACACGCTGAAGCAAGTCCGACGTATGGTATATATCAGTATTTCCCATAGTGGGCGATAACGCCCCCTTGTTGCGGGTTATAGTAAAAGTTTTGTTTAAAATATTCCGTTAATATACATATATCGGTCACAATTAATTTAATTTGAAGTTATAGTAGTTTTTAAATATGTGAAAATATGGAGGCGCTAAAAAAATAGTTATTCTCAAAGTGGACAGTAGACAAAATAAGTTTGGAAACCACTGGTTGAAGCGTCAATAGCCTAATGGTTAAGGGTACGGATTTCCGATCACGAGGTCGGGGGTTCGAAACCCGCCATTCGACTATTGTCGTAAACCATATCCTAGCACAAGCGTACAGCTTAGTTGGAATGGTAAAAGAAATATTAGTAAATTTACAAAAAAAAAATCTGCTAATATTTTTCTTATATAAAAAAAAAAAAAAAACTGGTATATATATGCTACGTTACGCGCGACGTTCGCCCGACAACGCGTAAACGCTTTCATGTGGCGAGCAGTCGGCGGGATCTAATAAGCGACAACCTTAAATGCTTGCGAGAATTGATGTGCACGAAAGGTATCTTAAAAATGTTCATACATTTATTATAATGTAGAAACATAATGATATTCAATTTTACTATGACAGTCAATACAAATATGTGTTCAGCCATTTTGTAAGAATTGTAACCCTGTAAAACAATATAAGTCTAGTACAGAACAGGTCACCTTCTTAAATGACCCGTATTATTGATAACTACCACTAAGGGCTTCATAACCTTTTAAGATCTCAATGTAGAATATTATAGCTCTACTGCGTAATCCGCTTTTTACCCTACGGATATCGATCAACAACAAAGTAGTAAAAATTTAGTGTCAAAAATATTTGCGTGTCAGAGTCGAACAAGTCGATGCGCAGAACATAATTTGTGGTGTGGCGGGACGAGGCGCACTACACAGCGCGCAGCTGACCTTCAGCCCACAAAAAGAGCAAATTCTATACACGGGAACCTCGAAAATATAAGTACGCTCAGGGTAGAATACTCTCTTAAACGGTAATCGTTTAAACGTCTTATATTGTAGAACAATAAAGTTCTAAGAATATTTAACATGTATTTCACTTTATAAAATGGTAAGAAGTACAGTGCTGTTAACTGTCGATAGCACGGAAAGGTCTTTAAGTTCGTTATAGGAGCAAGGCATTTTTTTATTGTAACTAGAACACCGCGAACGATGGCGACTGTACTACAAAGTATAATTTTCGAACCTTATGGTCAGTCGAGAAGCAAATTTACCTTCTTAAAGGCAGGCAACGCATTTGCAGTTCCCATACTGTGGAGGATGTCCATAAGCGTCAGTGTTCGAGTCTGTGATCCCCGCAGTCGTTCATCGCCTTCTCTTATAAAAATCAATAAAAAAGTGTTTATTCCCACATAACACTTTGAACGTGACAATTATTGCGTGAGGTAGATAAAAGCAGTTTAGGCTAATTAAGTCCATTTTAGTTCGAATATGACACATTGCACGGCAAATTGTTGAAGTGCCGATACACTAATATTAAATCGATATTATCCTTGTTTCTTTAAAAGGAATGATGACAATATGAAAAAAATGGAAAAGATTAGGAAGTACAAGAAAATTGACGAAAGATAAAACTTTCTACATTAGGTATTGCTGATTATAGGCACTCGATGACAGGCCTGTCTCGAAGGAAACAAAAACAAATGAGTACGCAGATTTTCTATCTAAACATAGTCATGTAAGTTAGGAAAAGTGTAAGTGTAATACTATGCGACTAATATAAGAAGTTTATATTTAATGTTTTTATACAAGTTTGCTAGCAATGGGAACCTACAGCAAAAACAATACGCCTTATACTCTGTACTCACTTAGTTGTGCCTTTTTAACTAAGAGCAGTTTATTGGATTCAAGTAGAAATCCACTCTTGGCGCTAGATTCTAAAGGTGATTCTAATGTGACCGAAACCTGAATTTAGTTGATTTTTAGACGTGAAATGCCTCAATAGCTACTACTTTATAGCACGACTATTTGTGAGACCCACCATCGTATCGTCATCGACAAGATTTGTGCAGCGCCCCCTATCGGACATAAAGCACACTAATCTTAATTCTTATATAATATATTATAAATGCGAATGTTTAGATGGATGTTTGTTTGAAAATATCTTTAAGACGGCTAAACGGATAACGATGAAATTTGGCATGGATGTAGAACATAGTCTGGAAAAACACATAGGCTACTAATTAAGTTTTTTTTATAATTCCTCGCTGACAGAGTCGCGGGCGACAGCTAGTTTTGACATAAGTGACGATACAATGGCCATTGTTACACATATTCGTGCTAGACCCATTGGTTGATGATTACCTTAACACACATTTATAAATTTTAAACAGTTATGTGCATTAAGGTTGCATCACGATGTTTTCCTTCCCCGTTAGGACGCGATTAGACTATGGCTATTTGTAAGAACAGGAATACGTTTTATATATATATCAAATTTCATGATTATCAGTTCTAACGTTCTGGAAATACCTTCAAACATACATGCAAACATTCGCATTTATAATATTAGTATGAAATATGAATTTATAATAAAAAACACAAAAGAATATTGTGGGTCAAATTTGCTAAACAGTTTCTTGATTTATATATCAAAGTGAAAATCAAAGAGACAAGTAATAAATAAAAAACGCTGTTAGTACATATATTATTATCATTATGTTTTAATTAATATGAAATGAATGACTCAAAAAACTACGAATGCTATAGTGACTGAAAAAGCAAGGAGATATTTTTTTCTGCGGAAGTCGATTACGAAGTAACGAGTAATTGATGTATGATAAAAGTGAGGTATGCCGGTATCACGGTATGTGAGAGACCTTGTGTGCAGTAAATATATGGATCAAATACTCGAAACAAGATCCTTTATTTCTAATGTTGTGGTCTTACTTTAATATTTTATAGTCAACCATCGCAAGCAATACCATTAAGTGTGAGTGCGTGTGCATTGTTACAGTACGGACGAGGATGCGCGCCAGGCCATGATGCTGGACGGCGGTAAGATTAAGGAGATCCAGGTGAAGCTTCTGCTCAGCTCGCGCTCAGAGATGCACAAGGTCATAGAGACGGCACGTCAAAGCGTGCCCATATTGACGCTCACCGCGCCCACACCCTCCCCTGCCGCCGTGCCCACCCCCGCCCTCGCCCCGCCCGCGCCCACTCCCACGCCTACACCCGCCGCCACGCCCGCTCCGCCCGTCATCACGCCCTTCTCTGCCGCACTCGGCGGCGTGCCGCTCGCCGGCTTCGGCATTCCCGGCATAGGCAACCCTCACGAGATACCCCAACCCGCCGTCATCGAACCCCCCGGACCCCTGGTCAGCCCCTCGGCCACCACGCCCAACAATGAAGACGACAACAACGTGGAAGACAGAAACGATAGAAAAACTGCGAAAGACAAACGCCGCTCGAGAACTCGCTCCCGATCGCGCGACAGGGACCGAAAGGACCGGAAAAGAGACAGACGCGAGCGCTCGCGATCCCGAGAGCGCCGGCGTCGCGATCGCAGCCGCAGCCGAGAGCGACGCGATCGCAAGCGCGACCGCAAGGATCGTAGCCGGTCGCGCGACCGCTCGCCCGGAAAGCGCAACCGCGATCGCCGCAGGTCCCCGCGAGACTCGCAAGAGAAATCGGTCGACTTGAGCGAGTCGGGTTCTATGGCCGCAGTGTACGGCATCGGCGCCGCGCAACAGCCGCCGCTCATCATGCAGCAAGGGGCCGCGCCGCTCAGTGGATCCGCGCCCAACATAAACTCCGCGCAGCTTCGCTTCAGCGATCCATCGATGGTTGAAGCCTTCACTAAATTGCAGGAGTTGGGCAAGAAAAGAAACCCGAACGCATTCCAGGGTGAGCAGGCGAACGGCGGGCCGCGGTACCCGGCGGCACGGGGCGGGGCCGGGGCCGCTACGGCGGGCGCGCGTGGCGGCGGCTTCCGGCGCGAGGGCCGCATGTCGCGCTTCGAGGACCAGCAGCAGGGGTGCTGCGTCGCCATCAGGAGCGCCCCCAACCACACTAGCTACGGCGACGTACGCCGCTTCTTCCCCTACCTCATCGACAAGCACGGCATAAAGATGATAAACGACAATACGGGCCGGCGCACCGGCAACATCTACGTCAAGTTTTGCGACCCGCGGTCCAAGCAGCTTGCGCTGCAGCGCCGCACCAACGAGCTGAAGGGCGCCATCGTTGACGTCGAGGACCTCGACGACGGCACGTACGAAAGCGCCGTCGACTCCTTCCTGCCGTACCGCGACGACAACGACGACGAGGACGTGTCACTGGTGATCGGCGACCGGCGCCCGGCCTCGCCCCAGCGCGCGCCCTACAGCGTCCTCCGGCTGGCCGACCTGCCGCACTTCGTCAAGGAGCACGACATCATGAAGGCTTTCAGCGACTTCTCGCTGCTCTCCATCACGCTCAACGACTGCAGAATGTCGCGCTCCAAAATAGCTTACGTCCAATTCGTGAAGCCGGAGGACGCGAGACTCGCCTACGAGAGAAAGGACATGTACGTGTTCGGGAGACGGCAGCCGGTCATCACGACGGTGTCCGACGAAGAGTACGAGAAGGTGAAGCCGGAGCAAGCCGATAAGGCGCCGGAGGCTGCCGAGCCGCCGGAGGAGGCTATCGCACCGCGCGACCCCCGCCAGCGCCGCCAGGCAGTTGACAGCCCGCGGCCGCACGGCGCCCCCCTGCTGCAATCTCAGCCGCCGGTGCAATTTTTCCCGAACGCGCCGTTCGTTCCGCAGCAAAGCTTCGGCGCTCCCTTCCCCGGCGCGCCGCAGTTCGCCGGCTTCCCTAACGCGGTTTCAATGGACCCGCGCTCCGCCGTCGCGGGCTGGACCGGCAGGCCCGGGTTCCCCAACTCCACCGAGCAGATGTCGCACATGGTGCACAAAAATCCTCGCGTCGTATCGACGGACATGGACGAACAGCCGCTGGACTGCGTCCTGATGAAGGGCCTGCCGACGGAGGCGACGGACCGCACCATAGTGACCTTCCTGTCGGACACCGGCGCCGTGCCCGCGCGCATTCACCTCATGCTCGACACCTCCGGCGTGCCCTCCGGAGACTGCTTCTGCGAGTTCCGCTCCGTGCAGGAGGCTCGTCTCGCCGCCACCAAGCACGGCCACGACCTGGACGGCTGCCGGGTCACCGTCGACCTCGTCTCGAGAAAGGTCGTCAAGGAGGCACTCGAGGGCCCCAAGCCGGGCGAAGGGCTGATGCCGACGCCCGTGCAGCAGCCCTTCTACGATCACCCGCGCGGGGGATTCGCGCAGCGGCCCTTCAGGGGTCGCGGTGGCTTCGACCGCGGCGGGTTCGAGCGCGGCGGCTTCCGTGGGGGCTTCGATCGGGGCGGGTACCGCGGCCGCGCGCACTGGGCGGAGCGCGGCGGCGGCCGAGGCTTCGACCGCGGTCGAGGGCGGGGCTTCGGGCGCGGCCGCGGCGGCTTCATGGAGAACGGCGCGCGAGAGCCGCCCATCGAGCCCGAGGAATCGGACCCGGCGCTCGAGGGTTTCGGTGCTCCGGGCTGCGTGCTCGGCATGGAGAACGTGCCTTTCCGCGCCTCCGTCGAGGACATCTTGGCGTTCTTCTCAGACTTCGAGCTGACGCAGGACGACGTGATCAGGCGCTACAACGAGCGCGGTCAGCCCACAGGAGACGCGCGCGTCGCGTTCCGGAGCCCGCACGAGGCGAAGCGCGCGCTCGCCGCACTGCAGCAGCATACTATACACGACCGCCGCATCTCGCTCACGCTGCTATAGTGCCGCACTGATTGTGACGTCATCACATTGGACTAGTGTGTGTGTGTGTGTGTGAATGTAAGTAAATGTACATTATGTGATAACTGAGTTATTTCATCGCCGTATCGGTTACGTTATTGTGTAGCTGACGAATTTATCTATTATAAGTTTATAATAAGGGGTTGTATAAATATAGGTAGATAATATAAAATAATACACATTTGTAATTAAATTCGTGGTTTTATTTCCCCATGCAGCAGACAGTGGACAGCAGCCAGCGGACGAGACCGCGCGAGAGAGCATCGTACACACGACAATATCATTTGTACACAAGTAGATTGAATGTATCCTCTTTGTTTAGGCAACAAACGTGATTGGATAAATATTTTTTTCTTCGCATCCCTTAATATCATAGAATTATGCTCCGACTCTCTCTGACACAACACACAATGTTACCACAAAATAAATTAAACCAAACTAATCTGACCACAATACATTCTTACAAATAATATATTCAACATTGAAGAAAAACAACTTCGCAAGTTCTATAACAAAATGAACACTAAATCAAACTTGTTCAAATCAATGATGAAATCATATTTAAATGAATTGTGGCAAATTTCCTTTGTTATTAAAATCTTACAATAGAAGTAAATCAACAAAAAGCACGAGTTGAATTAACATAAAAACATATAGATAATATCAATTAGAAGAACCTTACTTACAGAAACATACTTTCTCTAGCTTTAAATATATATTTTCATTACATTTACAACATCCAAAACGTCCATTCTAAATAGGAGCTATCAAAATTACGGCACTTTATATAAAATATTTATAAACTGTAAAAAGATGGAATTCATAACTGGAATTGAAAGAAAATTAATTTTATTTTCAACAGACTTTAAAAAAATGGAAGATATAAAAATATTTCATGAAATGTTTCGCAACAAATTACCAGCTCAAGTTTAACTTAAAATTAATTATCTATATATAGAACTTGAATAAGCGAGAATCTAAAAGACCGCGATACTACTTTCGCTTATAAAGGTTTCTCTCTAACTCGAGTTTCTCGCTTATGCAGGTTCATCTGTAGTGTTATACTCATTGATTTTGGCCTCACATTCACTAAACCCAAGGATTCATCAAAACAGACGAGAACAAAATCTCATTTCGCTCGTCGAACTATAAGCAAACTGTTGCTGCATTTATAAAAATATTTTACACAAGAAAACAACAAAAGCTAAGCCAAAATACAAGAGAAATGCAACAGCGCAGGATGACTTGTTGATTTTACTCACATACACTTTTATTAAAGCAAAACTTATCTTATTTATAACAAATCAAGACAGAAACTTTATAAATAAACATAAAAAAAGACAATTTTTGTTTACTTCATACAGTTATTATATCTAAAAATATTTCGTGAATTTTGTCAATTTTAACTTAAAAAGTGAAGTTTTATTTACAAAGTTCTAGTCTTGATTTGGAACATTAGCAACACATTTTCGCCGCCATTTTGTTTTGGCGCGAAATCACAACAACCACATTATAGTATAATTATTATAAAAAAGATAACAAAAACATTACAAGAAGATTCAGAAAATAGTTTTCATGGAATTGTATTTAGTATAGCGTTTATATGTTCAATATACATAGAAAATGCATCGACATATATCTCCATACCGGACATTTTTAGTATTTGTAATGACATTTGGAATAAATATTCAATTATTTTATAAAGTATGTTATAAATAGAATTTAAATCGTAGATAGAGTTACATATATCTACAAATATAGTTAATATTCCATACAAAGTTTAAAGACATCAACAATTTTATAAAAGGGACACCCTATATACCATAAAGTCATCTCAGAAACCGCCCTTAGTAACGTTTAAGCATTTAAACAAACTACATAGTTATTCAAATATTTTCCAAAAACGTATCATACAGGATGTTATATTAAAATCCTACAAAGCACATTTATTGACAGTAATTTCACAAACGCACATTTATTTAATATTACACAGGATGTTTAAAAATGTTCTTTGATAAAATAAATTCGAAGGGTTAACTATAAAATCACGTAAAAAACACTCAATGTGTGGAAATAAAAAGAAAATATCAGACTTACAAATGCTAAACTACACATTAATTTGTGAATATAAAACATTATAACATATTTTATTCCGTGTCGAATTAAATACCATTAATAATTTTTATTTAATTATTTATTTTCAAACATCCTGTAGTATAAGAATCCAGTAAGAACGTCACAAATAGTATATAAGAAAGTACATAAGAAATGCAACTACAGGTGGTCCCAACATACATAACATGCGCGTACATTACACTTAAAAAGGTTAATTATAAAAAAGATAGTAACTTTCATATAACAAATATAGGATTTAATACAAAACATACACGAACTGTTTAATGCCCGCCTGTTTGTGTACGTCAGTCCTTATTTTCACAAAAATATTGTTTTAGAAATTTACTATAAAATTAATTTAAACTTTTATGTTTGTACATAATATTTATATGTTTTGGATATTAATTTATATATAAATGAGATTATATGGAATTTTTTTTTTTTTACCCGTACAGTCATAGAAAAAAATCCGCTAAAATCAAGTAAACGTAACTTTTCCAACTTAACAGATAAAAGCGGATTTTATTACTTAACAAGTTATAAAAAACACTTTATATTCTTTATTATGAAAAAATCTAAACATCAATCTTATAAGGAAATAGGAATATATCATTTATTAAAAAAAACTGTTAAAATTCTATTTTCATAAGTGTAGATGCACAAATGCTTTAAAATCTTTATATTTTACAAATTTATAATAATTTTTTAAATGTATTGAAAAAGAAACATTATTTATTTAATTTCTAGCAATACTATTATATTAATTTGTTTTTAAAATATTTTTTCAATGATCAAATACTAAAATAGCTTGATATTATAAACATAATTGTAAAGAGAAATGTAAGTATTCAACAAACTGCAAGTCAATTATGTTCTTTAACAACTACGGTATACTATTGCTATCTTTGGCTAATTCCTATTCAAAGCCTTATTAGTTGGGAATAGAGTTGATTTTACAATGAAATAAACCAGTCGGTCATTCGAGACAAAACAATTAATTAAAGTTTAATTGAATTTATAGTATAATTCGAGACAAGAATACATTTACAAAATAAGTAACAAAAATGTGATGTAACATAATTGTTAACACAAAATGTTTCTTCTTTAAATCAAGAAGTAATCTCTTTCACACAGAAGATAAGCTGACACAAGTATACTGATGGCGACAACTTCTACTATCTTCTAGAACGAACACGATTGTTATTCTTCAACAAATCTATTTATCTCTGAAATAGAAAAAACAAATTCATAAAATATATGATGATATAAATATCTAGACAAGCCTAAAAAATAATTAAAAAAATAGATATTTCAGTTTTGCTGGTATGCAATATTTTTTAAATGCACAATGCATTTAATTGAATTAAAAAAAATCATACTTATAAGTTTCTAACCGTTTTTAAAAACAAAAATATTATCATTTTGTCTGTATTTTTATTTTGCTGTAAAAAATTCAACTTTATATGCTATATAAGAAATATTTAGGACTTATCTTATTATTTTTTATTTTAATTTATTTACATAATTTCTTTGTTTGTAAGTTTTACAACAATGTGGGGGTTTGTGGTAGAGTGTGTGGGGTGTGTGTGTATGTGGTGGGGTGGTGTACTGACTTCTTGTTGTTGATGTTGTTCTCATGGTGGTTGTTGGTGGCGGGACTGTCGCTCACGTCGCTGGAGCTGCGGATGTCGCCCTCCATCTGAAAACACAACATTCAACCATTTTATCACATTTGGAAATATTAAAATACATATATATTCATTGTAAAATACTTAATAAACATAAAAGAGAATTGATTAAAAAAACAGGCGTGAAGTAGAAGTAATTCTGCGTTTTGTCTGAGTAGTGCGCGTTCCCTTCCCACCATTTTATTATAAGAAGTGAATATGATGGGGATGGGCATAGTAAGAAGTCCCCTTCTCCGTCGATAAAAGGTAAATAACTCATTTGCAATTGCGGATATCAATGTATAGCTTCGTCATTTTAGCGAATTCAAGTTGCTGCTTGTTATAGAAACATGTTCAGAGGAGAGGTATTCGTGTTGTGGTGTACCTTGCCGGCCTGTATGGTCCTGTAGGCCATCTGCAGGATGAGGTATGTCCAGACGACGTGCAGCATCAGCAGCAGCAGCAGCAGGGAGTTGAAGATGTAGTAGGCGGGGAACATCGGCAGCAACATCGGCGCGCGGATCCATGTGCTGAAACATATACATACGTCTTTGTATCTCTATATGTCTGTATGTTTGTATGCACCTTTTTAAATATAAAAAAATATTATTCGAATTAGAAACAACCAGAGATGTTAGGTAATTAGTTATAATTTATATATTATATGAAACCCATCACCAATGTTTACTTACGCTCTGAAAAAAACAAAAAAAATTATATTGTCATTTGTAGTATTGTCAACTGTCACTAGTTGGCGATAGATGGCGCTCATATTATTTATCCAAAAATAAACTGTTTAATCAATATTATAAAGAGGAACAATGTGACAGTTTGTTTGAAAAGACTAAAAATACTGAACAGATTTAAAAAAAATTCTTACACTATCGTAGAGAGAAACAAGCTATATTTATTACTAGATTTTCTATAGGCTGCGGCATCTGCTTTACTATAGGATTCCTATTACGCTTTACCACTTGAGGGTGAACAGAAAGGATAACATCAAAGCTCTCGTAGTTGATGATCAACAAGGCATGGTAACTCACCTCCAAAGCAGGTGATAGGGGAAGATGATGATTCTGGTGCCGATCCACACGATAATGAGGCCAAGGAAAAGCGTGTCACATGTCTTCTGATAGTTAGCATACTTGGATGCCTTCACCGCCTGCAAGAAAGAAAAAGAACGCCTTATAAAAAAGTTTCATAGAAACATTTCAAAATAAGTACAGTTGAATGTCGAAATGATTAAGTTTTATAGTCTCTTTTACAATCTTAGTTGGATTTGTTTAAAATTCACGGTAAATAACTAACATAGAGCAAATCTGGAAACTAAAAGTGTCTCCTTTGTTCCAATATTAAAATTTCTCCATGTTTGTGATTAATAAACATAAAAACTGCTCAATCGATTTTATTAATTCTTTTACCATTAAAAAGATAATTTATCTGAGAGTGACGTAGACATGTTAATTTAAACGATGTAAACTAAAATGATTTTTTTATTTTATGTTTAAAATTACCTCAACGAATATATCCCCAGCATCATGCAACAACAACACCAAAGTGCCGATCCTATGCAAGTTGCAGACCCAACTGAAGCTGATGAGGGACACGGTGGCTACGTGGTGCAGGAACATCTGCCAGAAGTCCTTGCGCCTCACGTCCCAGAATTGACTGATGGTGAGGGAGAGGTAAAACGCAGCAGAGATCATGTAATACCACCACACGTCGTCTGTCACACCCTGAAGATACCAACATTTTCGATAAAAATACATCGTACCTTGAAAATTAAGTCTAAAATAACTTTAACTTGGGATATTACCTGATGTGGGTACCCAAGGTACGCGTGGTCGATATCCCAGAGCCACGACTTGTTCCACAATATGCAAAGACCGAAGACAAAGTTGCTGGAATGAAAGGTAAACTTCCACAGGTTCTCGCAGAACTTGACGAGGGTTGAGGGTTTGTCCTGTGACCGTCGCAATCGCCACCAGCGCTCCACCTGGCGCTCCGTCATATCCAATTGCTTCGCGAGACCGCATGGCTGGAGATATCAAACTTAATTTATTTAAATCTTTTCAAAGCTGGAAATGAGTAGGCCATTCATGGTCAATTGTTTTTAATAGTATTATGATATTACACTTTGGTCCTTCGAGCCGGATTTTGATCCATACAAACAATTTTGATATATCGATCTGGATTGTCATGTATATGTAATATAAATAGAATCATAGAGGTGATAAAATAGTTTTCTTTTCACATATTGCATCGTAAATCCGTTGTACGAGACAAGATGGTTCTACTTTAACGGGAAGGTAAACATTTTTATATACCATTATTTTATCGAAGACAATAAAGTTGGGGTCACAATTTATATTACTGACAATGTTTTTGTGGTTATCAAAAATGTTGTATAAGACAAGACAAGAACGGCAAAATCTACTTCGTATGATTTCTTAGACAAACATTGAAAATAATTATTGCTTGGCATCCGACAGTAAGAACGTTTACGTCTTAAAGCAATTGTAATTTTTTTTATACAGTAGGGGACAAACGAGCAGCTGGAACACTGAGGTGTTCAACGACGATCATGGACATCAGCAATACCAGAGGAACCGCAGATGGGTTGCCGACCTATAAGATGTATTTTTATTCCATTGAATTTGCAAACAAGACATACAGAAGTCGGTATGTTTATCAGTTTGTTTAGACGTACATCTCTGCCGGGAGCAGTTATCTCTTATCACACAGCGGTGATACGATAGCATACTTTGTGTTAAAATCTCACGTGTATATACTGCGCCTTATCAAGCCTCAACATTAAGAAAGATTTATAATAATTTTGCTGTACTTTTAAGCACTTTTTCATTACTTTTGTGATATTTTTTTTCAATTTCAAAGATATGTGTGAATTCCCGGGTATAACAGGCGACTACGCAGCTAGCCATCCGTCACGTTCCGTCTCCCGAAATGAAAAGTGGATTGCGGAGGTTCGTTTAGCCACGCCAAATGGAGATCCATAGTCTCTGCCTACTTCTCTGGGTTACAGGCCTTAATTGTATACGTTACTTTTCTTCAACAAATACCTAGAGCTCCCAACGTTTGGGTTACATTCAACAAGTTGGCACCGCGAGTATCGATTGGTTATTGACTGTAAAAATTGATTCAGGATAAAATAAGTCTTGGTAACGTCTGCCTATCCCTTCTAAATAAGACATAAGTCTATTGTGTAAACACATATGAACTGATACATATATTGGTTGAAGAATCACAACAAAAGTTATTTGAAAGCTAGTCTTTCTGTCGCGTCATGAAGCCCTATCCTAGACTAACAAGTCTTGTTAATTCATTTCTTAGTATGGGTTTCCACTGCCGAGACATTTATTTAAAACATAGTGTCTTCCCTCTCATATTGTTTCAAAAAAATAGAGACATATTTATCACACGCTTTACAGTAACCTTAAAAATACATTAATTCGCATTTATTACGATGTTGTGACTTATTAAAATAAACCTTTAAAATTATGAATGTCCTTCACAACACGTGATTTCTTATCTATCGCTATATCCTGAATAGTGAATAACATAAATGATAAAAATATCTGCATATCTGTGGGAAAGACAGAGAGATATTCAAATTTAACTTTATAGAGCCTTATCTTTTATCCTTGTCCCGTGTTTAAATTAGATATGCAATAGTAACACGATTGAGAAGGAAGTAAAGACTGAAATTAAAAATAACAATTCCATCTGGTAGACCAAACCTACTGCGTCTACCCTAAACAAAGTTGGACTAAAAAAGCTAAACGGATGTCGATGAAATTTGACACATATTCTTCCAGACTAGAAGAACAGATAGGCTATTTACTATATTTTTTTTATTCCGCGCGTACAGAGTTGCGGGCTAAAACTAGTATTCAATGATTAGACGGAAATACTGTCGACATAATATTTGGTTGCAAATTTTAACAGTACTTTTTAACAGGCCATAATGTAGGCAACGGTACTCGGCACCGGCAATAGTCACGTAGCCAGACGTCACAATTCGTCCATGCTGTGATAAGCGTTATCAATTTACGAGCGATCATTGTATGCAAATGTCTTTGATAAGAATTTAACGATTACTAGCTATTGATAATATAAAATTATAGCTATCGCACGCGACTTCGTCCTCGCGGTATTAAAAATTTAATTAGTAGCCTATGTGTTTTTCCAGACTATTTTCTACATCTGTGTAAAATTTCAGCGAGATCCATGCAGTCGTTCTGCAGATATCTGCCAACTAACATCCATCAATCCATACATCCAAACACATCGCATTTATAATATTAGTAAGATAACTGTGTACTAGCGCAATACCAGCCTTACTAAAATGTCGACGTTTATGTCACCTCACTAATCATTCTGACACTGGACTTTGTAACGAAAGCACGTCATTCGCGCCAAATGATTCTAACTAATAATGTCTAAAACCAAATTTCATCCAAATATGTACAGCCGATTTGGAGTTACTTTGTATCAAACATTCATACGTATGTAAGGATGTTTATCAATCAAAATATTCGCAATTATATTAGCAACATTCTTTATAAATAATTTATTATGTATCAGAAATTGCTTTTAATTAGCCAAGCATGTTTATAAAAACTGGTATCAACGCACGATAAAATAGAATGTTATATATGTTTGTAAATATATGTATGAGTTTATAAACAAGTAAGGTAAATGAAACAGTAATCATCTACAGACGTGTCGAAGTTCAAGGCGCGATAAACTGTTATTAATTGGGCTATGTACACTTATATATAATAGCAAGTATATAATAACATATATACCAATATCCATGTCTCATACAAATTAACAGATATTTGTTTTATACTAATTTAGCTAGTCTGGTCTTACTCGAGAATGTACTTTAGGTCACTTTATGGTCTTTTTAAATATTTTTAAATATATATTATTAAATTATTTACAAATTAGTACATAGGTAGCACCAAAACACAGTCACGTTAAATAGAAAGTAGTAGTTTCGTTTTTATATTTAATCGTAAAATAAATTATTATACTTCGCATACGTTGGGCAAAGTGTGTTATCCTCACCTACGTAAATCTTGCAACATCTCTATGTAAATATAAGTGATAAAAACGAGCTATATTCTTGTATATATGTTAATATGCTATTTATCTTCTAGGAAACGGCACATATATTTTAATGTACTCAGATTATTTTTAGTTGTAGAAACCGGTCAAGGTCGTCTCGTAGGTGAATTAATGTTTTTATTCTATTTCACCATCATATAATATCGTATGATTTTTTTTAGTTAATAATAATTAACTCTTTTTCACTACGGTTGATATTTTATTAATTATTAATTATATTTAAAGTTATAATTAGTGAGATCCCTTAGATGACGGGAGAATCGGGCTAGGGGACACAAACCTGTGCCGTTTACCCTACGTCAGGATAAGGTCAAATGGTGGATCTAATAATAAGCAAATATTATACAATTATGCATAAATACTAAGACATTATACGTAAGATATTCTTTGATGTAGCTATTTCCTCACAGTAACTTTTATATAAATATTTTTGCAAGCTTGTCCAAAATAGAAGAAATTGTTTTGTTTGAAAAATAGAAAGTATATATACATAGACATACTCGTATATCGCAATTGATTACGGTACGGAACTTTCGTAATACGATTTCCTTGTCGAAACTATTCGAGCGATAATACGTTAAAGATGCGTGGCTCCACGCAGATTACGAAAACAAACTAAAGTTTATTAAACTAATTGGGGTAGACCAGTGACTCTCAAAGTGGCCCAAGTTCCCACCAAGGTGCACGGAAAACTCGGCAGTGAACGATAATGGAAAATTAATCGAGTTCTCTTTAACCAAATACATTTTAAAAGGGATCCATTCAGAATTTTTAAGAAAAAGTTTGGAAACCTATAATGTAAAGACAAAACAGACGAAAATATTAAGGGCTGCAATGCACGAACTCCTAGTAACTATCAAGCTTCAAGTTATTTCCAGAAATTAGTTCTTGTTCTTGCTATAAATTGATTCATGTACAAACAATTAAAACATTTAAGTATATATATATATATGTAATTAAATAAATATTTACGACTATATTATCACTTCGTGGTCACGACTCTCACCACGATGTGCAAATAACAAACTTGATATTAAATACTACATATTTAAAAATTATTGAAAACATGTCACCTTCCTTAAAAAAAAAAGTATGACGAAAGTATTTATTTGGGCACTTCTATACAGTGGAAGCCGACTGTTAGATGATTAGCATATACTATAATAGTGTGTTAGCAAAGGGTTTGTATATAAACCAACCTGTTTTAATTTAGGCGAAGCTCTATAGGCCGCTTCTAGTTTAGGGTTATTCGGTGCTTTCCTATTCCTTGTATCCTTTATTCCTAGGTGTTTACCAAATGGGGCGTACACTGTCCTGTAACAATACGAAAAATATATACTACAGTCGAAATTAATCTTACTAATATTATAAATACAAATGTTAGGTTGGATGGATGTTTTCTGGAAGGTATCTCCAGTACGGCTGCATGGAACTCGCTGAAATTTGGCATACTAACAGAACATAGTCTGGAAGAACACATAGGCAATTTTGTCATTTTTATATCGTCACTCTTCGTACCAGAGACAACAAATTACAAGTATCACAACAGTGTTAATACGCGGTTCAAGTTTTTTTCAAATACATAACAGAAAATCTATTTTCATTTTGCATAAAGACAATTGTATTTTTTCAACACATTGGCAACATTTCTTCACGCTCCAGTTCCACGACAAAGGCGTTACATTTATCAATGTGACTCTTCACAAGAGATAAAACCTTTCACGGCCCTGACCTACTCTTGCAGATTACAATTTTGCACGACTCCTACCGTGAGTTTTCACTGAAAAATATATATTATATACAACGTCCTACTTCTTTTGTATAAAAACGAGAGAGATGGTTATAAGTTTTTGCACATGTTTCGGCATTATTAAAGTTCATTGACCTTTAAACATGTGTTAAAAATCTTCTAACAATCAGTAATTCATTCAAGAGTTATCAAGTGTAGTTAATGCTTCTGTTAGGAATCCTTTAGTTATCTTTACGATCGTGTAGTTAGTGGTTAATCTGTTTAAACAATTAACAGGTTTACTTTGTAATTTACCGAACATTATCACGCCTGTGATAGATAGGGGTAAACAGAGATTTATTAAGCGTAGTCTGTTAGTAAACTGGCTGTCGCCCGCGACTCCGGTTCCGTTCGCTCCGTGCTCTACATTTATGCCACATTCTGCGAGATTAATTCAGCCGTTCCTTAGATATCTTCAAAAATCCATCCATCTTAACATTCGCATTTATAATATTAGTACGATAATAGTGTTTACTATTTAGGAACAATAGTTCTGGTGCAAATATACAGACAAAAAATCTCTCAAGAAGCAACACAACGTAGTTATTTGAGGACAATGTAACGGTCAATAACATGAGTACATTTAAAAATAATATTAACAAAATACCGGTACAAGTGTCGTGGGTTTTCACTGTTGACATACATCTACAAAAACATTGTAGCATCTCTCTTATTCTCTTTAAGTCGGAGAATACTGTAAACTTTATCTTGTAAAAATGCAATAACAAACAATAGACACGCCAGACTATATTATTTGAAGCCATAAAGACGTGTTTGTCTATCGGTTTTGTTTGTAATACTATGTTGACGTATTGATTAGTATAGTGTACACACAGACGTACAATTTTATGTGATGTTAGATATTTGTTACAAGGTGAAACGTAGGGTTGTTCTTTCTACGGCTTCGATTATTTCACATTTAATGTATATGTCTTCTTTTAACACTTACAAAAGCGGCAATATAATAATCTTAATAATATATTAAATGCGAATGTTTGGATGGATGTTTGTTAGAAAGTGTTTCCAGAACGGCTGCATGGATCTAGTTTAAATTTGGCATAGGTGGAGAAGATAGTCTGAAAGAACACATAGTCTATTTAAGATTTTTTTTAATTCCGTTCGGATGATTTAAACGGGGTATAAAGTAAATTATGGTTTATCAACTTTTCGTCCAATTATTATATGCAAGTCACCCATCCTTTTCTCCTTTAGACAATTTGAACCTTGCCCTAATCTTGCTCTGGGTTCACCACAGCATCCAAAAAGCAATCGCAGAACATTATCTCAAATTACAGCAGTTCAGTCCGTTTCGATCGCGGTAACCTGTCTTTGTAAGTGTCCAAAAATATTAAAAAAAATGTTAGAATATCTTCAAGGTCATCATTATCATATAGCTGATAACTCAGCGTCAGTACAAGAACAATCAGCTGTGTGCCAGTTATTTACCGAGGTGTGCCAGGTCAGGGGCAAGTTAGTCTATACGTCACTTTGTTTACTTTTTGTCGATTGTCCCGGGAATTAATTTTTATTGGCCATTGACTTGCGCATTATGATAACTTTGGTTTTAGGTAAACAATTTAGATGAGATTTTGTCGAAACATTGACATTAAATATATTTTTAGAAAAGAAAACAGATATAACAATATCATGTTCTTGAAAACGATGTTCAAACTTATGTTTAGTCGTGCGTTTTTATTCTCATTTTTCCTTAATACTTTTTTCTATAATACGGTAGAGAAACGAGCAAGCGGTCACGTTAGCCGCAATTACAGATGTTGCCTGCCTTTAATTGGGGGAGATGCACAGAAAGAGAATACTCCCTTAGGCGTTCCCTTCTCCATCAAATCCCCCACCCTCACTTTTCTTTGGGTCTCAGGACGCGTGAGAACAAGTGAATGATGGGAAAAATATTATATGTATGAACATCACACAGTTATATTTTACGCGATTGTCTTACTATCATTATTGGCAATAATTCCCATTGATATATCCCGATCATATGTTAAGATAAATTATATGAACATATTTAAGTGCCTTATCACTGATATTTGTCGTATCTATTTAAACGTATTACCACTAAAAACGTAATAAGATAGTCACAGTTACGATTTACTTAGTCAAAATTTTATTAAAACAAAACAATGTTTTACGTTTTATTTTTCATTTTCCTTTCCATTTTGTTTATTTATATTTTATAAATATTATACTATTTTTAGAGTTTAATGAGAAATATAACAAACTAGCTGTCGCCCGCGACTTCGTCCGACCGACCCGACCGAAATTAAAATAATATATAAGCAACCTATTTTCTACATCTATGCTCAATTTAATTGAGATAGTTTCAGCTATCAATCTATGCATCCATCCAAACATTCGCATTTATGATATAAGTAAAATTTAATTATGTTTAATATAATACATAGACACTATATAAAATAATTTACATACTGTAACACTCAGTACATAGTTTAAGTGATATTGAATAGAATAATTGAATGCGTATGAGATGTGAGATGTGAGATGTCAAGTTGTATTGCAGACAATTGGATTACATACACAATTGCTTGTCTACAAGTCGGGACATTGCCCACATACATTCATTAATGTATTCAATCATACAATTATATCATTCAACAAACATATGTGGGAACAGTTTCCTCATTCACTTTAAATAGTTTAAAGTTTTATAAATAGATGGCTTATTGTAATACATGATGGTTAGTGGTGAAAGTAATTTGTCTATCAAATTAAAACAAAAATTGTACCAAGACAATTTTACAGAATGTCTGAATACAGATGAGCTTAGATAGCAAAAAGTCAAAGGGATCGCGTTTTTTCTCCCTTTCAGCTTCTCTGTAACCCAAACTCCTGGCTTACGCAGGTCTTCCGTTAGGATCATATAATGTCTCGCTTATAGAGGTTTCTCACTTATCCAGCTATGACTGTAATTATATTTTTAATTACATTATTCACTCTCTTGGAGATAAATTTCGAGTTTATCAAGGTTTTCATGATTTCGGGAAAGTGTTTAGAAATATATCAAAGTTAAAAAGCTGGATATTAAATAACTTTTTCATATTAAAGAATGTATTATTATTACAAAAGCATAATATTTCTCAGGATTCAATTATGTATCATGATGTTTGATATTTTCAATAATGTATCATCATCATCATCAGCTCACTATATGTCCCCACCGAGGGGCCCAGAACCTACCCTAAGTTAAGGGTAATTAGGCCATAGTCAACCATGCTGGCCAAGTGCGGGTTGGTTGACTTCACACATATCTTTGAATTTCTTCTCAGATATGTGCAGGTTTTCCTTCACCGTAAGAACGTCGGATAAATGTGATGTAAATCGGAAATCGAAAAAATAATGTATGCTTATAGTTAATGTGAGAAATATCCACATGATCTAAATAAACATTGTTCTTTGTAACGGCCGGCAGCGTGATATGTATAAAAAGAGTTGCTTAATTGAATTTAACCATATTAAAGATATTAAAATAAATTTAATTTACTTACCGTAATATTTGCATGTTTATCTTATCTTTGCAAAGGTTATTTTTATATTTATGCCTCTTATAAGATTTATATGAGAATCTACTACATATTTTCTGAAGATAAATAAAACCAATAAAAAATGAGAACGTTATTCAGAGGACATTTATCTTTTGCACGAATATTAATTAATATGCGTACATTAAACTATTCACAATATGCCGGCGAAAAACTGGATTACAATTATCTTTTAATATCAAGAATTGTTTATCCTTGTAGGGGGAAAATAAATGTTTTAAATATTTTCTTCGTAACAGATAAGAATGAATCATCTGTTATTTTAAAAATGTAAGGAATCATGACATGATCACTTAAGCATTAGTTAGTACACGCCCCTTAATTTTATTTTAGACCTTAGATATTAGGTTATCCACTTACCTCTGTAATATGAAGCGCAGGGCTATGAACACAAACGCTAACGGTATCGGGAAGAAAACGTGACGATAGTCGGTGTATCGTACCGCCTTATGTGGCCCAGGGGCAATATCTTCCCACGTCGTATTTGGCGGTAACCAAACATTCGGGGTCCAAAAACTATCTAACAAAGGTCGCAACATTTTGAATTATTGCCTCGGCAAGTTATTCACGTCCGCACCGTTTCCAGTTTTACATATAACAAATTGAATAATTATTTTTAATTTCGAAGTTGATCGAGTTTTAGTTCGGCGGTTGACAGACGTCAATCAGCAACGGAAGGGGATCGCGTGAGTGAGCGAGACAAAATACTGGACAGATAAATAAGTTTTGTCGTTGAATAAATGAACACAGATAAATAACTTTTTAAGTTAAACAAATAGAAAACTCAATTTAATTCAACTAGAAAAAACGCCTTTCTTTAAATATTTATTCTGTAGTTTTACTGTAGTCCGAAAAAAGGGTTTGGCAAGTATATTAGTTATCTATTCTAGCCTTATATTTTAGGTACATCTGGATTTTCTTAAAAATTAAACAAACAAATTTATCGACATAATTGTTTTATTTTCATAATTTCTTTAATTAGGCGTACAAAAAATAATGATATTGTGCACAGCAAAGCTCATTCACACCACAATGGAACTGACAACGCATTTACTATTAATATTTATTTTCAAAATTACCCTTTCTCAAGTAGCAACCTCAAATTTTTAAATAACTGACATTTGCATTAATTATTGCCGTTATTATTTTTTTGTAAAAAGTATGTAATCGATTTATAGCAAATATTAAGCGAATTTAATTTCCTACTATTATATTTTTATAATTTTTTTCTAACATTAACCTATGGATAGCTAATTTCTGTGCAACGACTCCACAACCATACGAATATTAACATTACAATAAAATTAAGCAAAACAAATGCCAAGTAATTACCAACGCCCAGACTTCATCCTACTCTATGTGAATTTAATATTTAATGACATCAACAAGGTCTATTCTATGGTATTTATTTTTAAAACAAAATCACATTCTATCCGCCTTTGATAAACCTCAATATTTGCCAAAAAAAAATAGTTTGTTCATATATTATCACTCATTCCAAAACAAATCAATCTTTTTAATGTTACATTGTTAATTATTATGTTTTTCTTAAGTATTAACACCAACTTATCGAAAAGGCACAAAATATCCTATTAGAGAAAAATTTAAAATTTTCTCTATTTATTTAAATTTATATAATATAACCAAAAAAGTGACAAAAATCTTATTACCATTACAAAAAAAATCTTAGCGTGTAACATGGAAATAGATCAAAATTACACTATTGGGAAGTACACATTAAATATTACTTTTTAAACAAAGCTAATTTTCGTTAATGTAGCAATAAGTAAATATTAGCAACTTAGTAGGACTTAAAAAATAGTAGGATTTAATAGTTCCAAACGAGTAACCCAAAAACTTAGGCGTTCTTAGACCTGTTGACATTTAAGAAGTGACGTTAGCTGCATAGAGCACTTAATGTCAGAGACAGTTGCAGCATAATGAAAAGAAAAAAAATCGGTTAATGGCAGAATGAAAAAAATTATAATGTAAAACAAATAAATATTAAAAATACATAAAATCTGTTTCTGTAAACAGGCGTTTTACAAAAAAAACATTATCAAAACATTTGAAATGCTATTAGTGTCTCATACAAAAACAAAAATGTTATAAATCTATTTCCGAATATTATTCTTTGGTATTTCAAATGAATTAAAAGTTGATAGCACAGTCTGCAGTCACGTCAAATCTTAATATTAACAATTTAATAAAAAAAATCATCCCTAATAAATCTAGTATCATAAATTAAAAAAAAAACTCTTTAAATCTACCCTATACTTATAGTCTAGAAAAAGCGTCTTTGGGTGTATTTTTGCGTTTTAAAAATTAAGGTTATCATCTACAGTGCAATTTACAAATGTACATGATATGGTTTTTTGGTTTTACAATATTTTTTTAACAGCAATTTTTAAATTTCTGCACAGTTAAAGAAAGAATACATTTTTAAATTTTAATACAAAAACCGCGAGAATGACATATAAATATTTTGACAGATGATAGCATTCTCTTAAACGCGATAGGCACTGGCGCCACCTACTTTCAGTGTTTTCCACATTTTTTTTAACTGCACTTTACAATCGTATTTTTAATCTGTGCACCACAACCATAAACAACTAAATACTTAACCTATAACAAATTGTTACTTTAAGATGCACAAAGTGCTTTATGTACTAATTTAATATTTCAAACAATTGTCCTATCTATTTCTATCAATAATCTATATTGATAAAGATATTTTTAGAATATCATCTAAGTTAGATTGGAAATTAGAATCATAATATAAAATATTTTTTTACTTATACAAAATTGATATTTGCTGAAATTTTTTAAATGTTATAAAAGCAAAGCTTTATTGCAAAAAACTTTTTAATTAGATGTGATGATATAAGTTTATTTTAAATGTTACCAGCATAAAAAAAAACTTATTATTTCTTATATTAAACATATGTTATATTATGTTGATAAAGGACGATTGTTTCATAACTTATTACACAAAAGTATGTCTTTATTTTCAAAGAAAATAATTACATTCTGATTATGTACTTCCAAGTAATATTATAGTTTGGAATAAATGCAATAAACAAATATATTTCAATAACACCAATTCTAAATTATGAATAAAATATTAAACAAATTAAGAATCACTTAATACTTATAATTAAAAAAAATAATAAAAAATCAACAATCATAAAAAAATAATTACCATAACAAATTGCAAATAAAATAAATAGGAAATTTTATAAAAAAAACTTTGGTTCAAATATTTTGTTCTTACTTAACAAAGTAAGGCCATCTTATATGGTCCCAGACAGCGTTTTGGAACTCTTGATATTATTGCTTTTGGTTTATTAAATGCCATTTTTTTCACTAAAAGATAAAGGAACTTCTTTTTGCTTAATTTATAAAAGCATTTTTAATGTAATCACAAACAAACATGGTTATAATTTAAAATATTTGGTTATGTCAACACTAAAATTAAAAATTGATCGTTAATAGTTCCTTTGATTTGACAGCTGTCATTGAAACGTAAATAAAGTTCAATTTAAATATAGGTTAAATGCTTTTTTACAATAATACTGAATCATAGTTAAATAATAAAATTTGGTTAAATGTAAATTATTACGAACATATATTATAGTTTTAAGTAAATGGTTACAGTCTGAAAAATCTTTCACAAACAAAATTTCACTCAATTTAAAAGTTAAATGACAAATGACATTAAAAAGGGCGGGAAAATGTATATTTTTAATGTCAATTTTATCGCCTTCAATTTTTCTCTGTCACTTGTATTTTTTTATTTTAAATCGCAAATACATAAATGTATTTACAAATACAAATAAACAATTTATTAATGTATCTTTGGATAGGCCGTAATCTTAGGAATACGAAAACATTAAACTAAAACAACCAAAACACTGACCTCTATACATGGACAGGCTATAGACATAGTATTTTGTGCCTATTTGATGTCCGCCATTTTGGCGCTGATGGTTACAGTCGGTAACGGTGGTGTAAATTCAAACTAATAATACAGATAGAATTAACTGTCAGACACTTCAACAAGCGCGTTTAAGTCGGAACGTAAAATATATAATTTTCAAGTAATAGCCTATCCATTTAAAGAGATCATAGAACCAAAATGATCACATCATGTCAAGAATAGGTAACTAATGTTTATAAAGGTTGGTTAAAATGGCACAAGATATGTTTAATATTAGCATTATGCACCATTTTAAAACGATTCAATCAAAAATAAAATTATATAGTTATAAATATAATAATAAATTAAACATAATTATGAAAATCTCTTTGTCATAATACTGTTTGGTGTTTCATTACACCATTGTTTGTGACAAAAAATATTTATCAATCATTTTGATCATAGATTTTTCTGATGAATTTTCATTACTTTGGTAATATTCAGTCAAAATAACGTAAGTATCGCATACAAAATGTATATTAAAAAGTATTTATGTTTTAAAATATTGCAAAAAAAGGTGAAAATTCCGTCATGAACGGACAACATAGATTCGAAGCATTAAAAAAAATATACTTAGTATACTAACATAATAGTAAATTGTACATAAATTAATATAAATATTATATTTATGTGCAAATTACGTGTGTTGTTGATCTGTTGCTTATGTCAGGAATCTGCTTTTTCTAATTCTCTTCCAACGTCTACTTATCCCTGAAAAATATATATATAAACAGTTAGTATGCCATTAAAAAAACCGAAAAAAATTACGATACGCTTCAATATAAAAAAACTTTCAAACTATTTTTTCTTATGTCCAGTTTTAATAATTTTGTTCAAATTTTAAATCAATTAAAAAAACATCATTTAATGTATTTTTGTAACCAGTTTTGATTCAACTCACTTGTGATTGTTGACGTGGGCGTGGGCGTTGGAGTTAGAGTGGGCGTGGGCGTTGGAGTTGGTGTGGGCGTGGGCGTGGGCGCGGCTGGGCGTGCTGTGGTTGGACTGGTGCGAGCTGTCACTCAGCTCGGAGCTCGAGCTGCGAATGTCGCCGTCCAGCTGACGACAAACACATCGTTATATCTTAACTTGACGAAGTGACCACTATCCATAGACTATCTCTCCCATCCTTTCGCAACTGCAGATGAGTTGCCTACCTCTTATCGACGGAGGAGGGGACGCATAGAAAAAGATTTTTAGTTTCCACAAGTCCAGAGTATATGGTATACCTTCCCCGCGGTGATGGCCTTATATGCGACCTGCAGAATGAGCCAGGTCCAGACGAGATGCAGGCCCAGCATCAGACACAGCAGAGTGTTGAAGATGTAGTACGCCGGGAACATAGGCTGCAGCATCGGCGCGCGGATTGATGTACTGCAATATACATATATACACTTTATATAGATTCTACCCCCCC